CAGTGCGGCGCAGGAGGGTGTTTTCATGTACGTAGAAGGCGGTTTGCTCGGTAGACTGAATGCCCCACTTGCGCGCGGAACGAGCGTACTAATTATTTGAGTGAGATAGTCTGTGGTTACAACCCTCCGAAAGGAATGAAACGACGCACATCTTTGGGCCCGTGGGGTTTCCAAGCTGGGTTTTTCTTCAACGTGAGCGAGAGTCCGGTCGACATGTTCTTTTCGTTCGACAATCAGCAACACGAGGTTGGACTTCTCCGCGATGTCAAAATGGACTGCTAAATCATACCTCTTTATGCTTCAACGCTCCGTCTTACGATCGCGGCTACCGCTAGTTGTTGAAGGGAAACGAAGGGAGCAGGCTGGAAGCATTTGCAATAATAATGAATTTATGAAATAGCTCCAAGCAGTGTCACGTTATTGCTCGTCGGCGCGCTGCACAGAGGGCACGGTGAGAGTTCAATGCTGCCAAAGTGCAAACTCATTCCTGGCCATCTATCTTGGGTTACATGCAATAATTTGGGATTTCTCTTAGGTGGCTTAAACCAGGTTTTGGGAGGCGGCATTAAAGGCGGCAAAGCAGGCGACCAAATAGGGTCAGGGGCCCCTCAACGCAGGCAGAGCCTTTCAGATTTCAATTTCAAAACAAAAGCGGGTGGCGGTGTTGCGTGAACCCCGTGACCGTCAGATGGCTTTTTCTTTCTCTAGCAATTCTCCAGCAGCAATGGATAATTCCCATGCAAGATCGCCGCATCTTCATGTCAGAAGTCCTTGGGGAAGATGGGCTGAACGTTAGCTGAACATACTTCTGTCTCAAACGCTGATATAGGCTCTTAGGCCTGCTCCGAGTGGCATCAAATGGGCTCTTCAACACCTTTTAGCCCTTAGATGAGGCTGCGTCATGACAGGTCAATGTCCCAAGCATTCTGCTGTGATTCCATGCTCGGAAGTTTAAGGAGGCTTGTTCCCTTCCTTCGTTATTGCGCAACTCAGTTGATGATACATCTGCCAGTCGTGATGTTCTTTATGTGTTTCCCCCTCAAGTTCTTCTCACCCCCATGCTCGGGATGTTCTAGGTATGCGCCCACCACACAAATCCTCTCCTCCCATACCGACAAGGAACAATCTTGAATTTCTAGAAAACTAAAAAAAAAAAACCTCGTACTTCGTTCGTAATGCTCCACCCGGTTTCACCCCAGTAACCCTCAGAATCATTTCCTTGTGACTCGCTCGAGAACACGCACTCTTATGTGCATGACACCCTCAAATAGAGACAAAAAAACAACATTTCACTAGTGCACCTTCCGACCTGGCGAACAAAAGTGTTGGAGCAAATTGCATACAAACACCTAAACTTGATCTACCGTAACTTCCTGCTCTCATCAGACAATGTATCATTGATGGTGATAAGTAGCTCTGCCAACAGCTTTTTTCGCACCAGCGATTTTCTTAGACATGCGTCATATGAACACTCACCACATGATGCCTCGATACAGGAGGCCGCTCCAATGCCCCGCCAAACCACTAAATCTGGAGGGCAAATCCTAGCATACTTTGCATTGGAACTAGCACTAATATTCCATGTAAATTAGTACCGGATATCATCGGGTCCCTTATCAGTTGTTTGTTGCTTGCGCTTCACACTTCTGATCAGCACTGTTCCTTCGAAATTCCTTGTTTATCGTGTGAGGGCTTGAACCCTCCCAAACCGTTACGTATGCCTCAAGGATGATAACGTTGTGGCAAGTCACAAACGAAGTCCACCTCGATAGTCTCCCTCTCTGGCTGATGGCATCTTATCAGCGACTAAAGCTCATTTTGCAACCAAGAGCCACCAAATGCCACATGGGATGCGCGCTTGTCCTGGGACCATTTCAATTCACGCATTTGTATCGCTAATCGCCAGGGCTCTCCAAGGCTACTTTACTGGACTCCTGGCGATTGACAATATTTGCAAACTACCACTATTCAATGGGCTTTTCCATTCCTCCTTTAGGTTAGGGCTCCCCAACCTTCTGGTAAACAAATCCTGTGCCTAGATAGTTGACTCCTTTTCTTTGTGGAACCTCCACGCTTCGCCCACAACCCGCTTCGCCCACAACCCGCTAATCCTGAAGAAGAACAGAATCCATCCACCCACCCCTGGCTTCACGTTAGAACCACGGGCGCTGCGGCGCCAACTGCGCATCTCAATATCATATATTAAAGGGGTTAGCCATCATCCCAGGCTGCTTCTTGCAGTGGCCCTGCACAGCTTTAGTGTGTGTGAAGGCGTTTTGGGGAAGTTCGGTTGCTTTCTTCCCATGAACCGGAACTTCTGCGAGGCGATCTGCTTGCCACAACCCATGCACATGACTTTGTGCGACTAATCTTTGAAAGTCAACTTTGAACCCCCCTTCTTAATTTGCCTTTCAACTGAATTCGGCTTTGAAATGTCATTCATTCATCAAGGAGTATGTGCTTATGGTAAATCCGGCTCGGGACAGCGTGATTTTGGCATCTCATGGTGCACGTAATGTGAATTTACTCATGTATGTATTCAACCCCTGACGTCTAAAGCACACATCAGCGTAGTCCAAACAGTGGCGATTCCAGCCACACGCCCTGCCGCTGAGGCATGCGAAATGGGTCCTTCTATCTAAGTACAATGGTCAATCTCTGTCATTCTTCTTTAACACCACGCAAATCAGGCTCCCAAACATTGTGAGCGTTTTTCAGGCTGAATCATTCAACCAAAAAGAAAGGAATATATAAACTGCATGATGAAATTGAAGACAGTTACAATCTCAAGAAGGCCCTAATAATCTTCCTCAATTAGTTGCTTATACAAATCCCAATTCCTCACTGGATGATCCCTCACAAACTCCAACACCCTTCTCTCATTCTCAATGATAAACATATCGATGTAACCCAGCAACTGCGTCATCCTTCCCCACGGAGGTGTGAGCATGCAATCACCCACAATGGAAACGGTCTCCAGCTTCATCCGATTGTTGAGCCGCGTCTCAGCGACGGAAATGAGCGCGCCCATCCAACCTTCCATCGCCTGAGTCGTCTGTTCCACAGACGGAGCACCCATGAGAACAATTGTTTTCAGATGTTGACACTTTGTAGAGGTAGCCAAGGTGTAAAGGAGGGCGTTGGGGAAGTTAGGGTAGACTTGGACATGTATCGTCATTACCTCGATGAAGGGTAACTGATCGCATAAACGCCCGGCGAAAGCCACCTCTTCTGGGACGAGAACAACACGGGACGAGTCAAAATCGCTCGCATGGTGTACGTACTGTCCCGCGTCAGCGGAAACTCGAAACTCAGCATCCAACGCCGTCGTACATTCGAAATGTGATGATATCGGCTGGAAATCAAGGTCCCCCAGATTTGTATGCCCTTCAACGAGTGAACAGTACTGAGAGAGGTCAGAAGCGATTCTATCGCAATGCTATCGTCGGACGTGATATCAGCTTGTGTTATAGAGGGATTCTGAAAGCCTGATATCTCTGGGACTTGACTACCACATTGGTCGGAGAGTGCGAGGTGCTCCAGGTACGGAAGACTGGCGAGGAATTGTGCGGAATACTCAGGAGGATCAGCATCGACCAAGATCCACTGAAGAGTTCTAACCCTGGGAAATGTGGAGGGATCCCAACGATCTCGTGCGCAAATAACAACATCGACGAGATTCTCGGCTTCGCTCAGTACGCGATGATGGACCACTTGGCGTGGAACAGCGTGCTCGGGTTGAACTTCTCGGGTCTCGATTTGCAAAGATCGGAGAAGGGGTGCTCGACAACCGCTGATCACGCCGAGAACGCAAGATAGGTCGTCGTCGCATTTGACGCGAAGGGTTCGAATATGATCAAGATGCTGGGCGACCAGCTGGGTGCATAATTCAAAGATATGGGGATCGGCCTGGCGGGCCGGAAGGGTGAAGTCGACAGAAAGTGGATAGTGTGAAGTGAATCTAGTGGTATAGAGATAAAGTTGCATGATATTGTAGCCATGGTTTGCCTTGACCAGGTGCTGATAACAAACGCTGGACCATATCATAGGAGTCGAAAGAGCGGCCTGACGCCATAGTCTGCAAACATGGGCGTATGATAACGAGGTGAGGGTTTCAACATGGTGTGGAGCCGCATCTTCGACTCCTTCCACGCGACTTGTACCTCTCCACGCGACCTCAAAGATGTATTGCAAAACAACAAGAGGGAGGCGCCGAGAGTAGTTAATTCCTGTGACATTGGACAAGGGCAGGGTCCTATTTAAAAACGGTTGCATGAGATAAGGGAATGCTGAAGGACTCAGTGTGCGGCCGACCGATGGGATAGCATTAAAGGCTTTTTGATTCGCGATCCTGGTGATGTCTCACGCGCAATGAAATGTCAAGATGTAGACAGCTACGAGGGTTCCCGAATACGAAACATCGATAGCTGGAGGGGTTTTATACTCTCACTTCAGCAGCAGCGTCGCAGTTATGTAAGATTTACTAGGATCAAGTACCGCCATCTCCCGAGGAAAAGCACATAGAAGGCAGAGGTTCTATCACATGGAATTCGAACCTTCATGCAGCGATGGACGGGTCTCTGGCGCCGAGAACTTGGGACGGGTTGTCAGACAAGCAACACATATCGGGTGATGCCGGCTGCTGATGCTCAACTGGGACAGCGAACGCATTTCAGGTATTGTATTGTCTTACATTCGGTCTGTGCTCCTTCCTCGGTGACTTGACGCGAGGCTACTACATAATCTTTCTTCGCCCTCGTTGCTTTACACCTGATCAAATCGAATCTGTTGTGTCAAATGAAGGCTTGAAACCAGGGTTGCCCAACTTAAGGAGAAATCGCACGGGTACAACGAGATTGCATCTGTACAGTGAAACCAGGAACCTGGATTCTCCATTTAGCAAAAAGATTCGATTTTCGAATGGAAACTCTTTCGTCGACCTATGTCCTAATTAGTGCGAACCATCGCTCCGGCGACTTGAGCGTGTCCTGTGTGGTCCTCGGTTATGACCGGTGCGACAAGCACATCATCCAAAATCAAGCCATCAATCCCACTGGAGCACGTTGCCAATACAGGGCGTGCGATTGTCAAACAGTTGAACGCTGATCATTGTATGATGGGCGTAGGGCGTTTTTCGACCGTGCGGCAACCCCTCTGTATTGAGCTGCGGTGCGCCACCCTCGTTTTTGTTGAAAGTCATCCAGTATTTTAGCCAGTTCGCTGCAAAAATTCGGGTGACCTGGCCGACAAGGGTTACAACCCAGAAAAGAAACGACAAACATTCAATGAAGCTGCGCATATCACACACTTACGACTTATATTTGGGACGATGACGAGCAGCACGAAAGCAGCACGAAGAATTGGCAGGTGTGGAATTTCGGAATGGTAGCGTGCGAATCGAAACATCAATGTTGAGCAGGAGTTGCGCAACAGTGCGTGTCAACTCAGGTACGGTTCTTCCAAAAGGTCCCAACATAGTTGTGAATAAATTCCAACGGCGGCATTCTACGTCCCGAATGGTATCATGAGATTGGTTTGAGAAAGCGCTCTCATCGTTGCTCAAGAGGCCGCACTGGGCATTGATCAATTGACGACAGCGAGTCCCAGCGATATTACCCTGGTCCTCAAATGCAAAATTTGGTGGTACTCGAGTTGCGCAACACCAAAACACTGGGTACACTTACGAAAGATGGTGAATTCGGTCCAAGAGAGGCACTCCCGGAGCTGACCGTCCGGAATATGTGTCGGTTCGGAATCAATGCCTTTCGCTTTACTCTTACTGTGCAAGCCCCTGGTACGGGGCACGCAGTTTCACCATAGTATATCGACCAAACGCCTATTATCACGGTATTTTTGTGCATTCGCTTTCACCTTGTCTTCCTGCCAGATTCCCTGTAGGCATCTACGGGAGAAATCATTGTCGAATGCCTCGTGGCGCAAATATAATATTACGAAGTCATAGAGGCTGGAGTCCTGCCTAGTGGCGCAACGTGGGTCACAAGGTGCGAGCTGCCGATCACCTGAAGGTGCTGTGCTCTTTACAAAAATCCCTCGAAACGCTGCATTTCACCATCTCTCTGGTTGAGAAGCTTCCGTGAGGCCCTTATCCTTACGGTGCTAAATCAGGCAGGAATTTGGAATGCTGCGGGCTTGGTGTCAGAAGCCCGCCCAATTGGGGATCCACTACGCTTCTGCAGGGGAGGGGGCGAACATGCAAGTATTGGCGTATTGGCAGCCAGCAGATACCTCAAATGGGCTTCATGGCCAGCGAAAGCCCCTGCAAATCCAATTGGCGGGCCCATGCGGGGACGATCGTGATTAACCCACTGGAAACACGGGGGAGACCAGATACACGACCCCAAAATCATCAGTCGAGAAGCAAGAGGGCAGTAGATACGAAGCCCACTGTCCCATTGCTTCACTGATGTTCCAATGAATCCTCAATGTAAATCGTTGGGTTAAGCAAAAAAAGATACGCCGGATGGAGTGTACGAAACAAATTGTATGAATTCACGTTGCGATTGGCAGACCATGGGGTGATAAATCTGTCGAATTATTGTGGACTAGTAAAGTATTTGGCAGTGATGGGGAATGAAACGTTGTTGGGCGGAGCTGACTAGTCATGCCCCCGCGTGCCAATCGCGGGGTACCTAGACGCTTAGGCCCAACTTCGAGAAGCCAACAAATCTACTGGAATGGACAGGCCCAGCGGCAGTGACGACAGTGAGACATAGATTTTGCATCCTGAACCTTTGGGGCACTGTTGTGATGGCAGGGAAGCAAGTCCAATGTGAAACGTCGACGCACATGTCCAGCACACTGCATATCAGGCAGGGATATCATACATAGATAGACCCAGTCCTGCGGTAGGAGAGTGGCCGACGAGCCACTGATAACACGCCAGATCAGAGCGTTTCTTCGGCCTTCTCCGCCGCCTTGCCCACCTTCGCGTCCAATCCAAGAGCACCCCGATTAAGTGCATCCTGCTCCCCCTGGAACGATATCAGCGTAGTAGAATTCTTCACCGAAATGGGAGATCCGGGAAGCTCAAATGTCACCATCATCTATCACCAATGACCAACAAAGTTCGTCGGATGGTTGTAACGAGCGACAAAGGAATGTTTCAGCGTGGTGCGCACTATGAGCGGGTTACTATAGACGCAGTAGATAACAGTCTTTGGCGCAGCACTGAGATTCTGACAGTTGCATCAGCGGCCATGATGGACCTTAAGAAAGAGCTACAGTATCGGTCAGAACAGTGGCCACATCAACTTGGGACTAAGTACTCACATAAGATCACTGGCCCGGCGACACGAATTCCTCTTTCGTCTCAGGATATCATTCTCCAGTTGAGCTCTTCGTCCTGAGCACCTCGCCCACAAGCGCTGCAGATATTTTCCTCAAAAGCTCTGACGATAGCATCAACCGGAACGAGTACTAACAGTGATTTACACGACACCACAAACGTGTCTGTGGTTGTAAATACAGTACTGGGGGCTACGGGGTTGATAATCCTACGAGGGCAGGGTAATTTTCAGAGAAGCGGACAGGCTGTAGAGGTGAGTATTCAATCCTGTGTCAAATGGGTTCAGATCGAATCATCAGTCACGTAAATCAACAGGCCAACCGATGGCAGATGCGAAACTTACCAAGAGTATGACAAATGGCACTCTAAGACAGTCGCCCGTGGATTGTGTGGTTCGGCTCATACGATGCAATTTGAAAATGGCGAGAACGATCGATCTCATCTGGTGTCGAACGGAAGAGGGCTCGTAATCACTGTGCGATCACGGTCAGATTATCTTCAGTGGGTTTGATAAAAATGTTAAGGGTGGTCCCTCAAAGTAACTGTAGGGCTGACTGTCGACAAAAAATCCACTTCTAGGTGCGCGTATACTCCAGTTTGGTGGGCTACCACTTTTCCTTAATACTTGTTTATTGGACTAACGTCTCACCTAGATATCGATAAACCCCAATTGGAAGTCAATATATCATCAATGTTAGGTGCGATTTGGAAACATCCTCGTTTGCAGAGAATAAGTACGTACTGTGATATACCCCCACCTTCCAGTCTAGCAGAGAAAAAAGACCTCTAACTTCGTCTTCGATAGGTTCTCGACCTTTTTGTCCGGTTCTTCAGCGGCCGTCTCTACGTTTCCCGGTCTTCGACTCTCGGGCTGACTCCCAAATTGCCCATTGGGACCCCAACGAAACTATAGGAACATCGTAAACAACGGCCGTTTGATTCTCATCCCCAGGATGGGAGGTAAAAGCTAGTGACGCGCTCGATCATTGTCCGCACAGTGAGGGGATTACCACAGATGCAATGTGGTTGTGATTAGATCCGAGCGGCATAGGGTACCCTGTAGGCCGTGACAGAGGTCGTCAAAAACCTTGTGAACAACCGTTGATGTTGGCGAATCATTCGGGTCGGAGATTGTCCCGCCACATAATCACTCGCCGAAATGACCCTTGGCCAAAGCCTCAGGTTCTTTCTTGATCCGCTCTTTTTGCGCGGTAGGAGAATCGTTAAGCCGTCGTAAGGGCCTTTCTCACAATCGCAGGGTAACATCCTGCCTGGTTGACATCGGCCCGCCTTTAGCCCGCATCGGTCGAGAGCCACAAAAAATGCGGAGCATTGCACAACCCCAGATTTGGCTATTTAAACCACTTGGGAATCTTGCGGAGTCGATGCATCCTAATGCATCAGCAAATTGAAAATTGGTTGTGACAGCCAATGCTTCAAATGGTTTGAAAGGAACGGGGTTTGATTCCGAATCAACATCTGTCAGAGTGGAAACGGAAATCGGCTGGCTTAGCCAATTCTCCAACTCCATCGAACCGTCTAAACTTAAATGTCGAAGTCTGGCACAGGCTGGCTACCCATCATACATCCCGGATTCGGCTCGATTGCTCCTAGTGTATCACTCAGTGAAATTAAACGTCTTTCTAGGGTGTCTGAAGAACGCATCATGCTCTGGCACCAGTTGCTGCCATTCAATGACATAAAACACTCGGATCCATGATCTTGGGCCATCACCTCTCCAACTCCAACTTGAACAGCATGCCAATTGCGCACCCAGTTTTGTTGGAGAGCCTGCTTATTAACAGGTTGGGTGTTCACAGAACGTGTTAAACTCCGTTGCGGGTCACCTGCGGGTTCATACACCCAAATTTGACTAGATCGCTTAGGAGTTCTATGCGCTTCATTCCGCTATCCCGGTAGTGTGTTAATGCACTTCCAGTGATCAAGTATCATCATGGCTGTCCATCTGCCTCGGTTTTGGCTTGATCATTCACAATCCCAGGAGCCACCTGCCAATATTGGAGAGCACTCCAAGGTGTGCTTTGTGACGAAGATTTCTCAGTCCGACGCTACACAGCACATCATATCCGTTGAAAATCGAAGAGTCACCAAGAAATGTGGCCTAGTCAACCGATCCGCGCTATGAATCAGTTTAGGATCAGCAATCGTCTTTGATCTCGGGTGGTTTTGTGCTCGCAATCTTCTCAATTGTGAGTAAATAACGGATGGTCATTAGCATAAAAAAACCGTCGGATTGTTATAGATTAGTGTTCTCAGTGATTATGGACGGAACGCTGGCGCAAGAGTTTGACGGGTCATGCTCATGTATGTCACGAGAAACTGAAATGGATTTCATTAGCTAGCCCCATCTTTGAGAAGCGAGAAACCCCATGTGCTGGTCCAATTAATGTCAGTGAGAGCATTCTGGATCTCGACGTCGGTTGGTGTCGCCACCGTTGCAGTAGAGAAGCAGGTCTCATTCTGAAGAACCGAATTACATCTCTAGCACATCTTATTCCGGAACAGGGTTATCATACATACATGGACCCAATCCTGGCGGTAGCAGGCAGGTTGACGGAGCTTGTAGATATCACGGCAAATTCAAAGCTTTGCTTTGGTCCTCTCCGCGGCCTTTGCAAAGACTTGTCTCATCTAGACTAAGAGCACAACACTGAAGTGCTTCCCATTCCTCCCGGGACGAAATCAGTATAGAAGAATCCTCCACCGCGATAAGGGAACCGGGAAGATCATATATGTATCACCCTTATCATCAATGACCAAAAAACTCACCGGAGCCTGGAGACCAGCAACGAACGGCCGATCAGGACATGCGCTATGAACGGGTTACCGTACAGATAGCAGATGAGGGTCTTTGGCTTAGTGTTGAATCCTGAAAGAGGTTGTACCATGATGAGCTTTATGTCTCAGTAACCCCTGTCAGAGCAGCAGTGATAGTGACATGGGGTCATCGCCTCGCTCCCTCCTACGCAGCACCTCATCCACAAGCGCCGCAAATGATCCAAAGCATTTTTCTGTGCGCGTAGGTCTCTCTCAAAAGCCCCGATGACAGTTTCAACAGGACAGGAAGGGGCACCGGCAGTGATCTGACGAAGGCGTCCGTGGTTGTAACCGGACCAAACGCTATGGAGGTCGAAGGAATCATTCGAAGAGTTCCACACGAGGGAGCGGTTGTTTGGAGGGAAGAAGATGTATGTAGAAGTGAGTGTTCGATGTCGTGCTTAATCGGGTTCGGATCAAGCGCAGGGTCACTATATCAACATGGTAAAACTATCGTCAGTCGGCAGCAAAATTCACCAAAATCAGGAAAGGTGAGGAGGGCGATACGTAGTGGTACCCAAAAACTACAACCATCCCTGTCGTGTCGTGGTTCGGCCCGGGGGATATCGGTACGATGTAGCCCTAAAGCAGCCCGTATATGACAAGAACGTGGAAGGTGGTCGGCGAAGGTGTCCATGGGATCTAGTTTAAAAACAAAGTTCATCTACCCTTAGTTTTCTGTTGTGGGTTGTTGTTCTCTACGGCGTGGCAGTGCGGCCGCAATTACGGGGATCATAATGAGTGTGGTGGTGTATTCGCGTTACGATTTTGGTCGGAAACTTGTTTTAAAACCAATATGTTCTGTCATCTAGACAAATTGATCACGATTAGAACTAATATATCACTAGGAAACAAGCTAGCTTCTTGAGGCCAGCAATAAGTACAGTAGCAGCCTCTATAGCTTCGCCTTAGTAAGCACGTCGGCTCTTTGAATGACCGTCTTCAATAGTCCCTCAACCTTCTTGTCCAGTACTTCAGCAGCCGCCCTTAAGCTTTCCAATCCTCCACTTTCAGGCTGACTCTCAAAAGTGATCACTGGATTCTCAACGCCAATGAGACTGCTGGGAACGTCATAAACGATGAACGTTTGCTTCTCGTCTCCAATCAGAATAAGGTTTGTTGGAACGTGTAAGCCAGCGACAAAGTTATGCTCGATCATTGTCCGTGCGATGAGGGGATTGCCATAGACGTAGCGTGTGGTTGTGACAGGGGCTACGCCTTCCGGGCGATATAGATTGTACCATGGACTATGACGGAGAGTATCGAAAACCCTGTCGCAAGGAATCATCGTTGCATATCAGCGAAAATCATCCGAGTTTAACACTGTTTGTTCTGCCTACATAAAATCGCACTCGCCCAGATGATCCCTCGCTAAAGACTCGAATTCTTTCTTGATCCGTTCTTTTCGCACGGCGGAAGAATTACTATCTCCTGGATGAACCGTCCTAAGGGCTTTGCGCACGACCGCCGGAAAAGATCCTGGTTGATTCTTATCAGCCTTCAGCTCAGCATCGAGGGCTGTCGTTATGGCAGAAATTGGGAGGGGGACGGTCAAGGTTACACGTCTAGTTGTGAAGTTCTGAGTGACTGAGGTTGAGCGGTCATAGGCGGAGGCAGAGGATGTTGAGGATGTCATCTCGATACTGTAGGCGGATTTAAAGGAGCGACATATGAAGAGAGTGCGCACGCCGCAAGTGCGTCAACGAAGCGGTGCAGAAGCGAGCCTTATGAATTGGTTCACTTTCCTTCAATTAATATTCAAGAGGGAAAAGGACTTGCATTTCTTAGCCAACCCAAAGGCGATGGGATAGGGCACGGAGGTACGGGGAGGCTTTCGCCAGTAGATGACACCCTTTATAGGACCAAGGTCAGCCATCCATTGAATGCCAATGTTTCTTTCGGAAAAGCATTAGATCGGCAACAAGTTCCGGTCACAAACCTTTTGCTTGCCGAATCGTGAATGGCAATCACGTCGTCAACTGTGCTGAGAAGCAGAAATATGGTGGGATCGAAATGAAAGGTAATTCTGGCTAAACCCTATGCCGGGATGGAATATATGAGCGTGTGGATTTTGAGAGACTGACCAGCGCAACCCATGTGTGTTTCTCCCTGAAAGGGTTACGCTCAACAGACCCAATAGACGCGGCCAACACAGGCGGCCGAAGGATGTGGAACATGTGGCCCGTAATGGTAGTTATGCTCACTCTTACCTTCGCTGCAGCGCAAGCGTCTATTCCTTAATACACGTGTATTGGTATTTTAATACAATCGGCAAATTCCACCTCCACCGAGGGTTTGCTGTCATTTCCAGCTGTGATGGATCGAATGTTCCACTGTGTCTGCAGCATACAGGGCTCGTGAAGGTGCCTCGATGTAGCCCATCGGTTGAACCCAGTAGCGTGGCTCGGTCGTAGCGGTCGACTCTGAAGATAAAAATTGTCGGCGCATTGCAAAAAAACATGTTTTGAACAACATCGATCTCATGCACTCTCACGCGCACTGATAACCACGTTGTTTTAGGGTGTGAATCCGTCAATTTTGAAGGCCAGTCCATCACCATCTTACAGGGAGGCCGAATGAAGTCTCTATCCCCACTCACCTTGGACCGGTGCACCGTGCCAAGCCCCAAGCAGAAGTTCTCCCAGGCTCATAGTGTTGGTTGCTGCTGCATGTGATGACCAGTGCGTTACCCCCTGCACGACCCCACACGACGTGCGGTACGCTGCGCACGCAAGCTTTCCATTGACTGCGTGGAACACATTCGAGAACAAAACAAAGATTGTCTAAACATCTACTCGTAAAGCCATGACGATCCGTCTTCGGGGACTCACCCGGTCTTCATTCTGGTGCGAACAACCGGGGTACATATTACACGTTACGTGAAATGAATATGACCAGCCAGGACTGGATAGTTGGTCAATCAATGAGAGAAGCGCCTCAGACAGGCTGTCATGAACCTTGCGATCAATTTCACTGGCTATGTGAACAGATTCACTCCGATCAGGGACTGTGATTAATTAATTATGTATCTGGTCGCAAATCACAACAGAGAGTCGAGATTAATAACGCTGATCACCACACCCTGACTTAAGCTACAGCGTCAGCCATGCAATACACGCCGTACGGAAACGTCGAATCCTACAAGCTAGGCTCGTGTGTTTTCTCTGATAAACCGGGTGGCGACGACTGGAACGAAGCAGAAACCACTCATTAGCTCCACCATGTGAATGATGTCACGGAAGCGACGGCCTAGCCAAGTAGGAGTGGATGATAGGGCTCGAAGGGCGCCAGGAATCAAAGCCTAAATTCTAGCAGAATAGGACGATGGACTCATTGTCACAGTGCAGGGGTGGGGAACCACATAGCCGATCAACAAGTTGTTTCGAGTGATACAAATACCAGTTACTTCGCACAGGCACCGTATGGGTGTGTAAGTGCTGCACATATATAGAGATAGGATGAATAAATCCACTGCCGCCGCCTAGACAGCATCTCAAACCAACTGAGAGGCCGCATTGGAGAATGGCAGGCAGACATGGCCAGCTTGCCTTCCCACGGTGGGGCCATCCGCGTCATGAGATTCGACCACGATGTGATCAGCACAGTTAGCGAGTGCCCACCTCTCCATATAAGTATGCATGAGCAGCCAGCCCCAATTGAAAATCCAGCGAAACCATATATTTTTTTGTTGGTCATAGAGGCTGGAGTCCTGCCTGAGCGAAACCGAGGAAACGGTTAGGTTCCTCGGAGTCTCCATTGGTAAATGATAAGTGTGTTGTCACGCGGGAGTTCGATCGATTCCTACGTTGGGGAGCAGAGTAACTAGGCTCCAGATGAAAGCATGGGCCCGCTGTGGCAGGTTTCCCTTGCTGACAGATTACATAATGCTTACCACATCACATTCTCATCGGCCATCGTCCCCGTCATTTCTCACATCTTTCCTTGCCATTATCATCCTTCCCCATGATGATAAAGAGTCCTTGAAACCTCTTAGACCACAATATTTGAGACGGCCGGCTCCGCCAGAGTACGACTAAATGACTTCCACGTCATCATGAAAATCAATGTAGAGGGAAAAGGCAAGCTACCAAGAACCATCTTTTGATGATCCGTACGGTAGAAGGGAAACATCGAAAAAAAAATAAGAAAGAACCCGGTTGGAACCGGGGACCGAGAGACCATGCGATCGAGGGGGTAATGGCAGTACCCGATGAAGACTTGACCACGGTAGGATGGAAAGAATCCTGTTGAAAATTAGGCACAAGAACATGTGTGATAGTGTAACAAACACTTTAAGAAGTACTCACATGCTCGCATGCGTGCCCCGAGGATGTCGCAATCCTCTATAAGTACCAACGTCGTCTCACCCCTTCCCCCTCGCGCCATCGTCAATTTGATGAATCACTGGGGAATAGATCGAGGGACGACCGTTATCCCAACTTGCATTCCGCCAGAGCACCTCAGTGGTTGGGGCGACGATAGCGATATCTCCTCGATGAAGACGAAGCTGGTGGGATGGTCATTTGAGTCGTTGGGAGATCCACATCCTTTGACTACGCCACTTAAGTTGGAATGACTCAGAATCAAAGAGTCGATTCCAACGGGTGAATGTATAGAATACAGCCAGTATATCAAACCAGGCTGCACTCACTTATGCGCGTACATGGATGGCAAGCATGAAGACTTATAGGCGCGTGGAACGGGCCCAATAATGCATGAGGTTACGATGGGGGGTTAAAAAACGAAACTGTAATTGGCGTGAACGGAAGGCAGCACGGCTCCAGGATACCTCCTATCCCTTGGCTCCACCCGCGATGAGATGGCAGTTAAACCTCATACCTCTCATACGCCAAATATGGGGGTAAAAAAAAAAAAATCAGACGACAAAGTACACACAACCCTTCAACTCAATCCTCCCCACAGGCAGCATCACGTCGTCACAGACCACTACATCGGGATGTATGAAGCGTCAGCATGGCATAGCATGGGTACCAGTCCCCATGGAGAAGGACTTTTTTACACTTCAATCTCAATCCTAGGACCATAGTATATAGTCACGTCGCTGCCGAGAGAGACTCTTTACGACGTACTAAGTAATCCACAGAGAACGATCATTTCCGGCCAAAAAAAGACCCCCATTCAGATTTGCTTCTTCGTGAGCGTCGCTTGTCTGGATTGGAAGAAATCCTCCGGAAGGAAATAAGAAAAAAAAAATGGATCTTTTCCTGATGCATATACAATGCATGCACCCCGTTTAGAACCCGCTGTCTCGGTCTGATAGGTACCCATCATTCATTCATTCACCGATTTATGCACGCTCCAAAACCCACAAGGGCACGACCTTCCACATTTTCTCCTACTCACACCTTCTAGAGAAGCCCAAGTGGAGCCATTTACTCATAGTAGGACTTTCGATCCCCAGCCCACATATCATCGGCCAACGGCCCGGGGGGTCAATCCGCCACGCAAAGTGAATGCGTAATTCCGTGATGCTGAACATGCATGGTCATGAATACACTGGAGGGATATGTGGATTAAATGTACAGTACAAAATCTTGGGACCAAACAGAGAACCATGATATTAGACAAGGGGAAAAGAAAAGAAACAACTTGACCCGGGTTACAAAGTACCAAAAAAAAAAAAGGCGATATCGCCAAAAAAAAAAAACAAAAACCAATCTTTCGAATTAACGTCATCTACCTTAGTACTTCTCTCCCACCTTCGGCGAAGCGATAATATCCTCTTCCTGGTCATCATCGCCAAAAGTCACAATGTTGCTCGGTCTAAAAATCGGCTCGATATGTCTCCCCTCCGCACTCTCGATCGTGGCCACAAGTATGTCCGCATCTGAAGGGCGTTCGATATTCCCCCCCAAAATCTGTCTCGCACGTATCTTTCGTCCGTAAAAGCGCGCGTTTTCGTCACTCCGTTCGATGACGATGTTACCTGGGAAGGGGGAGGGGCGGGGGGGGAAAGAAAGTTAAGGGATGAGAGACACGCTATTCAGGCAGAAATGACGACTGAAGGAAGGTACACACGCACCGTCTACCTGGACACCGCCGTATAACCCTCGACTTTTGATATAACTTAACACTGGACTGAGTTCAATCCCCGTGTCAACCTAACGGATCCCCCGACGATTGCCACAACATTAATGCAGCCATCAAACCACCACCACCATACGCCACCGCAACCACAACAACCAAAAACAAGCCTTGAGATCCCCATACACTAAAGGGGGAAAAAAAAACAACGCACCACAGCACCCGCGCCTATCGGTCCGGCAGTTACGGTCAGTTCACCGCCTACTGATACTTTGGGGTTAGCAAATGCCTTTACGGCTCGCGAATTCCGGAGAATCAAGACAACGTCGTATATATCTGCGCCTGTTTTACAGTCAGTAAATCGACGAGCAAAAAAAATATCGACTGAAAGTATGATAAAGAGCAGTGAGGGGGGGGGGGGTGCGACGAGGAATATAGATTGGCGATCTGGGCCACTATATTCAGCACTCCCTGCACCCAAACGGAGCGCAAAATTCGTCTCGCTCGGGCTGTCATCGTTCATCTTCGCGCCCTCGCCGACATGTTCCGAATAAGAGAGGAGAGTGAAAACTCCAAAAAACACACCTGCAAGGAACCCAAATCCGATGGTGTGGATTAAAATCCCGGAAGGAGATCCCCATGCTGAATTTCACATTGGAAAACAAAAAGACACCCCCGAATTATTGAAAGAAGCCCATCCCAGGAGGTTGTGGTTTTCGGACCGGAAGATGAGGACAAGCACACCCGGACGTTTCATTCCCGAACAGAACACACACACGCGCGGGGATAAAATGCCAAAAATGCCAAAAAAAAAAGCAGCAATCAGTGATATGAAGAAGAATATATAATAGACGCTTGTACGTACACCCATCTGGATTCCTGGCAATGACGACACCACTCCCACTGGCAGCTGATAAACCCAGCCCCGTTCGGCACACGGTGTAAATTGCCAACCCTAAATTGATTTTTACGGTGAAAGGAAGATAACGAACTATTGAGTGCCAGGGTGCCAGGGAGAGTGAGATAACAGACCTTTAGCCGATATCAGGAGCTGTAAAAGGAGACAAGTGACGCCGAATCGGCCACGGACATGTCAGCGAGTGGGGAAGGGAAGGAGGATTAGAGAAGAGGATATGGCATACTCTCTGTGGAATCTGAACTGCAACACGTTGTTTCTTCTTTGTCTTCCCATCGCTCGTCTCTACCTCGAGTATTTCACTTGCAGCTATTCATGCAGTGGAGAGACGTTGTGAAATGGATATGAAGGGATTAGGGAGGGCCTTGGTTGAGGATCTATACATACTGGTGAATGAGCGCAGGATACGGCTGCATTTCTCCACCTCTGTTTGAGGTGAAAGAGTTAGATAGGGAGTGCAGAGAGAGGGGAGAGGTCGTGGAAAAATCAAACGCACCAACGGCAAGAGGCTGCGGATAGAACGCCTATTCCACAACCGCCGTACGTCCAATGGTAAAGATCAGATCTTTCACGCAGCTTCCAGACCAAGTCGGGGACAGCAGTGAGGACCTTACCTCGGAGCCGACTTTGCTTGCCAAGTAGTTCATCTTAGTCCCAAGGAAATTGGATACCTTCCATGCCCTGGTCTCGACAGATTTGTATCCTTGCTTCAACTTCTCTTTAGTCGTGGGCGAATTGCTCGTTGTAGCGGCAGCCATCGTTGAACGCTAGTATCTGAACTGGCTGTTAGCGTAGACTGAAAATTGGTGTGAAAGTGGGACAGGAGAAAGCTAGTTATACGGGGAGTGAGGGAAGTCTGAGTAAGAGTTGAGGTTGAGGCGAGTCTACGGCCACACATCCCTTAGGACCCGGCCGGCACTTAGGCAGTCTATTGGGTTGGAGCCGGCACTGCGGTCATCGGCAAGTCATCGGGTTTCACATGCAGCATGACACAACGACATTAGGTAAGGTCCCACACGTGTATTTCCGGTAGATGAAGTACTGACTAAGGACTCCCATCCAGCCTCTATGACTTCGTAATGTAGAAGCATTCAGCAATGGCTCACTTAACTCCTCGATCTGGCCACCTTCGTTTGTGCAGTGGGCATTGAATTTCAATCAGCAATCGAAGTGTTAATTACAATTTCCGGGATGGAAGCCAAAGCTGCTTGTGGTTCGGCGGGCGATCTGGTGGTGCGTATGTAAGCAATCCTCCGCTGCGTCGTCCTGCTCAAGAATCAGCCCTGTAACCCCTGCAGCGCATCAAAACCTTGAGCCATCCAAAGCTTATCGGGAATTACGCACAACCAGAGAGGCCCTTAAAGACTGGACCAGGGAATTCGACCGATCCATCGTCATTACACCTAGCTGGACGCGTGACCGCAAAATCCGGAGTGTTACCGCAAACTTACGGAGGAGGCCAACCCCCCCAGAACATATGGGGCTTCAGGAGGTGGAAAATGTGCTGGAGAACTTATACCTCCTCGCTCCAACCCGAGAATGGTCTTCTCCCGGCGTTTACTAGCTCATGACTCATGAGGACCAAAAATGCCCGGCGGAAGTGCCTACAGTATTCCCTGTTCCCTTGCCAAATTTCGCTCAACCCCAGCAAGGAGGAGGTGGAATACGCTAGTAGTTTCATGAACCAAGAAGTCCGGGATACCATCTTTACGGCAGCTCCGGACCCGGATGGGCATGGAAAGTCTTTGACGAAGAGGTCTACCACCTAACCAGGCTGTTGTACCGGCTTAGGATACCTATTTCTAGTGGTATTTCTCCTGATTTGATGGTTGGGGTGTGCCTACTGTATGGCGCATATCTGTAACGTTATTCGTCAAAAACGCACTTGAAAACTAACCCCGGAAAGTGTATGAAATCTGAAGATTTGGGCGCATCTGAGCATGCATGAGGTGGTTTTGGAGGCTTTTTTTTTTTTTTTTTTTAATTTTGTTTTGCACCGTCATCATTGGGGCTGGATAACGTTTGCGGGCCATATAATATTGGAGAATTCGTTCACGGAAGCCATTCGCGTTTCCGATAAGTTTCATGCATGGCGATCCCACTGGGAACCCTGCATGAAACCTCGGCCAAGTTCCTTCCGAGACTAGTACGTGCGCGTGCGGGTGTTCGCGCCTCGCCTTTGTCCACCATCCATCCATCCATCCATCATGATCGACCACGAGGCCAATTTTTAATTTCCCTGCATGTCTGGTCTCTGCATGGTGCCAAAAGCTTTTCTAACATGCAGCCATCGAGAAACATACATTAGGTGTACACGAGGAGTGTAGCCCGGATCTAATCCACCCCAATTCGGCGTCGCGGCCACCTGTAGCTGTCTTCCCCAACTGATCGCTCGATCAAGAAACGAGCATGATTAATTAATTGATTGCAATGCCATGCATTGGAACGTCGTTAAAAGCTCATCTCCGTGTTAATCCGCTAAAATCCCTCTCGCCAACGTGCTCTCCCAAATTTGAGCACCCAACACACAAAAAAAAATATCTCATTCCTTTTTTTTTTTTTTTTAAATTTTCACAATAGTTGAAGCTTTCCTCTTTTTCCCCATTACCGTCGGTCACGATACTGTGCACAATACCTGAGAGTTTCCTCGGGATATCGAAATTCGGAAGTGTTATCAAAACCGACCTCTGTAGAGTCCAGGTTTTAGATAAGCTCGGTAGTCGATAATGCCACTGCTCGTGGCTGCCTCTTCGCAACTTCGTTTGATATTAAGCTAACACGCACCGCCAAATCATTCTGGAACATTAGAAACGCTGTATATAGATGTTTGTAATGATGACAGAGTATCTTGGATGACCAACGAGCTAATGCATGTTCGCTTGCGTTCAGCACCATGCTCACAGCGATCCAAATAAATCAAGTACAGCCATATATATTGGCAATGTTTGTGGCATACGAAATTAGATCCAATAGTCCATCAATGTGTCCCAAATCGCAGCGGCATAAGTGAGAAGATCGATAGCAAAAAACGAGGATGTGATCACTCTCCTGCAAATAACCTAACAACAAGGTATGCAGTTGATCCGCAAAAACGGAAGACTGTGAAAGGCGGGATGAGGTTGACAGAGGTACAGAAGAATGAGGCCTTTGACGTACAGGCAAGTCCTGCCACTGAGAAAAGCAAGAAGGCCATATACCCAGAAACAGCCTTGCTGCCCTTCGTTGTCGCATGCCTGAAATAGATGTCAATATCCAGTACAATTGGGACAACGTTGTTGGGAGGGAACGCACTGAATTGCCACCGCCAAAGCACCCTGGTAACAGGACAGGCGATGAGTATCCACGGGAATGAAGGATCTTCAGGACTTACGTTCGAAAGAGTCCAAGCCAGCAAAACCTGCAGGTAAATAACTAAACATCACATAAAGCGTTTGGTGAGAAGATGCTTACGCTGCGTGAAAGAGTGTAAGTTTGAACCATCGCATACAAGAGAAAAAAAAAAGCCGCCTACTTGGTTCGGACCTGCTTGTAGTAATCCTGTTCTTGCAGACCAGCGTCCACTTTGACCTCAGCAGGTGGGGGTTTGCTGAAAACGCACGTTCTCGTCAACTTCCCGAGGGCTAAACCAACATTATTGCTCACCTCTCAAGTACGGCAAGGGCATCCTCGTAAGCGGCATTCAAATCTTTCTCTTCAGTTGGAACAACCACATCCACATTGTTATCCTTTGGCTTGGCAACAACCCCAAGATCTGTCTTCACAGGTGCATTATCACCCTTCGTACCCCATGATACGTCACTGGAAATCCATTAAGTGGACAAAACAAGGAGATATAGAATGTGGGCTTACTGAACGTTGGCAAACTGTTCACAACATGATTAGTACGAATCACAATATGGGAGGTAGGGTGACTTACAGCGTAAACATTGAGTACATTGATATAAGAAGGTGCCATGAGGATATATTGGATAAAGCTGTGTAAATTTCAGTATTGGTTCGAGTTGTGCAATTGAGAGGTCCCTTACGATGTAATCATATGCCAAGGCTCGAACTGGAGCAATGCAAACAGCGTTACAGATAGGGTGTATGTTCCCAAGCACAAAATTTACTCACGAACAAAAATGACGCAATTAGGTAAAGACCAGTTGTCGCCAGCAAGGAGACAACGATGTTCCTGAAAATAGAACTGCTCCAGAGGGATTTCCCTTTTGATCCTCCTTCAATAGCTTGGATACCCTTGAACGCAAGGAAGAAAGCCGCAAACTGATCACCGTGATAAGGATGACAAGGTTAGAACTCGATCGCGTGGGACTCACAGTCATGTAGACCGTGATAAGTGCAAAGCCAATCATTGCTGTTGTATAACCCCACTTTGAACTGGGCGGGTGCATGAATGAGTGCAGCGGTCGCGCCTTCGGGGATAAACTCACCCTTGAGGTCGATTTCCCATAGAGAGGAGGAAACACATGACAACAAGGCCCAGATAGATATATTGCAATACGTTGTTAAAGATATCAATATGCTTCAAATTGAATGAGGGATCTTCCATGGCTTTGGTAAGGATAATCTAGAACACGGAAGTATAAGCGCTCGTCTATTAAAGTATTATGCCTTGTCTCACAAAAGCAATGTAAAAGTTTGCCTGGAAAATGGGGACTCAGAAAGGGGACCCACTGGATGTCAAGATATGCTTACCAGAGCAAACCATGAAAACATCAAATTAAATGTTTGATACACCATTTCAACATGTATCGCAAATTTGCGCCAGAACGTATGGGAACTTCGGTAGATGTAACCAAATTTGAGAGTAGCGTGAATAGCCTGAATTCAGGAAATGCTGCATCAGCATACAGACACACGGCCTTCAATATGCCCGAAACTCACAGCGAAGAATGAACCATTCAGCCATCGACGACGCTGACTGATAAGTTCGGGGACTTGATCAGGTACATCAGTTTCTGCATATGCTGACTTGACGTAATGGAGGATCCAAGAACCGCCACGCTTCGACACGAGTTCCCAGCAGAGAATCTGAGGATGCGCCGAATAGGTTGGCGGCAGCGTAAATCAACATTATTCGCATTCAAACGTACCCGATCCTCAGCAAGATACATGTTAGAAGTGAAGATATCGGCGCCAGCACCGTGCTTGAGTCAGACGTATCAGAAAACAATTATTGTCATAGGGAGAGATACTTGCCAGCTTCTCCCCCAGGAAATACTTCTGAAGAGGCCCTTCTCCTATCGCGTCGTTCTGAAGAGCAACGTACCTGGCAGGGAAACCTCACAATAAAGGTAGGGAGGGGGAGATCGAAACTCACCTGTATGCACTGAAAGCTCCAGGAAGCACGGTAATGTAACCAAATATCTGGATTGACGCCGTTACAACTAGGTTCGGAAAGGTATAAAGTGCCAAGAACCATACCGACTCGAGTGGCTTGTCCAGGATATTGCTCATCTGCCCTCCGGGATCAGTCACATTGCTTAATTAGCATCATCTCCAATCGGATTCACCTTATATTCGAAGTTCTGAGCAGCGACTAGAGGATTCTTTAACAAATCCAAACCCCAGTTTCCCTTCATAGCAACAATCTCGCCACACGCTCCACCAACGTTTGAATTAAGATCAAATGCCTTCCAGAGATGGTAGATGGACGTATTTCCTGGTTGAGTTCCCACATCTAGTAGAACGCAAACGTTGGGGTCCAAAACCCGACCAAAAGCGTTGAAGAACCACCTGAGTTGTGATAATGACAGTGAGTAGCGGCAAGAAATAATTTCATGCGTTAAAAAGGTCGACACGGACCGGTGGGAATTGATTTTTTTCTCATTCTTTTCCTTTAAACAGAAGAGAATCTGAACTGGAACTGCGCCTCGTTCAGCACCCTGAATCCGTTTTTTCGCCGTAATCGCAACTGTCGATCGGAATGAACAAAAAATCCTCAAGGAGAGAATATGTAACGTTCAATGCTTACGTTGCGTCGTGTATTCGTAGATATGAGCCGTCTGCGACGGAAAAAGTGGTGAACAAAATGGGTTTATGTGAGCTCGAGAAAGAACTGTTACGCACGACAGGCTTGTCTCCGACAATATTCTAATCGTATGAATTATGCGTTCAATATGACCGAACAGTTTGTGTCAGAACCACCTCTCCATACCTTCGCAACTCCATCCTGGTAAGCTCCCAAGGAAGCAATAGCAGAAAGCGTTCTCGAGTTGATCTTCGAGCGTCCGTCCGAAACAATGCACACAACGACTTTCTTCCATCCCTCAGCACCCCAGATTCTTGAACGGGTGCGGGTAGTAAGATGTTGAATGTTCTTCATAACGCCGTGCATAGTTCGTGCAAAAAGTTCGTCATCTTCCTATGATCAGAAAGAATCAGCTTCGAAGACGAAAAGGAGAGATAAAACAATGTACATTGTACATGGTCATGACAATGAAAAGTTCTGTTTTACGAGGCGGGTCATAGAGAACTTGCCGCAATGCATATCCCTCATCCTATGATGAGCCACGTTCAGCTCAAAGGACGCGCGAACTATTGAATAAGCATACTCGAAAGTTATCGGGGTCGCATGTTGCCGCAGTATACCGCATGTGGGTGAACTCCCTCTCATTCTTGAGTGGACATAGTTCAAGAAGTTTAGGAGGAACAGGGCAATCCAAAACAAGGTTTCCATTGTAAAGCCTTAGAACTTGTTAATCAATGTCTGTCTGCATCATGAGACGCAATATTGTACTCACTGCACCCGTTTCGTCGTTTTAAATCTCCTGGGAATGCGCTGGGGGATTCTCCCATAATGGATGTAATTTTCTGCCCCCACCTCGGCTTCCTCATCCGGAAAGGCAGCATCACGACCACCCCTCCTAGGCACAAGAGGTATGGTGTCCTGGTAAGACGGCACGCCATCATCTTCCAGGTGATATCCTTGGAGATGTGAAGATGAAGACGGAGTCTGAGACGGGTCATACTGGTCATTAGGTTGTGTTGACGCCGGGCGTTCATATTGATCGTAGCCATAGCCACCTTGCAATGATGCATATGAAGGATGAGGAGTTATGAAGGGGTCCGCTTGAGGCTCAAAAGGATTTGGAAGCTCAGAACCATACCCCCCTGGAGGTGGTGGAATCGGCGGTCTGTCATCGTTGTAGCCATATGCAGGGCTTGCCCCATGGCGGTCAGGTCCTGGGGTTCGCAAAGGCTGGTATCTCTGAGATTCGGGATCCTGAGCACCCCTGTTAGCTTTCCGCAGCTTGAATTTTGCTCAACCAAACCTCTGGATAATCATAATATTGCCGCGACATGATAGAAAGGTTGATCCTTGGTCAGCCTTATTCTCAAAGGAAAACAATATTAGTGAGTGCCTCAGTGAGAGTAGAGTGTTTAAAGGTTGAGCTAATGCCGAGGATCAACCTCAAAGTGGAACTGCCCTGCGGTTGCGGGCAGTGCAACTGGCTGTACCTTTTGCGCCTAAACTGAGTTTGCATCCGATTGATTCCCGCTTTTGGCAGTCACTGCGGTTGCCAAATTGGCGCCCCGCGCGGCCGCTTCTGGCGTCGCTGCTGGAACGATTGGCGGGTCCATTCCGATCGACTCTGACGTCTCGCGTGCGTGCTCAATAACCCCGTATCTCCACATCGGCACGAACGGTTGCCAAAGCCTCTTACTGGTATTGCCACTCCAGCCTTCATACAATACAGATATCCAGTACAGACAATAAACCCGACACCACAAGCTCTCCGTCACCCAACCAGTCAACGCTACCATGGATCCCATCATGTACATTCAATTGTGAACCCCAACCCCAACGCCCCCCTTCTTTGCGTTCATCGAGGACCTCCTCACTGTGGAACACCTTATATTCGCCGAGGCGGCCGCGGCCGTGGCAGGGTCAATATCACTTGGACCCCAGGCCTTATCACGATGCCTGGAATGAGGTGGCGTCCAGTGCAGCATGCTCAACGCTATACCCTTTCGGTAACGCAGGCAATGCGAGCCAGGGACCGGCCAACATAATGAACAATGCCAGCCTCGCTTATACATCTGACAGGGGCTGCAGCAATTTCACGGACAGCAACTATATCTAGGCTTCCCGTAAGTAGCAACTAATACCATCACATCTTAATTTGGGTGAGTTTCACCAACGTCGCAGGAGGGCGAGTATAAGCATCCAGCTTACATAACTTTTGAGTGAGCTGTAACAGCCTGATCTTGTGTATAGAAACCATTGCTCGTTATATGATTAAGGAACAAACAAACAATGAAGTAATGATACTAGTTTCACCTCATTTCCTTGGGTCAGAACGACGCTCGTGTCCTCCATCTGTAAAGGGATTAACAATAGATTGCCTAAGTGGTCGATCGTGCCCGACAGCGATGGTAAATTCAGTTGCTATCCATGAAATTGCTACAGCTGTTGCCAGATATGTAAGTGGGGGTGGCATTGATTATCATGTTGGCCGGTCCCTGGCTCACATTGCTTGCGTTACCGAAAGGAAATGGGTGTTGAGTACACTGCACTAGACGCCTACTTGTTTCGTGATAAGGCCTGGGCTTCGAGTGATTGACCCTACCACGGCTGCCTTGGCGAATAGATGGTGGTCCATGGTGAGGAGGTCCTCGATTGAAATGTAAAGAAGGGAGTGACATTGAAGGTCGCATAAAGCGATTACCTGTTCCGATTACTACTCCGGAGTTTAGGATGGCTTGTGCTTCGAGAAAAGGGAGACCATGGCGCTAAGTATAGCGTCCGAAAGGTTATTGGGCTGCACCCAACCTTGCAACATTACAAGTCTACGACAAAATGACACTCCAATATCAGACGTGACTGAAGGTATAAAAGGCCCCGCCCCTAGCTCAACCAACCCCTCTATAACTACACCTCGCAAACACACGGACTATAATATTCACGCCCCATTCACACTCGATCACGCCACCCAGAAGAGGCTCAACGTTGAGGAGGTATGATTGTATGAGAGAAGGGAGTGAGCATTGCCGTGAGGAGTTCCATCGCTGGTTTCTGTGCTGAAGAGCGGGGTGTGGATGAGTTAGAGACGGGTCCAATGGATATCATCGCAAGGGTTAGACAAGTTTTATATTCAGTTATGTCTGATAGCGGGATATTCTCTTGTCGCAGGTTTGTAATAGTGCTGACCCCTAAGACATCTAAACAATCATTCACTGCCGCCTTTCCACGCAGCACATCCCAGCTTGTGGAGCCATTCAACCACTGCAGGAAGAACTTTGCGTTCTACCCTTGGCCATCGTGTTTTATGATGCGCTATATTAGTGTGTCGTCTGGAGGTCTGAGTCCCACGTAGTTACCAACTCTTCGACAAAGGAACAGGATGTCATCGTTAGGGATACACTTTTGAGTGGAACACGGGGTGGATGTTTCTTGAGTTCATCAGACAATTCCAATTCAAAGCTCGCTGGATAGGCGCATCAACAACATACAGTAGAGCATTCCTGGTCACCCCGCAGCATGACCACAGTCATCATCATGCAGACGCGCGTCGAAGGAGTATTCGCTATTGGTCGGATTGCAGTCTTGCTAGTCTTGCAACCCGAAAGAAATTTCCCACGATCACCACACCAAGTGACCAGCCAAGTCCAACCTCTGATCGGACGCCGTGCGACTTGGACGTCGACTGGTGCAGCTCACCCACTTCATACTTAGAACGAAACTAATGCCTTCTATCGTTGGCAATCTTGCTTGTCAGCGCAACTCGTATTTACGGCGACTGGAGACCACTGTTGTGTCCTGCGTGCCCAGCACTTCCAAGAATAATTCGAGCGGCAGTGGAGGCTCGAAAGAAAACTTTAAATCCATCCCATTAGAGAAGCGGCCAGCGGCTGACTTAGAACCCTTCGAAATCGAGTTTGAAGATACGGTACTCTTTCCAGAAGGTTGGGTGCGCGCTGTGTGCGATGCGTTCTCTGAGTCTCCCATACATATCTATATGAACAGGTGGCGGTCAACCGGAGGATCATGGACTCATCAAACTCTGCGAGGGAACACATGCATCCCAACCAGCTGAAATCCTCATTACTCGCATAGCTCGGCATGGACTGCGCGCCGTACACTTCTCCTCGTCACCGCTCGAACCAGGCACTAAAGTTGTACAGGAAGTATCTTGGGATCGAAGATGGGACCACATGCAGCAGCACACAGGCCAGCATCTTCTCAGTGCAGTTATGGATACATACCAAGGCCTCGAGACTCTAGGGTGGAGTATGGGGGCCAGTATTTCTAAAGATGAAGACTTCAACAGGGAGCACAACAGTGTCTCAACTTCAGGTCCTTCCCTTATGCCCAACATGAATTTCGTCGAGTTGGGTCGGAAACCAACGGACGCAGAAATCTCAGAAATCCAGCATAGATGTAATAGTATTATAGCAGAGAACCGTCAGGTCACCGTTGACACACCGTCGGATGCAGACACCACTTCTCTTCCATCTGATTACGACGCGTCACAAGGACTTGTTCGGGTTGTCAAAATAGACGGCATCGATGAAAATCCGTACGCTCCTTTTCATGACCCTGATAATACTGGCTGATTTCCAGCCTGCCCTTATCGTAGATGCTGCGGAACCCATCTCTCTCAAACATCCCACATCTCACTCATTCTTATCTCCCACACTCAACCCATTCGAGGCACTAATACACGTCTATACTTCACTTGCGGCCAACGTGCCATAACCCTCGCCACGTACTCCATCCGTGCCGCACGGTCCATCGCGGGCATTGTATCTGCATCCATCTCCGACTTGGAGAACGTGATTTCGAAGGTTACGAAGATAGATCTGGAACTAAGGGACGCGAAACGAGCAAAACGGAGGCTCGAAGCCGAGTTGGCTAAGTTCGAAGCAGAGAATATTAAAAGATCCTTCAATGGAGTCACCCAAATTATGGAAGAGAGCGGAATGGCCTCCAACAGTAGCAGTGACGCAAAACGGAGAGCCTTCGTTTCCAGGGTTTGCGAAGATTCGTCAGCCGGGATGGACTTCATCCTTTCATTGCAATCCGAACTAAAACAACCCCTTACCATGTTTCCAAACTTAACCTACGACACAACTGGTCTCACCATTCTTGTAACTCCGACAACATACCGTGATGTTGGCCAAGGTGGCATCACGAAAGAAGATGGTCCAGGTCCGATGGTGATCCTAGGGGACCCCACGCTCGTTGCGAAAGCCGCAGAGCGGATACGCACTGATCCTATTCTCACAGATCCCCCTGTCCAACCTGCCACCAGGGAAGGGGCCAAGAAAGCCGGAAATTCGGGCGGTGGAGGAATCAAAGGAGGCGGGAAAGGTAGCCGATGGCAAGGAAAGGCACTGAAACTAGGGACGGCTCAAATCAATGCCTTAAGAGCCATAAGTTACTCGAACTAGTCGGAGCACTTGGTACTAGCTGCCGGCGAACTCACACACCCTGATTAGAGCAGCGTCCAGGGTTGGGGTTCGTGCTAGGTGCACATCATACAGGCTTCATTAGAAAACATGTCCCGGAATAGAATCATGCTGGTTTGTGTTGGTCGATTGACGAAGGCACCGATATTGTCTGGGCCGCATCGCCCGGTACCCCGGGCGAGGATAACTTCAATCACTGGGACGCAGAACGATGTCATGCAGTGCATGCGCGCATCTGTCTCGGGTGCTATTGCAGTGTGGGTGGCCAACTCAAACGCGAGTTGAGCAGAATGCGAAGTGATCATTGTCCCAAAATGCGGGGATTTCCCAGGGGGCCGTGAGCAAATCATCACCTCAATCGACATGGACGCTGCCATTTCTCCAACAGATAAACTTAATGATTTCTTCGAAGCTTAACTTCATGTCTTCCAAACTATGTGACTCTCCGACTGGAGGAACATGTAGGAAAGTGACACGGGTAATTATTCGAGGCATAGGGAAAGTCATGCGGGGTGCAGATATGAATGTAGCCTTCCTCGGTTGTCGCTGCGCAGGAGAACAATAATAAACAGATTCACACAGGCATAAGCCTGCACGGGAGTAATTGATACCGTGAAGGACATGGTTAGTGTCTGGTGAAAAACCAGCCAAAGGCCCAAGACGAAACAGGAGCATCAGTACTCTGTGGCAGAGAACATCCTTCTCTTAATCTATGTCAATGTTGGTATTCCAAATTCCGTCGGGGTAACGGTGCCATTAATTCTGAAACGAACCATCCCTATTGTTTGGAGGAACAATTCCTATATTTATCGGCCATAAGGAGGGAAGCAGGTCGGCATCGTGGAGACAAAGGTGTATGATCCGAAGGGGTGCGCGTGGTTCCAATGGCTGGGTGGAATGCTGGGCGTAGGCTCTACGCCACGATGGGACTGAGTGCTGACTCCGTGGTGCCAGCTCACCATCTACGTCAGGACAAAGCCCTTGCTTCGATTCTCACCCCGCTAGCCAAATCTACACCGGGCGAATGGGTTCCCGTGCGAGGGGCGCCGAGGGCTGCACAACCTGGACCACGTCTCACGGAAGGTTGAGAATTACAGAAGGATAATTTAGCCAGTCGGGGAGTCGAGGGTGGATAGCATGGAGAAACTCAGCAATCTGTAACACCTGTCAGTAAGACACCCCAAGCTCAAAACGGCACGACGTGAAACTCTTAATATAGGGAGCTGCCCAGCGCGCAAGCTTGATGATCCCGCAATCTGGGCGGCAAAATATGGATCAAACCGCTTCAGGACCCTCCCGTTGAAGGGAGCGGTTGATAGCTAAGTTAGGTTCTCCAAAGGGCTATCTTGAAAGGCTGAATCCGTGCGATCCCCTGCGAAACTGAAATTTCCCGTATCTAGGCATTAGTATCAGAGATGTGTCATCAACCAAATCTTATCAGAGAGCCGTGAATGGAAATACAGGGAGGAGCGATCCAACAAGGATGGAGCGAAGCTAGAGGCCACAGCGGATCTTTTTTCTTTCTCCATGAGTCATATGGAGTGGAGGACATCGACGATCAGCAGGCATTGCTACGAGGATCAGTATTGATACAGTAATGAAAAAGGAAAACTTGCAATTGCACCTTCTGCTCGTTAGTCATACGGGTTTTTGTGTTTCGCCTACGGAGCCAGCGAATAACCAGAGCCAGCAGATGGCTGTTGAAAGGCTCAGTCTGAGTGCAGTCTGAGTACTACGGTCCGCCGCGAAACCCGCAACCCCGAGCCAGTTATCAAATAAGCGTCATCACGCGAGTGTCATCAACAAGCGACGTCAGACGTACGTCATAAAAGTGCATCATCAGACGAGCGTCATCAATTAAGTCTTGTCAGACTCCTTATCAAACATCAAAGAGCCGCGAATGGAAAGACAAGGGCAACTTCATATGGAAATTTCATTGACGCGGAAGAGGTTTAGAATGGTCTGCGCATCTATTCTGGCTGCGTTGGGAAGCTCTACCCGCGCCCCCTCCCCCCCCCCCCCCCCCCCTTCACGCGATGGCTCACCCAGGCACCCGTTATTATCATACTGGGAGGAAATGTGGATATAATTTCTACAGCAGGCAGTCGTGAGATGCTCACTTCCATTGCTGGTTACGGGACATGTTGGCGAGCGATAGGGCCAAAACCAAGTCCTTAGGTCGACATTCGTTTTACTGTGGCGCTGACCATGCAAGCTCGTGCCGTGTTCTGTGGTTGCTGGATCAGCTGTATGGGGATCGAGCCACAATTGGAAGAGATGGGTGCACTTGTTCGATGAATAAATTGCGCGAGGGTGAAATCCCGCAACCTTTCGCGAATGCGTCGGGCTTTCGTATTTGTGAAACATGTGGTGGCGAGTACGTTTTGAGTAGGTGAGAACATTGAAGCTTGCCTCGCTTAGCAGTGACCTGGCAAATGAGCTAGACTAATTGTTTCGTGGTCGCAGCGCAGGCAGTCTGCATGGAAAGGGTGGCTGAATGACCTTATTGCGCAGGATGTGGGGTTGTTTATCTGGATGGAATACCATGCAGGATGTGAGCGGTAACGTTGTCTTGTGCCGACAATAATGCATCGTCAGGGCAATCGTCAAGCCTCGCTCCAGCACTACGAGCGCATCTATGATTTCGTCAAGTCTCGCAGAAGGATGGCGGCATCGAAGGAGTAGTCAACACGTGCGTCACTCATGCGTTACTGAGCCGCGTGCCAAATAATGCTAGAAACAATAGCTTGATGCCAAATTCTCGCAGCAAGTATGCCAACGTGTAGCACTAGATATCTACTGGGCGGATGCCCAGGTAGGATGGGTTTTCATACCATTCGCTACCCCTGAAACCAACGTTGAATGGCCTTATATTATACTGGGACCTACCAACCACGTACTTTGATTGGAGGGTAGGACAATAAGGGGCCTAAGTATATAGAAGCAATATGCCGTTGCACCGGCAGCCAGAACGTGGGAGACACCTCACCGCTTTGTCAGCCTCATAAGCCAGCGAGTCCACCCCTGCGCCCAACCAACGGCGAATGGCTCCATATCATACCGATGTTCATCAATCAATCGCTTCGGTAGGGGGTAGAATGACAAAGAAGTTGTGAGGATCCTAAGGGTGTAGAACCAGCCAGAAATAGTGATGTTCCGTGCACGGCCGGCCAAAACACGGAGGGAAAGGAGATACCTCACCACGGCAAGCTGGCGAGTTCACCCGGCAAGTGACTTTGTATCATACTTGGGTCCCTCAGTCATCCACGTCGATGGAGAGCGGGATCGCAAGCAAGTTGTAAGGATAGACCTAAGGGTATAGCGCCACGCTAGTATCAGGTACTTAGTACCGTGGACCGCCAGTCAAATTGCGGGAGAGCCGAATGAGTGAGCGACATCTCAGAATAACGATACCACAGAGGAGAGGCTTCCTTCCCTTCCCAATGCCATGTGCTTTCGTTGAAGTCCGAACTAAAATACCCAATCCTCCGCGGCCATGCTATTCTTGTCATTCGAACGACGATGGCGCTCGAGGGGAAGGTCACAAAGACGATCAGATGATCCAAGTCTGAACTTGCGCAATCTCGTTGTCATGTCATACCAGCAAATTTTCCAATATCGCTGGGCATTGGGCGGAAGGCGAGTTGACCAAAGCGTGAGAGAAGAGTCGGAAGGGCGCCAGGGGAAGGAACAGGTGTTAACGCAACCAGTATACAGAAGCTATCGATCCGAGGTTTCAAGAGTAGTTGTCAGCTAGTGTCCGAACTGAGGGGGGGGGGGGCCTTTGTCAGAGCTTAATACCTGCGCAGTATGCAAATACTGTTTCTGTGAGTAGAAAGTCACATTCCCTTGACAGCATGTGGTGTTAGTGGCATTAGGTTTTCCTGACCCACAGGAGTATCAATATCATTTCTATAGGCGCCATCCCCATTTCGTATGCGGGATCAATCACTACCATGCTTGAAGGAACCACTCGACCAACCGTCGACATATCCGCCTAAAACTCTTAAAAACACAATGATATAGCAAGAATGTACAACAACATGTGTCACGGTCGAACTTGGGGTTGGCTAAACTAACGTGATTTGGTCAAGCGTAGGAATAACCGCAAAAATCCTTTCGGAAATCAATCAAATCATGATTCTATTAACTGGGAGAGTGCCGCATCTGGCTGAGTCTTTAGAATCACTCGTCGACGCGCACACCAGCAGCATCGCCAGCTCCCCAACAAATGACCTTGATGATGTTCTCAATAGCGAACGTCATGTCCTCCAAGGTCTGCGGCTCTCCAACCGGAGGTACGTGGACGAACAAGACCTTCGGACAGCGATCGGGGGTACCCAGGACGCCGGGAGGTAACTCTTCCTGGCGGCTTGCAGAGCTCGAGACCTCTTGATCCTGGCCATTGGCTGTCGAACTGGCTTCGGTTTCGGTGGCCGAGATAGGGAACGCTGCATGGGAGGTCACCCTCCTCCCGATCCGGTGGTGCTGCGCGAGAGAACAATAATAAACAAATTCGCAGAGATATAAACCGGCATCGCTAGAGTGAGTTATATCCTGGTAGGAAGGAGGTGGGAGGTAGGTTAGGTGTTTCTTGTAGAGGAAACTCGAAGCCCAGCCAAAACACTGAAATCTTTATCAATGACTTGCCTGTATTCCACACTGATGAACGTCCTGTACAAGTTGCTGTACGTCAATAGAGGGGTTCCAGATTTCGTCGGGACAACCCTCGTAACCTTGTCCGAATCCTCTTGGGGGCGATACGTCGTCTCTGAACCTTAGCATCGCAATTGGCTTGGGGATAATTCCAACATCTATGAACCATGAGGTATGAGTGTGTTTAAGTTTTGAGGGAGCATGTCCTTACATGGTCTTAGTGGCCTAGTCGTTGTCATCGGCATAGTAAGAGGTGGAGGCTGCACACTAAGATGGGATGGATGAACAGGTGGCGCCAACTCATTATCTATGTCAGGTTCCCGATATCCAAATCGCCTAGCCATCGCTTCAATTCTCATCCCACCAGCCGGTCCAACACCGACATGGAGGATCAAGTCGAATGGTCTATGTTGTGGAGGCAGGGAGTCCGGTAATGCCACCTAGACTTAGGCCTATGAAGTTGTCCAACGACCACATCAGAAGAGAAATTTACCGAGTCTGGAAGTTCAGGAGGAGTAGCATGGAGGGGTTCTATCACTGATAACACGTGTTGATAGGATACCGTGAGCTCGAATGAAACGATGTGAATCTCCGAAAGGAGGGATTGGCCAGTGGAGGGTACTGGGTCTATGCTTTGAGTATCCAAACGTGCCTCAAACTTCCTCAGCACTTTTCCATTGAGGGGTGCTGTGGACAGCCAAGCTGGATTGCGAGCGTAGTGACTGAATGGCTGGTAAAATTTGAGTCGGAGAACCGCTCGGTGTTGGAGTTGGGCCTACCCCATATCCAGTAACACACACGTAAAAAACCTTTGGATCAGTTTGGGACGGGGACTCCATGACCCCAGGGTCGACAAGGGCGATGCGAGATGCGAGTTGATCTTCAAATTAAAGGGGAATCCAGAGGGGGGATATCGTCCTTGAGCGCTGGGACGTCAATAAAAGTATGGGGGTGTGATATTGAAGCGCGCGATGGGCTTTTGCGTTGGTGGGCAACCGGTGAAGTTTGGGAAGGTGCTGGCGTAATTATATTATATAAGCTACGGTTGGGAAGCATTTTCCATGTTCCCTCACAGCCCCTTCTGAACCTATCGCCCTGATTTCTTCCCTTCCGAAAACTGTATTTGCAGATCCGTAGGGGGTGGAGGTCCAAGATGTGATGTTCTCTGGGAATGTGCCGTTATTCTCATGGTACCGCTTCCAAGCAACAGAAAACAAGAAAAGTTGTCCTCAGTGGCCATAACTGGAGTGTTAGGATCGACATTGACCGGTAGGGGGTGAACCGAATGGGTTTGAGCCTGGAACCGTTAAAATTGCAAACCAGGTCCCATCACGAATCCGCATAATCCTTCACATTTCTTACGGAACGGGAAGCGAGTAACATGTGACGGTGCAGGATGGGTCCAACGCATCCGCCACATGTAAGGTTAACTGAGGCAGGCGACCAGCCTCTCTCTATTGAGAATCTCCACGAATCTCCCCCTCATCCCGACCGCACCGCATCTCATTACCGAAGGTGCGGAAAGGGCTTGTGAACTGTGCAACAGTAAATTAGTTTCGGCCCCACTTTCCAATATCAGAGTGCATACGGTTCAACTAGCGGGGAGACTTCGCTTGAAATTGTAAATTAGGTTTCAAATTTTCGTCCCACTGCATACATACCTTGGCTGACAACTATTCCCATAAATGTTGCCGATATGGACGTCGCTCTCGTCCCGTCGGGACGATTGACATGGGCACGTGGTTGTCAAGTCGTTTCGGCGAATCCCGAACATGGGACTTCATCGGGTCTTGCGAGAGGTGGTTCGTTAGGTAATGTGTAGGAGCAGTTGAACTAAAGAAGCACCACTCAGTGCGGCGGCTCGGTTGGGATGGCAGTAGACTCTAAAGATATAATTGTCGGTGTAAATACATGTAAATACACATCGACATGGAATAGAGACAAGTATGGAAAGTGCACAACACCTATTATGACTTGCTCCTCCAACATGAACATGTGCTAGCGCTTCCACGGCTTGATCAGGAAGTTTGAGGTATTCGGCTATACCCGATTAGATTGAGACGGACTTTAGGCAATCTCATCCACAAAGCAAGGGGTCAAGTTCGAGTGTCCACTGCTAGTCTTGTGAATACGATCCGACAATTAGGGGTTCGGCCTCAGTTCTGGCGATCCCAGGTCTCCATTTGTGGTCAGTTGGGGTGGACGTGGAGCTCCCACTAGGCAGGATCCTAAGCTCCCACCTCAATCGGGCCTTCGTCTGCTGTCTTAAACGGTGGTTCTCACTTCCCAACTCCAACAAGGACCTACCTCTACTACTTCGTTCCCTCCATGTCTCTTAAACTTGGACGGGGGCATAGGAGATGGTACTGTACTATTACGACCATAAGTTCATCCCATGTCGCAGCAGCCTCCGGCAACTCCCGGAGGCCGTGGGAATGAACTAATGGTCGCAGCGATAAGCGAACAGGGCCTGCTGATACCCAACTACATAGCTTGCGTCGATAAAGCAGATTCTCTCCCCGAACCTCTCAGTCACCTGCCCATTTAAGGGCCTGTACTCCACCAAATATTTAATTCATTTGTCATTGCCCCCGCTCAAATGTCGGAGATATCCGACATCACGAAATCCTCCAGCAAATCCGCCAGCACTAGTGAACTGCGGGCGATCATTAGCAGCAACAACAACAACAACGAGTCTCCATGGTCCAGGCTGCGTTAATTACATGGCTTGACCATCGACAAGCACTTGTACGATGCCAGTGTACCAGACACAACTAGGCAGGACTCCAGCCTCTATGACTTCGTAATATAGAAGACACAACAGCCTCCCCCATTCGATTTTTTCGGCATAGAGGAGCGGTGCACGTGTTTTTTGGACCAGCCATGTCCAGCTTTGGCTTGATCCCCTTCGGGAGGGCTCGGAGGAGCGATCTCGTGTATCTGCATATCATCCCAGCGTTCCGACTTCTCAGCCTCAGCGATGGAAACCATCAAACCGAAGCAGCCTCTCCCATTGGTACAAACCCGTAAATATTGATTCTTCGGCCGAAAAGCTTCGGGGGCAATGTGCTCTCGGCCGGCAGGGCGTGCGGGACCTGGCCAATCATGCAGCGTGCAATGAGCAACGCCTCTCCGGGTTATCCATTGAGGTGCCCAAAACGATAAAATTTCCAAACATTCAGGGCTTTCGCCTGCTCATAAGGATAAGATCGGAATTGGTTATTCCATTGTGGCGCTGACCGTCCATCGGGTCATATCGGATAAAACGTCAAAATTGGACGTGGACCTGTGCGTAAGGGTAAGAGGGGTAAAAAACTCTATGATTAGGAGAGATACGAATTGTCACTATAATACGAGTAGAAGTAAAGTAAAGAGTCACAATAGTCTTGTATATGTATGTATAGAAGGAAGAATTAATGGAGAATGTGGATGAAAGCAAAATCTAAATGGAACTCCAAATACTCGAAACACTGCGATGCAGGGTGTTCTCGCGATCTGAAAGAACGATACGTCAATTAGTCAGGCCAGTTTGGACATGTCGGGAGCTTCAATATCGCACCGTGGGGAAAGGACACCAATGTGGAACTAGTTCATTTACGATCCCAGCTAAGCATCTTGAAGATGAGAGGGTGGTCTGGATCGCGTCCGTATCCGTTCTCCGCGAGGTTCACGATGTCCTTTTCACTGAATCCTAGGTTCTTAGCGAATGTGTCGAACGTCGCAAACAATTCGGTGCAGCGACTGTCTGAGGCGTTTTCCATCATAGAGAGCAGACGACAGACATGCACAGCTTGGGGGCCTGGCCCACATCTTTCTGCATGAACGCCCCAACGAATGGGTACCTTGCGGGGTCGCAAGAGCCATAGGCGGGAGCATGAAGCTTTCCCTGCTCGTCATAGACTTGATAAAAAACTGGAGTGATATGATGAGTACCAAACGTTCAGCTGGCATCAAAAGTACGATGCGACTGACTGTAGGAAGACATATTGCAAGACGCAGAGGATGTATGGTGCGTTGGGGGTGTAAGATTGTGAGGAGTATGTAGCTTGAGTGGTGATGCTGTCCTGGCCACGCGGACCCTATATATGTAGTGGGGCGCAATTTCACGGAGATATGTCTTGTACAGGCTCAACGGCACTAGGGCACCGCCGCAGTGGCAGTAGGAGCCTTAGGAGTAAACCCAGGGGGATTAGACTCGTAAAGAGCTGCCGAAGTCAATGATCGACAGAGTCAGGAGTGACGCCCAAGCAACGAAGTTGGAATGGCCCATAAATCATTGTCGCCTTTGTTTGCAGGACCGTAGCTTGTATTCCGCAGCCATGAGTCAAATCCCATCATTCCCCTGGAGGATACCGGAATTATAGTTGAGGTCAACGCGAGGCATTTGATTGACGCGAGAGATCATTGAGGTCAATGAATCTTGATTGCCAATGCCAATACCGAAGACAAGTGTATCAGCGCGCAACGTTGGTCGTATTCCGAGCGGACGCTCAGGGGGGATCATAGAATGATCCGATTCACGTAGGTTTCCGCGCTAGAAGCCCAGCCACACGTGTTTGAGGCGCAAAGTCTGATCAGAAATATCAACACATGCCACCCCTGTCACCCAAAAAGGGAAGCCGCAAGTTTCAGCCAGACATCGGAGGAATGACTCCAGATTTGGATTATCAAACCACAGGAGCAGCAGGTGTCTCTCAAAGTAAAAGGACATTAATTTTGTACATGCTACCTTGGAGTTTCTCAACGCCACCGGAAAGGAATGGTGCTCGATATTCCGGATGTGACTCAGAAGTCACCTTGAACATGAGGTGGAATAACTGCGCCCGCGGAATGACTGGCGTGCATTGGGATCTTTACATAAAACGGGAAGATGCCGGTCCACCCAACTGCTCAGGAGCACCAAAGATCGTCACTGATGCTAAATTACCGTGTGGTTGCAGAACGGAAAAATTCTGGCAAAAAAAACCTACGGATCCAATTGCCCGTAGCTTCATCCGGAAGCTTCAGGACCCACTGATGCTCAAAAGCCGTTGCATGCCATTCCGGTGGAGGCGCGACCGTAGCTCAGTGTCCTCTGGCGGCCATCATCAGACATCAAGTCCGACGTCCTTCCCATCCACGTGATTACGGCAACCGCAAGGACCTGTCCGTGACCACTGGGTCAGAGAAGACAAAGAAAGTGAGACAGGAGACCATGGAGACTAGAAGAAAGCTTGACAAGTCGCAGTCACCCAGCCGGTGAGGATGTCGCTGGAATATATCATTTCATCAGATCACGTGCGCACACTGAGTAACTGTGCAGTTGCGGTTATCGCCGGAGAGCTGAACCAAACTTACCATCCTCACAGGTCTGTCCAGGGCTTCATCGGGAAATTTGACCTCCAGCTGCTTATTTTCTCCTTGTCTCTACCTCTAGTCTCCAAAATGGGTCGATATGCGGCTGATCCTCTGTTCACAAATCCAGAGAAGAGTGAGGCCCAGTGCCATAACCATGATTGGAACCTCGTCTGATGTTCTCGTATGCATCAATAGTCGCAAAGTCTCGCGGTGCGAATCTTCGCACTTCTTTCAAGAACATGCGCGAGGTTGCTGCCGCCTTAGTTGGTTCGTGTCACTTTAGAATGAATGTATAGTCCATGACCTTTAAGTTCCCTTCTCGGTTAGGCCTGAAGCTGTCGAAGGCCTACAAGTACTTGGCTGATGTACAGGAGCACAAGCAAGCTATACCTTTCAGACGTTTCAATGGAGGTGTAGGACGAACCGGTCAGGTACTCAAGTTCAAAACCACTCAGGGTGCGTATGTACAACTTATGTTCATGTTAATTGTTGGTGACTATCCGAATCAGGTCGATGGCCTGAGAAATCTTGCAGATACATTATCCGCCTGCTGAAGAATGCAGAAGCCAATGCCGATAATAAAGGCCTCGACGTCGAATCACTGAAGATTAAGAACATTGTTGTCCAGCAGGCTCCTGTCAGTTGCAATTGGTTTTGCCATGTTTTCACAAATCAGCTGCTAATTTACTTGACATCTCATAGAAAACGCGCAGACGTACATACCGTGCGCATGGTCGCATCAATCCTTTCCTTGGGCATCCTTGTCATATCGAGGTCATCCTTGGTGTTCCCGACGAGGTAGTGCCTCGCAACAACGACAAAGACGGGAAAGGTCTTGTGAAGTTAACTGGGCTGAACAGGCGACAAATTGCACGGAAACGGATCACTGCTTTAGCTGTTTGATGTGTGGGTGCGACTAACAATGGAAGGAAGCGGTATAGTTATGTGTATGTTCTAATTAGGTCTTATGCTTCACATGATCATGACCGTTCCTGTCCTGGTGTCTTGGGTCTTCACATTGGTGAATTTTTGGCGTTGTCTAACCGCGTGGCTGGGGATTTAACCACGAGATGGCCACATCACTGGGGGAATTGATGGACAACTGCGTGGACCGTAATGTACATACAAAAATAGGGGTGCAATGGTGTGCATGATTGGTGAGTGGGCACTGTAAGGGATAGTGGATTGTTCAACAGTGGACTCTCGATGAGTGCATCGAGATCAATCTCCGCAGCAAGCAAAGGGTAGGCTCGAAGCCCAGGTAGGCTGGGCGGCAATCAAGCTTGCCGCGCGAAGGGGGGTTCCGTATCACGAAGCCAGCGGGTGTGAACTGAAGGAACAGAATCTGACGAGGAAATTTCATCGGCCGTTAAGATTGAGACCCCTTCGTTTGTTGACACCTTCGACAGTTAGTACCATGAGTAATATGCAACCGCGCTAGCTATCAGTTTAGTTTAAAGCAACGGAAATGCCGGGCATGGAATGATGGGGGAGAATTGCCGAGCTCTCCTAAGGCGCAAAGGGTTGTGCGTCGCCATTCGCAAATGTGATGAGCGCGGAATGACTTTGTCTAAGATGCTGATAATATGTGTGTTGCCGCTGACGGAGGTCTCCGCGCGGTCGCGCGCAGAGGACGGAGTGGTGTGTGCGATCAGGGCGATCCCATCGTTGTGCTAAACGTCAATTCAGCACACAAGACCTGGGAGTCGGTCCCCGGTTGCCAGGTATGAAAGCTCCCCAAAGTTTCACCGCACTTGACGCCGATCGCCACATTAACATCGTCGTAGTTCCGGGTCCTCCATCCGTTTCAAACGGAGGTTAGGGGTTTATATGATTTGCTGTCATTCACTCTGTGGCACAAAAACGTTTGTAATTCGTTCCAGGTGCTCCGCCAATGAGTGGCGTCTATACCTGCAAAATGTCCCTGTGGTGAAAGTTGCCACCATGCCATGGTCGAAACTTCAGTCTTGTACACCATCTCCTGTATCTACCTCACCATTTTCTTGGGCAACAGCAGTCCGTCAAAATGTAATAGCTGATCGATAAAACGTATTCTCAGCGAGTACACCGGCCGTATACCCCTCGATAGCAAGTAGCCAAATTCCGCGAGGGGCCAAAAGCTCGTGGCGAGATTCAAACGTCAATTCAGTGGACAAAGGGTGGGAATCGATCTTGGTTACCGGCGGCTTGCTGTATTTCTCCGCAATTAACGCCGAGCACCCGTCGCTATGGTTCCATCTGCCAAGGTGGCCAGGGTCAACCTGATCGATTTGCCACCGTTGACACTGTGGCACGGAAACTTTTGTGACTCGTTCCGGATGCTTCGCCTTGGATGAATGGCTTCTTGAGCTTCGAGCGCGAAATATAAAAGTCGCTGCCATACCATGGTCGAAACTTCAATCTCGAGCACTCCTGTATACCATCTGTTGTATCCACTATCTACCTCGCCTTCCACACACTTGCGCATCTATGGATTCCTTCTACACCATTTTCCTTTCTAAGTCTGACGTTGCGGGCGAGAGCAGTCTCATTGAGTTGTCTGATGTGGATCTCTACACTCCCGTTTCTTTTGGTAACGGAGGGAACTCTAATGACCCCTTCTGCGTTGTTGCTTAGCCCAAGGACACGCTTCAGTACGTATCCGTTCTCCCAGAAAAATCCTTCCGTTCTTATGCCATCCCCAGCTAAGAATATCCCAGTGTAACGCTGACCGTGTTCGCTGGATTTCTTTCGCTGGATTTCGATTATATTATTGTGGGTCTGATCTGCTTACTGTTCTAGTCCCAGCGTTGAGCCTCCAAAATTTTTAGAAATCCCCTCCCACTCGATGTGTAGCTTAAATTAAACTTTAGTTCCCCTTGTGCTTCCTCGATTCGTTCCGCATAGTGCACCAGCCTTGGTTTTCAGATTGTGCTGTTACTTAGTCTTACAATATTGATCAGTTTGCACCTTCACCTATCTGTTCCAGCGCGAACAACAATGCGTCTGTGTGGTCGTTGAAGCCAAGAGCCTCTAGATTAGATAAACAATAGAAGAAATAACAATATGCAGCAGGCTCCATTCAATACCAACTCGGTGCCCATCAATGGTGGGGTTACGGTGAGCGAAGCGCTCCCTGCCAGGTTTGTAGGATTGGGGAACACGGAGAAGGCAGTTCCGCTGGTAGGGGGAGTTGTGTTCATCCTATTTATAATGTTTGCAAGACTTGGGAAATCGGGAGAACCTATCCACATTTATCCAGCTCTGTTTGGTTTGATAGTGGTCGACAACGCTTACCCCATCCCGTAACAGGGTCCCATCCATCCGTGGCTTCGAATCCCCCTGTGTTACACCCAGGATTGCTGCCATTGATGATATCATTCATACCCCTGCCCTGCAATTGGTAAAGCAGTGGATTACTTCAGTGGAAGTTAGTTGGGGAATGGCTGAGAGAGATTGATGAAGACCTACAGGAACCCGAGTGTTTTGCCCCGTTTCATAAGAGCCATGTCGTTCAAATGCGAAACCTAGTCTCCATGAACATGACGCGCAGTGAAGTCCTATTTTGAGATACTCACAATGGCAGCGACCGTGGGTGTGGATGCACTGGTACCCTTGGTTTCAACAACAGTTCCATTCAGAATGTACAAATAAGACATCCCTAGGGCAGCAATGTCCGGATATGCGCGACCTTTGTCGTTGTATTTTCCTGGGGAAAGCATTCAGCAAAGTGCCAGAACGACTGGGCTACCTACTCGCCTCGAAACTGGCCACCCATCCGGCTCGCGTAGGACGACACAGCTTCATTTTGATACGAAGGCCTTATAAAGTAATTACTGAACCCTCCGCCACTGAAATAGGCAGCGACCTCAGGCCATGAACTAGTAGATCCGACAGCAGTAACACTAATTTTTATTTGAGCGCGTCTTGAACATGTATATCAAACATCAAATACTCACTAGGGACAACTCGCGGGGAATGACGGTACAAAAGCACCTCTCGTATTCTGACAAGAGTAGGGCGTAGTCCCTCCCACCCCGTGGTCGCCACTTGCGTGAAGGACACTAACGCCCCGAACGCCAAGTTCTGCATACATTTGACAAATCCGCGTAGCATAATCAATCGGAATAGAACGTTCATCATCCGCTGATCATTCATATATCAGCGCCAAGGGCCAAGGCCAAGGATTCCGAGGCACTCACCATAGCTGATAGACATTGTGGTCGGAAGCTTATCGTCCTCTTTGGCTAACATGTACGGCAGCAAGATGTCATATCTGAAGAACTCAGTATTGTTTGACACGAACTAAGAATGGTATTAAATACGCAGATGCTCACGGTTCATTGCTCATAGAGTTTGTGCTCCCGGGTCCTAGTCCGGTCGTGCTGTAGATAACTCGATGGACGTGAGCTAATGCGTGGTCAGGTGTTTGTTGAAATAGCAGACCAACCTGTTCTTGTGGGGTACTTGAGGAGAACCATGCATGTCAGCGAGTGGAACAATAATTCCACCAGATGCTTACTGTCAGGGCGCTGGCATATTGGAAGTCTAGACTCTTCGGGAAAAAATTAGTAGGTGGCGTTTGAAATAAGGATGAGATTCTAACCCCCTCTCGAGTACCTGATCCCGGGTATTGGTGATAGGATCCTCCTTACAAACATGAGATAAACTGCAGCGTAAACGAGAGCCACAGAAACACACCATTCACATTTTCGATTGAGGGCGTACTATTGAGTGCATGAGGTGCTAATTTTTCCCAGAAGAGTTTCGTATCTTCTAAATTGACACGATCCCCAAGAAAGCTGGAGTGGAGGTCACACGCCCGTGAATATAAGGTGCTTGGTTGTTGTTGTACATACAATCTTACTTGGCAACTGCGATCATACTTCGATTGGACGATGCGGTGTAGTTCGTAAAACCGTAAACCGACATGAGATATTGGGGGTCAACAAAGCCAGACGGGGCTTGGAGTCGCCTGGGCTTTCCTGACCGGCGAGCCATTGTGAGGCCTCCATCGCCGGGATGTAGCAGATCCCCGCAATGCCGCGCACAGGAATGACGAAGACCGACCCTTTCAAAAGAATCACTCCGCCGCCCCTCCGGTGGTCCAAAGTAGTTCGTAGGTTGGACGGTATCAATATGAGGGTGAACTTCGTTTGGGAGGTCGTAAGAAGCGCATCGTAGCAGCATTTTCCCGGAATAGACGCTCGAATACAACATATACGTTGCATTGAGGATGGCCTCTGCCTTGGAGACTGTTACATTGACACTGATCCAATCCAGCGCTGGAGAGCGATGAGCAGCATGCAGGTTGATCCCATGAGATGACAGAAACGCATCAACCGCTCTCAGAGTTTCATTGGTCGGCCGCGTGAAGTTCTCAACTTCCTGCTTTGTCAAATGTTGTCTCCAGCGAGGACTTAAAGGATTGCTGATGTCCAACAACTTCTTCTCCAGCGATGGAAAATTGCCTTGACGCAAAGCAAAACGTAAGGTGAGCGGATAATCAGGCGGTGGTGCAGAGTCTACCATCCAAGGGGGAGGAGGAGAAAGGGTACGTCTGACGTTGGGTGTAGACAGCATGATGCTTCCAAAAGCCACTGACACGAAGAACATGAAACCCCGCCCAGGAGAGCAAGGAAGTGTGAGAGTACGAAAGTGAGAAGCAGAAGATGGGGCAGGGGACGGCTACGTTTCCATTCTCCTGCAAATCCTCGACAACGTCGGAGCTCGCAACATAGTCAAGGCACAAAGGCGAATTAGGAACATTGGGTGGCTGTGCTAGCCTAAACCGCTTTCGTCATATAATTCGATCTGCGGATAAACCTCGGCAAATCAGACAAGGAGTCTGTTCCAATAGAGGCCTGCATATCCGTTGATCCGCTTGATGAACGAGGCCGGGTGGAACATCTCTAAGCAGTTCTCCAACGCGTTGCAACCAAAACAGCTCGATGTCTAATGGATGACACATAACTGAATGTTCGCCGAGCGCTAAGCCTCTAAGTGTTCCAATAGAGGCTGGTAACCTGCCTACACTAAGCCGGCTGCGTGATTCCATGAGTCGTTTCGGCGGTCCATAGATGTTTAGCTAGGCTACAAAGACATTAATGCTAGTGGCCCTGCAAGCACTGGCACACTTCAATAAGTTTACATTGTACGTTCGTGTCGGCTGCGAGGTTGAGGCCTTTCAGGTCTGTTAGCAGCACGCTGGATAAATACACGTCTGCTAGGATAGGTGAAACACGAAAGAACGCGCGGTGCAGGCAAACATCGCGTCTCTAGCGGATAGTGTAATGAGAACTGAGGGCTAATAGAATGGAAATGAGAAGGGGCTACATAGAAGACCAACAATTGCCCGGTGTTTCACCGACTCAGCATAGAATATGGAACGTTCGTTGTGTGTTTGCCTCACCAGGTGGACCAAAACTCAGCACGAATCCAGGCATAAGAAAGGGACAGTTATCGTGCTTCTAGCGCACCATATGGGGGAGCTGAGCCATAAAATCAACCAATGCAGGGGAGCTCCCGCCAGTGGCGTAACCCAATGTTAGTGGCGAAAAAATACACGAGTGGACCTACTATTAGATTTACTCCTTGCCCAACAATGAGGGCGACGTAAGTTATCCCTGGACATATAAGGATGTCAGCATGAGTCTCAATGTGAGAGGGGAAATGATACTTACGGCCAAACCTGTTGGGTGGATACCAGATAGACGAAAGGAAGTAACGCAGAGCTCAATAGGCGCCGTCTCAGTCTCTCGTAAACAGTGCAATGAAAAGTAATATTGTACACAACTACCTGGATAGATCCACGTCTGCTAGGATAGGTGAAACACTGGAACGGATCCCAGCACGGATCCAGAACTGTCAACATGCTTCTAGCGTACCATATGGCGAAGCTGAGCTATCAAATCGACGGGAAGCTCCCACCAGTGGCGTAACCATGTTAGTGGCGAAAAATACACGAGTGGACCTAATCGGCTTACCATTAAATTTGCTCCTTGCCCAACAATGAGGGCGACATAAGATATTCCTGCACATGTAAGGATGTCAGCGTGAGTCTCAATGTGAGAGGGGAAATGGTACTTACGGCCAAACCTGTCGGGTGAATACCATACGAGCCAACTGGCTCGCACAGTTCCACTCCAACAGGAAAGGGGCATGGACAACAGGCGCAAGCGCCAGTGGGAACATGTCCATACCAACGCCACGAGGGCGTCCCGCTGAAGTGCTCTCCCACTCTCCCGAAATAAACAGGACATACCGCTGCGTGAACGAATTCGATGAATATTGCTTGCTAGCTAAAAGAAAATCATGGTACGTACTATTCGTATGACGGAAGTGATGTGTTCGCCGCTTTTGTTGGAAGTATGGTCCAGAAATAGGGTATAACGCTGATCGATGAGCTACACAAGAAGGGAAAGATCCAAGACGAAATACACAGAAAGAAGCCTGCCGACGGGGTACTCCAAACCGAAAGTCTGAGAGCTTCAAGGGAAACGGCCCGGGGCAAGAGCATACAGTGATAGAAACATGGTGGAGCAGAAAGGAAGGGGGGTCGTTCTTTCTCACCGTGCGTCCATTGGATAGAAAAGGGTGTGTATGGGTTCCCGTATTCAATTTGCCTCCGCTTTGTGTTCCACTCCCCTCTGTCTATGGAACCTGCAAGGTGCGTTAAATCCATAAGGTATGCAACGGGTCGTCGGAGTCCATCGGCAGCCCAAACAGTCACAGAGGGAAAGCAGGATGTGTAGACCGGTAAAACTGATCCACAAGCAGTTCGCCAAAGCAGACGTGGACGGGTTGCATGAAGATGAGAGCTGTGACCATAAGTGATATAACCCACAGCCTCAGGATCCGATAGTGTTGAGGTCGCGAAAGGAAAGGTTTTGAGTGGCTACCAACGAGACATTGATGATGCAAGGATGGTGACGACTAGAGTTCCGGGAGCAAGGGCGTAGGGAAAAAGGAACTGGCAAGCTCTGCGGTTGCGCATCCATCGGATTGAAAGGGCCCCATGCGTCTTCGCACTTGATTTAGTTGGTTGTTGCTCGCTTCCTAGACGATAGAATCCACAAGGCGCGTCGGAGTCAATTACAACAAGTCTTCGAAGTCCCGGACAAGAATACATTGGCTCCATCCCAAGCTGTCATGGAGGAAGGTAACAGTTGATCCGATGGTCACGATGGAAAGAAGCGAAGCTGGTCAATAAGTGGTCTTGACGAAGCGAGCGGACACGGCAAGGCCGCACAGAGATGGAAGCTACGGTCACAGGTCGATGAGAAGGCCAAGGTGCCAAAGTGCAGTGAGCGAAGATCGACAGCCCAGAGATCATCAAACGTCAGAGTTGTTGCGTAATAGGCAGGGAACTTGTACAGGAAGGGGAACGTCAACGTGGACAACGAGTGGGACGCCAAGGGCCTTCATCCATTGAGTGAAAGGAGTTCAGAATGGCCACAAACCAGGCGTCGAGAGACAATCCAAGGACAGCAAAGGCGAGTAGCGACGGGGTTCCGAGAGCGAGGGGGGGAGAAGAAGGAACTGGTGGGGAGAACTAATGCTCAGACCATGCTTTTATGCCTTTCAGATCTATTCAATCCTCTCTTTGTGATGGCCACGCTCCAGACTGCTGCAAGAATGAATGAAACCTTCCAAATTAGACCACTTTCTTCGTCGAAATCCCAACCAGCGATATGAACACGATCCCAGAATACGTAGTTGATATTTCACAAATTTCGAAATTTCTCGTCAGCCAGTGCACCGTTTGGCTTCGTCCAACCGCGAAATTGCTCTCAAAACCTCCCGCAACAATTTCCGTGAGCAGGAGTTCAGGGAACGATACAAGACGATGCCAGGAGGGGGAGAGAAGGCCCGTTGGGAAGACATATTCACTCTTTGGCTAGGAAGATGGCTAGGAAAGATCCGGTTATCAAGGTGATGCATCAGTGTATTGGTTATTCGTGGATTATTAGCCGAATTGACTCTATATAGTAGAAGAATTTGCGCACCCCTGACAAGGTCATGCCCCGAAACCATCGCTGCACTGGGGCACAAAATTTGCCGCACTCCTGAATATACCGCTGAAGAGTGTAACGGTGCACCGTGTCGCCGACGCCACTTCGTGGCAAAGAAAACACCAGTCGACGCCTCCACAAATGCGACATGGACCCTTCAGCTGCTGTTAGGTATTTCGTAAATGAGATCCAGATCTTCCCAGCCGATTCAGTCAACTCCGATTTTTTGAGGGATTCCTCTTGAGACACAGATCATGAACCATATCATTCCGTTGACGGCGAGCGTGGAGAAATGCTCATACGGAGCTGAACGATTGGAAGAGGACGGGCGAGATAAGCTCGCGATCTGGTATTCGAACGTTGCGGAAAACTTAGGAACCAAGCCCATCTCATCAGGAATCCACCCAAAAAACGGAGATATGTAACAAAGATTACCTAAGTATCAGCTGGTATTGTGATGAATGAGGAAGGTTCGTTCCCACCGGCTGCCCTGCGCCGAATGGATGGACATTGGACCCCCAATCCGGGTCCGCCACGTGCCCAGGGAAAGCACAACCACAACCACAAGGTGCAGCTACACCAGACATCACAAAGCACAGGAAAAACACGCCAATGGAAAGCCGCACTAAGCGATTGCAGAAGTGTGCGTCTGGCTGGGGGAAATTTCTTGAATAGGAAATCTTGTGGCTAGCGCTTCCAGTCCCCTGTGTGGCGAGATTGTTTCTCAGCTTATACACGTTGAATCCATAACTGAGAAAGGTGTCCTCCGTTATGCGCTTAATTTTAGCGTTCGCAAACAGCTTCTGTTCATTACAAAATCAGTGGTGGAAACGCCGATATCAATAACCTTTTCACTGCGTCTGCCACATGAAGTTGACATTTTTAGGGACCCATTTGCTGCAGAAAGCGCCCCCCGTTCCTGTTCATGCATCCTCACGCGTCGAGTGACGCCCAATATCAAGTCTGTACCCGTTTACCGTACTGGCTGCAAGCCACCCCTTCGGCCCGCTACTTCCTGCGCGACCGGACATCGCCTATCTAATCCTGTCAAGGGTGGAGGCTGCCTGACGTGGTAGTTGTGTGATGTAAATGCCACTGATGCTCTCAAGGAATTGGTGCGGCGCTACATTTCTGAACGCCTGAACTTTGTCAATAGACATCAGGCCAATATGGGAGTTGCTGAAGATCCAAACCCCAATTCACTGGAATGGAGAGACATATTTCCTTCTACCCCTCCATTCCGGTGAACAATGGAGGCATTGACCTTCAGGCCACATAACAGACTGATGGACATCGAACACATCCGGCTTGTCGTAAGAATCGAAAGGCCTGCGGGACCCCGACTCATATGCAGCAAATGAATCATTGTGTGCCCATTGTTGGCATGGTTGAGGGTCTGGTGCCAGTACGAGCGACTCTATAAATCATGGTTCGACTCCGAACGCTGACGCATATTTCCCGGTTACGAGCATAAACATCGTGCACCAGCTCCACATTTTTCAAGGAGGTGGGGTTACCTACCGCGACCAGGTCTAAGAAAGTCTCCAGAATCGGAATGTCGTCCCAACCACCAGCTGGAATATGGCTATTTCTCAGAGAGACGCCTGCTCGAATTTCGTTCATCTGCAATGACGGATAAGGCGAAGGTGAGAGATATGAATATGGCGACTCAGCACCGTAAATGGAAGTTCCTTCCATGCTCGCTTGCTTCCGTTTACCTTCCTATCCATCTCGTTCGAGCGTTGGAGGGCTACAGCATGTTAGTCTGCCTGCTAACGACAGCCACATGGCTATTGTTTCGTCTCCTCACCTCAAAAGTGATATCCCGGGGGAGGTGAAAGCTTGCTGAGGTGCATCTCCAATTCCGCGATCTCACTCGCTCTCGTGCGTGTGAGGTCAATGGCTCCGGAACATTATCTTTCCCCACTGTTCTCCCTCCCTTCTACTGGTAGGAGACGGAAATGCCCCGACACTGCCCAAATTTCCGCGGCCCGTTCACGTAGGAACAATCTCATCTATTCCCTAGCCGAACCACCCGTATCGCTCCGTGCGGGTGAGTGCTCTCCTTGTCGTTTTCACCATGCGAGAATGAACGTGCGCAATCCGGGTGAATACACAGAAAAATCGTTGATTTGTTGAGCTCTAACCCAATTCAGGGCGCCTGGCAGCTAGCGTACGTAAGCAGATGGCGGCAGAAATTTTACTTGAACCCGTTTGCACCATTCCGTTTCGTTTCGGCGACCGCTTTCGCGTTCCTTGCACCGACCAATACTCTAACTCGTCAATTTATTAACTTCCTACAAGGCTCACTTGCGTTTTAGGGGCCTCAGACCTGCGCTTCGTTACCCGTTCTTTCTTTCTGCTTACACTTGGTTCAGAAGGATTGCTTCGATTCTCCACCCCGAAAACGCTCATATCCATTACTCTACAAGTGCTTCATGCAACGAATAGATATCCATGAATCTACTCTTACAATATTACGGATTCAACTGCATTGACTTCATTTGGGATCATCTTGAATCACAGCCGATTCCATTGATATGAGGCAGTCGATATATTCAAAGATAACCACTTCCCTGCTCTTCTGGTTAGTGATTCGGACCTTCTTGTAAAAACCATTATCTATAACCCACCTCTTGCTCTGCGAATATTTGACTCGGATTCCCCCGGTGTTGCAGCAATAGTTCTCGCCAAGTAGCCTTGTGGCCGACGCGAAAACACGGTTTACATTGCACGGATATTTCGTAAAGGTGGGCCACTACTAGGCGACAAACACGGACATTGACATTTCTCTAACCCATGCAGGATTGCGCGATTTGTTGTTACCTCCTAAAGTTTCTTAGTTCCCTCGTTTAGCATCAGCAAAAGTGGGGATAAAATGGCCTTTATCTTTGCATCAGTTCACCTAAGTAGAAAACAACATTTTCCCCCATCGATTGCGACCAAATGAACTCACCACCTCTGTATGCATTGCGATTATGCAGCATTACTGGAATGCACTGTACGATGCCCGGGCCCGGCACATGATAACAGGTTCTTAACTTCTAAGGTTCAGCGCGAAGATGAAACTGTCCAGACGAGAAGTAGGTCTCAATCAGTGCAATGAACAACTTTCTTTCCAACACGTCTCCCTCCAATCTCCCGCAGCCGCTACCCACTCGGTCTAGTATCTTGCTTTGAATCGTCATGACTAGATCTGACTTATACTGCGGGTAGACGAGGCCTCCCGGAGTCCTTGAGGCTTGCTGGTGGAGATCTTCAGCAAGTGGAGTCTCGGACTGTCGTAGCTCTAGCTTGGCTTGTAGCGCCCCAACTAGAAATCTCGCTGAAGCACACCGGTTACCAATCGGATCATTGTAATTACTCGGTCACTCGCTTCTTATATCATGTTCCGCCTCTCGAGTATCACCAGCCACCGGTCAACCCGGATCTCCACCGCGTAACCGTCAACCGTCTGGTTCGAGTCTGCACGTTGGATGCAATCGTATTTTATTTTGTGTCAGTAGGCCCCTATATTATCATACTACCGAGTCGCGCTCGAATTGAGGAGCTCTCCAGCATCCGCCTCTTCACATTACCACACCAATGGCCGCCCAGCATACAAGGTGACCAGTTAAGAGGCATCCCATCTTACCGATGACCCAGTGCAACCAGCTAAGCTTGGTGGGTTGTTCTTCCAGCATTAAGCTCATTTCGATTCCTTTAATTCCGGGGCAGTCGCGTGCAGCTGGGTAAGAATTGGTTGGTCGATTTTTCATCAAATGGGTGAGAGAATGACCAGCTCCTTCCCCCGAGGACCACGTTACGACACAGTACTAGATGAACCGTCACACTAACATCCGGGTCTGGGCAGGAGCCAAGATGGAACAGCGCTCATAAACACAGGACCAGAGCATGCTTGATACGAGCCTGGTGACGGTGGACGAAGAGATCACGTTGGCAAGCCTTCCAGTTTAGCCCAGTCAAAGTTAGCAAGTGCTCTCGCTCGCTCGCTAGGGAAGCGAACGCACATCCTCGTGTCGCTCTACTAACTGACCGCACTGCTACCGGGAAAATTGCCGCGCTCTCTGCAAGTCTTACAGCCTCCCTTGAGTGCCACCGTATCTTCACCAAAGAAACACTTCGACTCGGCAAAACCCTTATCAAGAGCGTTCGCCGCTTCCTCCCGCATAGCTTGCCACTGCCAAATAGATGTTCTGTTATCTTGCCGCACACACCGTATTCTTTGCCTGTCTTATGTTCCCATGGCTCTTAGAGGCCAATCTTCAATGCGTCTGCTCAGCAACTGCAACGATGACCGCTCATCGACCGAGGTTTATTTTGACGTACATAATCTAAGCAGCAGGGTGAATTGTGTGACCGAATATAACCCCAAAGTCTAGGCTACCGAGCCGCATTTCCTCTCCCTGCACTTTACGGCGTAGAGCCCCTCGTAGGTTTCCTTACCACTACTTATATTTCACCCTCGCCCATATTACTGTCGGGACGCCTTCGATTGCCTGCCATGCAACCACGGAGCACTGACACCCCGGGGTCTGCAGGCTTCCCAGAATCGACAACATACACTCGTGGGCACGTCCACGGGGCGTTGTTGCTGGGCATGGTTGCGGTGGCGCCACCGGCGGAGTATAGTTGCTGATTTAATAAGCCCCGGTTGTGGCGTGATGGAGCTTGTGGACGGCATTCGACTGCAATGTAGGTAATCGACAAAAGCGTGCCTATCGTATGGAATGTATCACCTGTACGTTTAGGAGATATCGCGAGCACCGCCTCACCGAGAGATACTTCTATCATAGTAACCATCCCTATGTTATCTCGGCAACACCATCCCTCCGCTCTGTCGCCGAAGTCAAACTCAGTGTCAATGGTTATGTTATTCTCTTGTCATTTCACGTCACTTGTGGAATGTGTAATTCATCTCGGACAACATATAGAGACAGCGGTCCCTTGTCCCCACAAATAATACGTGGCCTGATCTCGAAACAGACATGCATGTCCATGACATACGTTGAATTTCCGACTTGACTTAGATCGGGCTATTGGATTCATTCCATACTGGCGCGAAGACGTATGCATGGTTGCTGTGCTCAGGGAGTGATATATGCAAGACCTCCTGGGTCTCACATTAATGCATTATACACGTAATTCCAACATGACCAAGCGCTCCCCCTGAAACAGCGCCAAGGCGGCCTCAACACGCTCCCTTCCATGACAACATGAAGAATGCCAGCACGGGCATAGCAGTACAGAGCACGCGGGGCCAACTTCTTGAGGAATGTGCGCGTGATTAGATATCATATACAAACAAGACTCTGTCGTGATCGTAAGTACTTGGCCAACCAAGCTTGCCGTGTGTGGCTTTGTGATAGCAGTCCATCGTCACAGGTGCTGACGGCCAACTTGCCACCGGCCAGAATTTTGCCGATGTGCGAGGCCAAAGGCGCGCAAAGCCTAAGAAGGCTTTTGGGCCACATTCACTTGTTCTTCCTTATTATCATGTATGGCACGCAGCCCTTCACGTTGCCACTCTTGGATGTATGTCATCCAACAACCTCATGTCGTGCTCAGGCGAGTCTACTCAAGTATGCCATGAACGTTTGTTCTTATGGTCTGATCGAAGCCCGGACAGCGAATCCTTAGCTAGTTCGGCTCACACAACACGCAATACCGCTCAGATCGGATACCTCAACCAGACGAGCCTCGGTTGACGAGCGGTTGCGAACGTCATAAGCAGTATGAGTTCGACTCCGGGTGCCAGTGAGACGGTCGTTCCCCGTGTTCCCCGGCCCTACAAATTTGCCGAGGACTGCTGCGCTAACTGCAACCTCACCATCGACGGGATCCGAGTGGATACTGAACGCAACGTGGTACTTATTATTATTTCTTTTATGGTTTATATAATCCAGGGGCTCCTTCGAATCCCACTTCGACTCTGACGACCACACAAGTAGAAATGCAAACTAATCAATACTACAAAACTATATGACAATACAATCCAAAACGTAGACTGGGATACTGTGTGGACAGATTTTGCGTCGCAGATCGAGTGGGCACACTATCAAAGGCTCAATAGTGAGACGCAAACAGTGAACAACTTGTACCCACAACAATACGATCGAGGTCCAACCAAACATTGTCAGCCACGTAAGAGATTGACAGCTGGGGGCACGGAAAGTTTGTCATACGAGAACGAATACAAACCAAGGCTTTCCCCAATGCTATGCAATGATGCACCCAGGCTGAGTGAAGTGGCCTCCGTCGCCAAAGGAAACGGGAGTGTAGGCATCCTCAGCTGACAGACTATTCTCGTCCATAACGTTGGGGCTGGGAAGGAAAATGGCGTAGAATGAATCCATGGATGCGCAAGGGTGTGAAGGCGAGGCAAACAAGTAGGCACTGCAGACAATATACGAGAGTACTCAAGATTGAAGTTTCGACTGCAGGATGGGAGTGACTTTTGTATTTCGCGCTTTCAGGGTGGACCAGAGCTCAAGAAAGATGGCACAACGGCGAAGCATCCAGAAGAAGTTACAAACCACGTCACAACGCCAACGAGGGAAAATTCTCGCTAGTCTGTTTTCGAAATGGACGGAGAACCCGGAACCATAGCGACGGGTGTTCGGCGTTATTACGTGCGGAGACACAAGCCTGCAAATCGCCAGCAACCAAGATTGATTCCTATCCTTTGTCCACTGAATTGGCATTCGCGAATAACAACTTCTTGTCCGTGGGCATACTTGTCGACATGCTATCGAGGGTTATGCGGCCGGTGTGGGAGTATGTTTGTTAAAGCACCAGCTCAGCAGAGCACGGCTCGGTTGGGATGACTGCAGACTCTTCGAGATAAAATTGTCCAGAGAAACACGTGTTGATTTCCAACACTGTGTTTCAAAGCGATCTTGTGATCGTCCAAAATGGCACAAATTAGGAATACAACTCTTGTGTGATTGGCGACACTCCTCCGCACTCGCAAATTCACACCATTCACGGAACGTGCTTACAACTCTACGGGCTCGACGAGGGGCCAACCCTCACAACAAAAGTAGCCTGGTTTTCCAATATGAATAATATAAAAGTAGGTCTCATAGTCGGAGATCCTTGGCGACCGGCTTACTTATCGCAGGCAGACGCCCACCTGCCCTGTCGCCCGTTTTCACATGTCGTTCCTAATGCTTTCACCGATCCCACTGACGGCCAGGAAGTGCCCCTAATGAATACTTTCTTATGTGCGCCAGGCAAATATTCGTTCAGCTGATTGCCCCAAAATCCTTTACAACTAGATGAACAATCCGAATCCTCGCAGCCCCTTGCTTCAGCATCTATCCGCCTCTGGGTTGGTTTAGGTGCAATGCTATTTCCATCCTGACCTTCACCAGAAGGGTTCTAATTTGGCCTTGACAACTGGGCACAGTGCAGTAGTCGTTGTCAGCACGATGGACCTTACTGAAGGCTCAGCTTTCGCTAGTCTTGTAAATGGGAATGCTAGCCCGTACCATTCCTGAGCGATGCCTTGGCCTGCAGGTTATAATTGGAGGCTTGACATATGAGGCGTCCATGCCATCAGTGACCGACGCACTTGAATTTCCGATACATCGTTCATCATTGCCGTTGGATGTGAAAACGCTGATACACATCGCCAAGTAGACCGGTTTCCTTCCAATTGAAGGAGGCTCGCCAATGCGCGGGAATGTCTGAGCGGCAAGAATGATATCATGAATCGGCGTGGAACTGGTGTCTTGGGGGTCCGTGTTCTAACTAATGAGCTTCATTGGCCGATTATTCGTCAGCCTGGGACTGTCCATTGCGGGTGGACTGTCAGTGATTATGCATGCTTTACTCCCGAATCCTTCACAGATACGTGCCAATCATCCGAATTGTCAACTGTAACTATAAAACCCTTTCTACGCGGTGGGACTTGAGCGCTGACAAGCAAAGTTCCCCATTCTGTGTCAGGCTGTTCTTCTTTTCTCTCTCCTGGAGAGACGGGTGCACAAGGCGATGCTACAGCAAACGGATGCTCGGAAGCGAAGGAAATGATGAGGGGCGGAGAACTTGGATATGCCTTTGAAGAATGCCTACTTATCAGAGAGCTAGCCATGCTCTCCAGCCTGGATTTGCACTTGCTTGGGTTATCCCTCTCAACACCTGGCCCCCATCGCCGGCCGAACGCTGAGAATGAGCCATGCGCTATAGTGTGATTCGAAACGTTCTCAGTTGCTTCTAATGAAGTCCGTGGAATGCTGCAATGCACGGGCTCTATGAGTGCTATCTATTTTGGAGCCTCGTCAGTACTGATCTAGTGTTTGTGACCCTCTTCAGCTTTCCTTCATTTGCATCACCATCATTATATCAGAGCTAGCGTCGGCAACTGGGCGCGAATCTGATTTTTGGATGATCACAAGATCCCCCTTGTCTCCTTGTCATTCATCCAAATCGGGCGTGTCGATTTTTTTTTCTCGCCTGCTGTAAAATGTACTCTCACGCCGGCTGCATAACCCTCGATAGCATGTCGACAAGTATGCCTACAGACCACAAGTTATTATTCGGTTGGCCGTGCCCCGAAATGGTTGTGCCAAGTGTCAATTCAGTGGACAAAGGGTGGGAATTAATCTTGGTTGCTGGCCGAACACCGTCGCTATGGTTCCGGGTTCTCCAAGGTTGACCTGACAGATTTGCCCTCGTTGACAATGTGGTGGGGAAGCTTTTGTAACTTCTTATGGATGCTTCGCCTTCGATGCACAGTTGTGCCACCTTTCTTGAGCTCTGGCCCACCCTGCAAGCGCAAAATATAAAAGTCGCTCCCATCCTGCAGTCGAGACTTCAATCTTGAGCACTCTCGTATATTGTCCACAGTGTCTACCCTGTCTGCCTCGCCTTCCACACCCTTGTGTATCCATGGATTTCTTCTACACCATTTTCCTTTCCAGCCCCAACGTTACGGACGAGAACAGTCTGTCTGCTGAGGATGCCTACACCCCCGTCTCCTTTGGCGGCGGAGGCTACGTGCAGCCCGAGTGCATTATTGCGTAGCATTGAGGCAAACTTTGGTTTGTATCCGTTCTCGTATGACAAACTTTCCGTTTTCATGTCGCCCCCAGCTGCCAATCTCTTACGTGCTGACAATGTTTGGTTGGATCTCGATTGCATTATTGTGGGTACAAGTGGTTCACTGTTTGCGTCTCACTATTGAGCTTTTGATGTTGTCGGTAGTCTGCCCACTCGATGTGTGGCGTAAAGTTTCCTTGTGCCTTGCCCAACCAGTATACCAGCTATAACTCGATCATTTTTGAATTGTATTAATTGTATTAATTTCTAGCATTGATTAGTTTACATTTCTACTTGCGTGGTCGTTAGAGTCAAATGGGATGAGCCCCTGGATTACATGAACCATAAAAGAAATGATAATAATGTGCAGTACGCTGCGTTCAGTGTCCACTCGGAGCCCACCAATGGTGAGGCCACAGTTAGCGCAGCGCTTCTCGACAAATTTGTAGGGCTGGGGAACATGGAGACGACCGTCTCACTGGTACCCGGAGTTGAATTCATGCTGCTTATGATGTTCGCAAGGCTTGGGAAATCGGGAGAACCTGTTTGTGTTATATAGTACTGTATCCAGTTTGATGGCGACTGATTACGCTTACCCCATCCTGTAACAGGGTCCCACCCGTCTGTGGCCTCGAATCCCGCTGTGTTGCACCCAAGATTGCCACCATCAGTGATATCATTCATACCCCTGCCCCGCAAATAGTAAAGCAGTGGATTGCTTCAAGGCAGTGTTAGGGAATGGTTGAAGGAGATCGGTGAGGACGTACAGGAATCCGAGTGGTTTTCCCTGTTTGACAAGCGTCATGTCGTTCAGATGCGATACCTAGTCTCCGTAAACATGACGCACGGCAGAATCTCATGTTGAGATACTTACGATGGCAGCAACTGTGGGTGTAGATGCACTGGTACCTTCGAAAGCAAAAAAGGTCCCATTAAAAATGCATTGATAGGTCATTCCTAGAGCAGAAATGTCGGGGTATGCACGACCTTGATCGTTATATTTGCCTAAGACAAGGATCCAACAAAGTGCAAGGAAGATTGGGTCACTGACCCACCTTGAAACTGACCGTTCCTCCGGCTTGTGTAGTACGACACGGCTTCATCTTGATACGAAGGCCTCACGAAGTAATTGCTGAAGCCTCCGCCGCTAAAATCTGCCGCAACTTCAGGCCATGAGCGGGTTGCTCCGACAGCGGTAACACTAATTGTCATTTGAACGTGCGTTGTGTGTGTACCTCCAATACCGAATACTCACTAAGGACAACTTGAAGGGAATGACGGTACAAAAATGCCTCCCGTATTCTGACAAGAGTTAGGCGTAATCCCTCCCACCCCGTGATCGCCAGTTGCGTGAAGGACGCTAACGCCCCGAACGCCAAGCTCTGCGTACATTTGACAAATTCGTGTGGCGTAATCAATGGGGATCGAATTTTCATCATCCGCTGATCATTCATGTATGAGCACCAGAGACCAAGGATTCCGAGTCACGTACCATAGCTTATAGATATTGTGGTCGGAAGCGCGCGGTCCTTTTTGGCCAGCAAGGAAGACAATAGGACGTCATATCTTAAAAAACATAGTATCGGTTAGGCATGAACTTGGAATCGGAATAGACGTTCACGGTTCATTATTCGTGCTCCCGGGTCCTAGTCCGGCCGTGCTATAGATAACTTGGTGGACGTGAGTCAATGTCTGATCAGGTGTTTAAAGTAGCGGACAAACCTGTTCTTGTTGGATACTTGAGGAAGACAGTACATTTCAGCAGCGGGACGATTCCAAGAATAATTCTGCCACATGCTTACGGTCAGGGCGCTGACATATTGAAAATCTAAATTCTTCAGAAAGAATTAGCGGGTGGCGTTTGAAGTAGGGATGAGATTCTAACCCCTTCATAAGTACCTGATCCCGGGTATTGGGGATAGGATCCTCCTTGTAAACACGAAATGGGCTACAGCATAAACGAGAGTCACAGGGACGCACCATTTACATTCTCGATCGACGGTGTACTATTCATTGCATAAGGCGCAAATTTTTTCCAGAATGATTTCGTATCGTCGAGATTGAAACGATCCCCGAGAAAACTGGAGTGAAGGTCATCTAGCCATGAATATAAGGAGCCTGGGCGTTGGACACGATCTTACTCGACGACTGCAATCTGATTTCGATTGGATGACGGGGTGTAGTTCATAAAACCATAAACCGACATGAGATACTGTGGATCAACAGAGCCAGGTTGGCTTTTCCGTCGCACAGGTTTTACCGAATAGCGAGCCATTGCGAGGTGAGGCGAGGCGAGATGAAGGGGATCCACGCAGTGCTGCGTGCATGAACGACCAAGACCGTCCCTCCTAAAAGAATCACTCTCCCGTTCCCCGGGGGGCCCAAAGTAGTTTGTAGGTTGGATGGTGTCAATGTGGGGGTGGACTTCGTTCGGGAGGTCGTAAGAAGCGCATCTCAGCAACATCTTCCCAGAGTAGACGTTTGAGTATAACATGTATGTGGTTTTGAGGATGGCCTCCGCCTTGGAGACCGTCACATTTACACTAATCCAATCCAGCGCTGGCGAGCGATGGACAGCATGCAGGTCTATTCCATAGGATGATAGAAATGCATCGACCGCTCTCAGAGTTGCATTGGTTGGCCGCATGAAGTCCTCAACCTCCTGCTTTGCCAAATGTTGTCTCCAGCGAGGACTTAAAGGATTGGTGATGTCCAATAGCTTCTTCTCGAGCGATGGAAAATTTCCTTGACGCAAAGCAAAACGCAAGGTGAACGGATAATCAGGAGGTGGTGCCGAGTGTACCATCCAAGAGGGAGAAGGAGAAAAGGTATGTCTGATGTTGGAGACTGATGTAGACAGCATAATGCTTCCAAAAGCCAAAAGGCCACTTGTGACGCGAAGGACATGGAACACCCGTCCCCGGGGAGCGAAGATGTGCGGAGGAACGAGAGTACGAAAGTGAGGAGCAGAAGAGATGGAGCAGTGGACAACTATGTTCCCATTCTCTTGCAGATTCACCTTGCCTCGTCAACACCGGGGCTCGTAACCAGCATCATGAAAGAAACAGTAAAGGCACAAAGGCCAAGCACGCGTGCGAATCATACCCGAAAGAGGAACATTTGACAACCCTTCATTATGTAATGAGTGAAGGCCTGGTGGAGCACATCTAAGCAGACCCAAGTGTTCCGAAAGGGATTACAACTGAAACAGCCCGATGTCGGAACAGATATGTAGGTAGTGAATCCAATCAACCAGAGGGTTCATCTTCGAACGTAGTCTCCTTGCATTTTTCGAGCTTCTTATAGAAGCTTTCACATGACTAAATGTTCGCCGAGCCCAAGGGCTCTGCCTCCAGCCGAAGTGTATTCTCGTTCATGAGTAGGGAAGATGATGATGATAAATACCCTGTGGCCTCGTGATGACGTGGCAGTGCAGGCTGTGCAGCTATCCTGACCTTACACCGCCACGTCACAACGAGGCCGCGGGGTAATAAGATAGATCCACCACCACCACCGTGGCGTACATGGGGGGATCATCTCTACATTATGGGTATTCTGGTTGGTGTCATCGGGTGTCAGTGGTCCTCGGGTCTTGTAGTGTCCATGGGTATTGTCGTTGTGTTGGTAATAAAAGTAAGAAATAATCAAGTGAAATGCGACATGGGTCGGTTACCTGGGGGTGGTGTTCCTCGGTGGGTGTCAGGTTCTGTCTATGCTTCGTTTGTCACCTGTCTTGGATGTGCTGATGAATGACACTAGTCTCCCCATGCCTTTCGCACTGCCCATGTGGGTGTTAAACTTAGCTTGTTTGCCGTGGCCCAATATGTGACGATGCCTTCTCGTTCAGGGGCATTCCACTAGGATGTGTGTCCTCATCTGACTTGGTTTGCCACACTGGCACTCTTTGCTCTCCAATGTGGGCATGGCCTGTTCGGAATTGTGTGACTTGGCTGAAGGTCTTTCTTCCAGATTTGCTGAAGTGCTTTGTGGGTTTGAGTTTCGGTGCCATCTGGTTGGCTGTGTAGAATCCTGATTTCGGGGGGTTGGGCGTGTTTATCCACCGGTGGGTCCACGCTTCAGCCATCTTTCTCTTGCGAAAGTGCGAGTCAGGGAAACAAATACATATTCTCGGGAACTACATGCCGTCAATTACTGACCCCACTAAGAGAGGCTGGTCACCTGCCTACCGCACTGCTTCTGGGAAAATCGCCGCACTCTCCTGCAAGTCCACCAAAGAGACACCATATCAGTACTGTTGAAATTCTTGTATTTCTTGGGAGTGATAGTGTGCTGTGGCCAACTCACAACATGATGTTGAGCCTGTGGCGTAATCTTTCTTTTTTGGGTATTCCTGCTACCCAAGTCAGTGCGCCATTGAGGCGACTGCAGTGAACAATTTTTCGCTTTTGTCTCCCTCAGTTCAACAACGGTTGACTGAGGTGAGACTCCACTTGTTCTATATGTTTGTCTCAACACTCATGTGCCCTAGCGTAACATGCTAGCGTAAATCACTACCATTCTAAAAAGTACAACTACTGGTTGAACTCATATGAAGAATGTTTGCTGCTTTTTCTCCAATCTTCTGTGTTTGATATTGGCATAGCTATCGTCTGATGTAGCCCACCCCATATTACCGAGTGATTCCGGTTTGCCACTGCCAAAGAGGTAATACCTCTGCTTCGCAACTTTGACGATGACCACTCATCAACCGACAACGTAGGTTAACGTCAAACAGGAAATACGGGCCGATTGTGTTAGGAGAAACTCCACTTTCTTCGCTGAACAGACATGTGTATGTAGACAGTTCGACTTTGTGTTTTAATGGAATGGGTAATGATGATTTCAGCTTGTGTAACGAGGAGCATACAAGATCCCGTGGAGTAGGATGACACCTTAGATTCTTTGCGCATACCCACCACTGCATTAGCGGGTCCACATCACACTCAGATATCGCGGACTTAGAGGATGGATAATACAGCTTGACTCCACCAATCTGAACCCCCACATGCAGAAGGAACTGCAGGACGACGGGGTCACCAATTTTGAGAGGCGATCCGTACATACATGTCGCAATTGTAAACATTCAAGTCAGGATACCTGAAAGATCGGGGTGTCAAATACGTATATACGTGCCAAAAATCGAAGAGAACTCATCCACTACAAAGTGGAGCCTACTCACTGAAAGAGGGGGGGGGGGGGCGCATGCTGCAACCAGGTAAAGACGATGTGTACAATTATAAACGTACAACACTGGCTTCCTTCTGTTCCTTTAAGAGTTTCGCGTAATCCATTGCGGTGATATGGTTTAAAGAATCTGGCATACTAAAACCTTGGTAAGAGCTGAGGAAGCGGCGTTTCGCGGGCTCAATGGCATCAGGGATATCAAGCCATGTCGCAAGGGCCCATGCATCTAAGTCACCTCCACGAGCAGCGATAATCTTTTCCAAGTCTCTGGACGCTAAGGTCGTGGCCCTATCGCATTGATATTTCCTTGAAGCAAATAGAATCGAAATCCCTTCCTCCAAATTCTCGATACGGCGCAGTCCGGATGTCGGATAGATGAAACGAAGGAGTGCATCGAGGGTTTTAGCGTCCTCTGCTATCTCGATAGTCTGCGTCTCACCGCTGGTTTGTGGCAAAGTGAACATGCTGGAGAAAAATGGAGAAGAGATGGAGAGGATATATTTGTGCACGCGAAACTCAACGCCGTCGGTGGAGCGTAAAATAACATCGCCATCCTCAAAGGCGAGGTATGAATTACTCTCGGCTGCAGGTAAATCAACGTTGGTCGACATCTTTCAAAGATGATAGAGGCGTTCTGAGCCAATGCAAGTTGTACAAGTGGTGATGAAGTAATGAGCTCGGGCAACTCCGCCACGATACATTCAACGGAACCGAGCGGCCCCACACCGCGCGCGTCTTTTCCCTACCGCTGTCGTAAAGGCTCTGCTGTGCAACCACGTCGACTACTTCATTTGCTAGTCACCACATATATGTTGAAGCACCAGCTCAGCCGCAGGCAGGATACCAGCCTCTATCGCTCAGCCGGTTGGGATGGCGAAAGATAGAAATTATCGATGTAAATACATATTGTTGTAGTGCTAAAACAAAGATAGTCTCCCGGGCCCGATGACACGAAACCCGAGGAGCCCAGTCACCCAGAAGCACACTCATTATGTATGGATGATCCCCCCATGTATGCACGCGCTGTATTGAGGTGGGATAGCCGCAACTGCCACGTCATAACGAGGCTGCGGGGATACAAAAACAACAACAAAGATGGTAAGGGGTGGATAGCATCCATATTCACGATCCGTCGATCTAACAGTATGTATATGCCATCATGCATACTAAATTATCGAAGTTTTAAACAACGATCAATATGGATACTTAACAATATATTGTCTCCCACATGCTTGGATCTCCGCGTACATCCCTGTGGCTACCATACTATGGTGACGGGGGGTGTAACTATGTATGGGTTTTGTGGCTAGAACTCCATTGGCGAGTGTTGTGATGGCCCCGCTTCCTTGGTGATCGATTGAGAAGGATTGTTGGGGCACAGTGCTTGTAGGCAGAGGGCAATTGATGCGTCCAAGAATAGATAAACTCAAAGGAAGACACCAGAAAGAGGAGAAAGAGCTAGAGGATGACGCATGAGCCATCCAAGCAGAAACACGTAAGCGAAAGGGTCACAATTTACGTAATTATTCGCCGAAGGATGCACTCCTCCATATGGCTTACTAAGCGTCTGTTGGTACAGCAAATGAAGTTGAACGGTCAGCATGGCCACGAAGCGCTGCTCTCACCCAAATTTTAAGGATTGTTCATCTTTCCTTTTAGATTGTCGCTTCCTTCAACAACGAATTGGATAGGGATTTTGACAAGCAGCAATTATCTTTACACAAGAAATTCGTCACCCTCTGGAATAGAAAATCCTCGCTCTAACCCTTCGATCGATCCAACTAGAGTGCGCAGCGTGTTGGGTATGTGGAACAAAGCGGATCACTGCAACACCCACTATTTTGATTTGTATGAATTCCCCCGTTGCGCTCCATGAAATATATCCATGTATACAAGACGTAATATGTGGCAGAAAGGTCAGACATCTGAGGATGTGAGGATGGACCGGAGACCTCCGCGGATCCGCTGCCCTACTCCCTATCCCGGCACCCATTCATTCCCTCCCTGAGCTGAGCGATTACTGGAGATCGTGACAGATCTACGTCTACTGTGACGCACTGACTTTTCCGCCTCCCAATGGTTCTTGGGGTTCGACTCACATCCTAAATTGTTACGTCCCTCAGCCATCACTATCTCCCCTTTCCACCGAAAGTCATCTCGCGAGTCCCCTAATTTAGCGCCCAACACAGATACAGACTCAGGTCACCTGGCGATGGGAAGAAAAACGCTAACGAGACTTACTCTCCAACCCACAGCCACCGCTCTCGAGTCTCGAGCTTTCCTCCATCCCAGATTTAGGTCAGATCCCCCCCCCCAAACTTCTTTTTGCCGCCGCTCCAAGTTTAGAAAGCCCAAGCGTGTGCCCTTCTGGGGTGGTCTTTCCAGTTTGTTGATTTTATCAGGGCTCGGATGTCAAAGATGGTAGCAATAACCTCGCTGCTTTCTCAGCATGACCATCCGTGTAGTGTCGTTTGTACGTCAACCAACGCTACCATTACTACCACCCAGCTTCAAGAAAAAAACTCACAGGGCCGCTGCTGGGCCACACCTATGTCACGACCGAGAAGAAAAAAACGCGAATGCCTTTGAAAGCACGCGATCTAAGATTCCAGGCGTTCGATAACCAAATGTGTCAAGGGGGTCGAGAACCAGTTTGTCTGGTTACGCGGCTCCCCCGGGACGGCGAACGGCTGCGACATTCTCTTAGCATCGCGTCCAACCCTTGCTGGCTTGTAACATCACACAAGTATCAACCAGGAAACAAACCTCGGCCTCGGTCCTATAAACCAGATTCCTTTCGCACCCCGCTGTCTGCGGTTGTGCTGCTGTGAAGAAAGAATTCAAAGAGATGTGCCGCGTGGGCAGGATGCCTTCGGCAATCGCCGAAGATGGCTATGTTGTGGTGTGTTGATGCGCTTACTGATGGCCGTAAATCCGCGCTGTTTTGGAGAATCTCCTTTTGGCTTTCGGCCTGCGGTAAATTATTCATCATTGCCTTTATCCCGGTTTTGGGATGTCTACCTTTTGGAACTGGTGTGGTCGTACTGTGTAATCTAAGTTCCAGCAATATGGCAAGTTGTCTCTTTGGGAGACTGAGGCTGAAGATGAGGTCCATGTAACGCCAGAACCCATGAGCTCCACGGTCAGTCGTCCCCAAAGAGCACAAAAGTTATCCAATTCAGCGGTGACAGAGTTTAGTTATCGCTCCGTCATAAATGACTCTTACAAACTAAAAGGGATCAGGGGAAGAGACATTCGGCACATCCAATGCGCTTGTTTCAATGCATGTGTAAGTCTAAATCATTTTTGTATTGCCTTCATTCATACTTATCTCGCTTCTTGGAAACGCAGCTCCGAAAGGGATATGTATGGTGGTGCCTGTCGGTTTAGCATCGGTTACAGAGTTCGGCTCAGCCTGCGGATACTAGAGGCGATGAAAGGGTGATATGTGCATTGCTTTCCCAAAGTGGTTATATGGTTTTTTTACCGCACTAAATGACCAAGGAGCAAGAGAAATTCAAATGACCGTCTGTTCCTTATGGACTCTATTGTTTACGCCAGTTTACGACGAGGGTGACTTTGAGTAGGCGCCGTAACTTTCCCTGCCCCTGCCAAGATGCTGGCGTAAATCCTGTGTCAAATAGTCCTCTATACAAAGCGAACCAGTTCTGTACACCTCATCGTGTGAGATGCAAAAACAGAATGAACCCACTAGTTTTCCTGCTTGAACATGCCCTCGGACTTGGACTGGGCCACGTCCTCTACCAACTATTATTCACGACAGTTCCGTCCTTGGCCGACAGGAGTTTATGTAAGCGAAACCCACATGGGCGGATGAAGGCTGGGAGATGCGGAGAGTTTATCGTACGCGAGCGTCAGTCGATAACGTAACACAAACCGACTTATCCAGGAACTCCACCGTAATCGGCTAAATCCGGTGAGGTGTTTCCACAGTACTCTGACGCCCTGATCTTCCTTGCACATGGCCCACGCTTCGAAATCGTATCGTAGTATGGGCACAGCTGATCCGCGCTTGACTCTGTCTCGGAATTCTTACGGCCGATAGAGTGCTACCCTGGTGTACCTTGTGCTAATCAGAGCCTCGAGGCATCCACACCTCCGTCTGCGTAGATCTCGGCTCCATTTCTCCACTTCGGAGCTGTGCTAGTCACCCTTGATAACATGTGAAGTAGAATTACATAGTTCAAAGCTCCACTCCTCCACCGCCACCAGATAAGTTGGAGGTCGATTACCGACGGCTAAACCTATGCTGTAATCTCCGAAGGCACACATGACACGGCCAGCCCGACGCTGAGTCATTGCACAGCATTACTCTATTCCGTCTCCACCCAATTCAATTCTGATGACCTTCTCACGAGTCAAGCATATATAAAGGTTTGGACATCTCTCCGAATCCTTCCTTCCAACATCCACTTGGCTTTGTTTCGAGACACTCTCAGCCTCTCTTCCATGTCCATCAAAGATGAATTAACACCCTTTGCTGTAGAACCTCTCACAGAGCGATTCCTCCCATCGTTGCCGATCCTGGCCACACAAAAACCTGTCCGCGACTTCAAGTCCATGCAGATAGATAACATTATTTGTCCCTCCCCCCACCCATCTCCATCTTCGCCTTCCAATGACGCGACTGGACTACCTAACCGTCACTCTGCGATAACTGGTGACAATCCCGCCTCTCCCCCCACCGCGCAGCTCATTAGTCACCCACGCTCTCCTCCGCATGGCAATCCCGCCTCTCCCCCCACACTGCAGCTCATTAGTCACCCACGCTCTCCTCCGCATTCCCTCTCTCCCCCAGCTCCCTCAGTTGACTCACATCGATCTCGAGAATCAGATGAGATGGAAGCTCTCATGGAACCACCTAGGAAGTCGCGGAAACATGCTACTGGGCATCGTCGAGGCATTTCGGTCGATAATATGGTTCGAGTTGACGCCCCAACCCACTATAGGAGGCCGCCTCAATCCATGGAGCGTTATAAGGGTTCGGATTTAGCCCCACAGAATGGAGTTAACTCCACATCTGATTTTGGTTCCACTCCCCGTCCGCAGCAAAATGCTACGGCCCCTCTCCAGGCACCACTTCGCTCCCAGTTGCCGCAGCATAGCCAATTGAATGGCGATGACTCGGATAGCGGTGAATTCAGGAGCTGCTCTGCGGAATCTGATGACCAAACATATCTGATTACTGCGGAGGATGGTACTGTCATTTCGGTAGCTGACTCACCCGAAGCCCGTAAGCGGCGACAGAATACCGTTGCGGCACGCCGGAGCCGGCAACGAAAGCTCGAGTACGTCCGCTCGCTCGAGACTCAGCTTGCCGAGCTTAAAAATGAGCGTGAGGGGCTCATTTCTCGATACCAAAAGGCAGAGGAGAGGGTCGAGTGGCTGAAGGAGATGCTCATGGATGGCCGAAGCGCTGGACGTACCAGCTGAGCTGCTCATGTCAGCTTTCTCTCTCTCTCTCAAAACGATTCCAACATATTCTGTTCAAAATTGCGCCAGCATCTGCCCCACGTTTTTGTACGTAAAGCTTTCACCGTTGTGCTTTGCGCGCTATATTAACCCCTCGCCATTTCTAGTTCTGCTCAATTTTGCCCATTGCCCTTTCCGGTTCTAACAACCGACGTTTTGCTCGGACTCCGTTGAGTGGCGCACTCTGCGGGACAAAAGGCTTGACCAACAACAACCTGATCTTGGCCCCGATTCTTCTTCGACACACACAGAATGAAGGAAAACATGGCGGTCAGCGTTGAGAATATCCCTCTTCTCGGACGTAAATTTCATTTCAGTGAATACGGACTTCGTGCTTCATTTCCCATCCGCTCACAAATCGGAAAAGCTTTCCCATATACCCCCCATATTCTATTCTTGTGCTTATTGAACACCCACTTGTTTTGATCATATACCCCAAATGCTCACGCGCTATTGTAAATTTTGCGCCATTAATACCTGTGCTTTTGTTTATATATTTCTTTGCGCTCGCTTGTATGCACGTAATTTATTTCTTCATCCCCGATACCCGAAGTACTGCATGCGTTAGCGTCGCGAGTTTTTCAAAAATGACGGAACGTTAATTCCATCCCCCCCAGCTAGGAGTTGATGAACAAGCTGTCGGAGGGCCTCTCTACTCGTGAAAAATGCAACGGATGTATGCATGTCGCCAACGTACTCGCACCCGCAACTCCGGATGGATACCTTCCCGCGTTATTTTCGCCCATGGTGGGCCGCGCGCAGTAGGACTGATAAGGCGCACGAGGGTAGAACAGTCGTCCCGTCCTTGTTATGGTACACCATGATACAATAATCCCCATGCATACATATGCACAATAACTCTGAAACGTGTTCAAACCGAATCGTGCCGCGATAATAGGGCGTTCGGCCAGCTGAATCAGCCTCAGGAGGCTGAACTGAGGGCGAGAATATACCCCCCTTACAGTAAGAGTGCTATTACAGGCGAGGACAAACTTGGGGGTTGTCCTCAGCCGGGCCCATATGACCAATAATCGCCTGCGGGCTGTACCGGATGTGCTGAGACTTCAGCGGTTGTGCTTGTGGTACACGAGCGGCTAAGGAAGAGTGGCCAGGAAGCCCCCCTTCTTCATTTTCACTATTGTTCCCTAGTTGGGCCGTTGTGCCACTCTGCTCCTGCCCGACTTTTCCCTCAGGTCTAGTCTCTTGCGCCATAAGAAAAAATTCCGTACTTACCCATCGCACTATCACATAAATCGCAGAACAAATTACAATTTCCCTATCCGTCACCCACTGCGATCGATCCATTTGAGTTCTGGGTTTCGGCGGGGATACTCGAGCACCGAGCGCACTGCCGGAACAAATCGGTCATTCTTATTCCCTAGGGCAAATAACGCGGATCAGGACCAATGACGAGGAAGTAGACGAGCGGTAAACGTTGCGGAAGCATCATGAGCGCCCAAAGTCGTCATGCATTGACTTACAGTCTGAAAGATGCCTGGGCTCGTTCACATCATGGTATTAATATAATAACAATAATTGATCGTTCCAGCGCCGAACGGGCGCTACTGGGCCGAGACGTCGGGTTGTGGCGATAGAAATTGCTGGCCTTCAGCTGACGATAAGGTCAGAACCCTTCCCGCTGCTTCAGCCTGCTGAAAAACGTGTCCGCAAGGGAAATTGCTGACCTTCAGCTGACGATAAGTCAGAACCCGGCCCTCCCACTGCTTCAGCATGCTGAAACATATGTATCCATAAGGGGTTATCAGGGACCCATTTCATATGCATATCATCTGTCGCCACCGAACCAGGTGCTGGGGGTTGGGGCCCCATTGCCTAAACCAATCATGGTCGGGAGTCTCGCCGGCACAAGTCCTCATATCCGTTACAGTAACAACTAGCGAAATCCGAATATTCTTTCGTCTAAAGCCCTCATTGCTGTTGGCGACAAAATATGTGCCCAACTCAGTCCTAGCCGAGCCTTGATATTCTCGCCATAGGGTCATGACCCCAATCGGTTGTGTGTTGAATATTGGTCATTGCTCATTATTGAAGTATGTATGCATTGATTATCCATTTGACAAGAGGGACGGTTTCAATATCCCCCACCTCTCCACCAGGGGATATCCTAGGGTTCGGATCATTTTTAGCGCAAGTTAGTTGAACGGCCCTGGTGATTTTTTTCTTACAGACTCACCCGAGGCTCTATCTGATTTCTGGTTACTAGGGCCCATCAGGGCGCCTCGCTGAAGCCGGAGGGATCTAATATTAATGGCTGAGCAATGAGCTTCGACAATGTGGTAACATAATGGATGCCATGACCTGGGCAATATTCTCATGAGATACATGCATATGATATGCCTCATCAATGTGCTGGCATATCGGCTGGACATATCACCCTTTGATATCAGTCTCTTCTGCATGCTTGCGAGGCTGCCCTTTGAGAAGGTTGTGCCCTTCCGGTTCCTATATAAAGCCGTCCTTTGAGGGAACTAGTAACCGTTACAGAATCCCTCCAGGAAGGAACTTAACAGGATGTTCACGTTTCTGACCAAACTTCCCACCCTCGTACTCTTTTTGGCTGCGTTTGGGGTGTCTCTCTCGGCGGCTCTCCCGGCACGTAGCGAACCGCTCGAGCCTACTGTGAATGCATATGCAAGACGTTTGGAGCTGCTCAAGGGTCCGCTTGCCCCTAAGGGCTCAAGTGAGTCCCAAAAATACCAATTAATGTTCACGTCGTAGCTCACTATCAGACTAGGCGCCAAAAGAGGTACCGTCAGCGGCGGCGGCGGCGGAAGCGGGGTGGTGTACGTGTCGTTGGTGATTTTACCATGCTTTCATCTCACGTCATTATTATCTAGATGGACTGAGGATGCTCCCGAAGTTGGCCGTTCCAAATAGAGCCGGACAGTGTGTATTATATGCCGTCAATATTCTAGCAGGGCACTCATGGCAGCTTAGGTGATTCTGCCGGCATGACTGATCACGGTTGTGATCATTTTTAAGCACGACATGGAGTGACTGTCACCAGCACCTTTTCTTTACTTCTACTTGACTGATGGAATTCTTTTGTCGGTTTGACGACACTTTACTCCGGCCATATATGCGTATGTACTGGAACTTTTTTTTTTTTTTTCCTTTTCCTTAGTTCTCGTCCACGAGTCTGGGGCAATATTCCCTTTTGATCCTTGTTAAGTACAACAAATTGTGTTTCCGTCATGCAACGCACCTGTAATAGAAGCTTTCATCGATGGATTTGAGGATGAGTACGCCCCCGTATAGCATTGCTGTACCAACTCACCCGACGAAGTCCGGGTCCCAAGTTCTGTGCACCATATTTTATCAGATACCTTCTAGTATTCAGCGACGTAATACGTAAGTAGAATTTCATGTTACAATACATAGTATACACCTGTATTACAGTAAAGTACAATGTAATCGATCATCACCGACGTCAAAAATGGGCTGTGCAAGCTCAATACCATGATCTACAATTGCCCATCGCGGCGATGCTGTTCCAAAACGAAACCGACCACACACCGATGATATATACCGATTCTAACGCGATAATATGTGTCGTCTCTGAGAGAGAAGTGAGGGGGACTGGAGTGAGTGCAGCATTGCCATGAGCTCCGCAATCAGAAACAAGAGGATGAGTCGTTGGCGCATCGATGCGCTGTAAATTCGAGGTCGAGAGTGTGCATACAAGTATCTCGTACAGTATGCCGTAGCAAATTTGCTTGATAAGCGGAATCTTTCGATGGACACAGGGATTTTAATCTACAGCAACCCCATACTAATGAGTTTCACTCAGTAAAACGTCTGATTAGAGAGCAATCAGACAACCCACCCTAACAAAAGTTGCATCGCATTCCGTCAACTTTTTGCCCAAGTGGTGCACATTTTATGACTTCCCCCATCGTGGCATGACTTCCGGCAGCCATCTGATGATCTCACGAAACGGTTTAAGATATATTGGTGAAGTTACGTCGAAGTGGGGCATCAGGGACATTGCCCTTCTTGCACGGGCTCCGGAGGATAGTTGTGGGTAGTTTTAATGCATACAGTGGATAGTACGAGCACATACCTTCACTGAGGATTTCTTCCAGCGAAGCCGTGGCGGTGGTATGTGGAATGACATGATTAAAATCGTGCTCCGCTCAACCTCTCGCAAACCAAAGTAAGAGTGTCTGGGGAACGACACAATGGTCGAAGAAAATTCTGCTCCAACTCCAATAATCCTCCAGTGGGATTTTCCACGAAAATCCTGTGTGAGAAAGCAACCAAAACATTTTTGCAACCCTCTATTCCGCCTACGTAAGCGATCCCTTGAGTAACCTTCGGTTGCCGACCCCCCATCAGCGCTCATTCCTGGGCTCATTGATCCTGCAGATCCGCACAAACAGTCGGGCCGGTAAAACTTCAAACGAACACGTGCACAGCCGCAACGCGCGCCTCCGGCACTACCCATTGACCCCTGATCGGATCGGCAAACTCGAGTCATCAAACCCGACTTTTTTTTGATCAACTCCCTGATCCCGTAGATCCGGTGTTGTGCGGCGGCCTCCTCACTCCGGCCGACTGCCGATCACTCTGACTGGGCTCTGCCTCCGTCTTCTCAAGATGTTGTAAACGCGGCGTTCCAAATATGGCAACCCGCTTCAGCGGTTCACTCGCAACCCAGATGTAATATAGAAAGAAATATAACTAAAATACACACGGTGCTCCAGCGCCCATATTTATACTCCTCAACAACATTCCAGGCTCTTCTATGCCCAGCGCTTACGCAGGCGCCTAGTAACCTGTAGAATATTCCCGGATATTCCGGTTCAGTCTCATCATGTGACTCGTATTCCAACACAAGAATCATATCCTATACTATGCAATCATTTAGATCCCTGGTTGGGAATCCATCTCTGGCCATCGGATCCTGCAAGCGGTCTCTATTGCAATGATCGTTGCTTAAACAACAAAAATGAGCGCCAGGCTCAAGCTAATAACCGGCCAGTTCCCATTAGCAACGCGAAGGAAATTCGCAACGACATGAACATCTGGGCAATCGCTGCACTGGATATTGGATAGTGTGTAATCCCCATGCACAAGTGATTCAGATAAGTGAGCCGCCCGGAAGGAAACTTTCAATATAATTCACTCTGTAAGGACGTGCAGCTCACTTGATACCCCCTCCGAACCGAGTTACCGTTCAAAGTCCTTCAGAAGCTGCACGTCCTACTATTGTCATTATCGAAATGTACGGGCGCTAACACAATGCATTATGGACTAAGTAGAAAGTTGATTACATGCCTGCTGAACGAAGGCAATGAAAGTATAGGGACAAAAATATAACGCGACACATTACGACTAGCGCAAGAACCATAACAACAAAAAATTACAGCGCTTGAGTACAGGAAAGGGATATTGCAGGTGAATCAAACGAACAATGTGAACAAGTGCATCAATTGAAAGTGGGGGGCTTGTTGGAGAAAGCACCTTCGGATCCATAAGTGGGCGAAACGGGAGAATGAAACCCATGAAGCGATCCGCACGGAAAAAGTTGGGCATCTGTTGAAGATGCAATTTTAAATAGGAGTTTTGTCGGAAGTTGTTAAGAGAAAGAAGTCGATATGCTAGATTCAACTGCTGCGTCGACCATCCATGAGCATCTCCTTTAACCACTGAACCTTCTCCTCGGCCTTTTGGCATCGAGTTCTAAGCCCATCACGCTCACTCTGAAGCTCGGCGACCTGGGTCTCGAGCGAGCGGACGTATTCCAGTTTTCGCTGTCGACTCCGGCGTGCCGCAACGGTATTCTGTCGTCGCTTGCGCGCTTCGGGTGAATCAGCTACGGACACGAGTTCTCCATCCTCCGCAGTGATCAGATACTTTTGGTCGTCAGACTCTGCAGACCCCAATCCAACTTCGTCATCCAGGCTGTCATCGTACAATCGACTATGCTGGGGCAATTGGAGAGGAGACAAGGCGCTGCGGTGCAGACGTGGAGCGGAGTGGGTATCCGATGTGGGGCTACCTCCTTTTGGTAGGGCCCAAGTGGAGGTATTGTATGGTGCAATGGATCCAGGAGGACGCCGATAATGGGTCGGAGCATCGACAGAAATCATATTATCGACACGAATGCCTCGGCGAATCCCAGTGGCGTGTTTCCACGACTTTCTAGGAGGTTCTATCGATGCTTCCATTTCATGTGGTTCACGGGCTCCATATGAGTCGATCGGTGGGGAGAGGGACTTGGTCGGTGAAGGGGAATGTCGGTGACTAAGGGGCTGCGATGGGGAGGACGGAGAGATATGCATGTCGCCAACTAGGACAGAGCGACAATTTGATGGTTCAGTCATTTCGTCGGTACCATTGGGAGGTGGGGACGGAGAAGAGTGAGATTGAGGACCGATGATGTTGTCAATGTCCATAAACTTGGGGCTGCGAGCAGGTTTTTGTGTGGCCAGGATGGGAACCGACCGCTCCGTTGAAGCCTCTGGGGGAAAGATATCTTGAGTTGTAGAAGAGAAGTTGAAAGTACGCTGGGTATGTTCGAGTGCGGGCATGTAAAGCTAGCGCAGTTGAAGAAATTGGAGGAAGAGGGAGGAGTCGGGAGTGACGGCGGTTTATATGGGGCTGGACTGAATCGAGTCATATGAAGACGTCATAAGTTCAGTCGGAATTCGATAACATGCATGCTGTGCTCCGATGCCAGGTGACTCAGCAATGGTTCAGCCGCGTCAATATTGCTGCCGCTCCGATCCGCCGGACATCGGACAATAACTTCGGCCGCCGTGCTCCAAGCGCCCTGTGGAGGCTGGTGTAAGGCTGGTGGAGGGTTAATCTCATGAGTTATTGAACCATCAAGCAGTGAGTGCAACCCAGGCGACTTGCACAGCCCCGGAGTGCGAAGGTTGGAGGCCATAAGCGCGGTGCCTATACAAATGGTGGGTTATGTGTCTGCATGACTCCCATGAGACTTCATTAGAGTGTGGAGAATCAAGCACCGATATCAGCTGTGCCATGATATACAACCTAGGCGAGAGACCATGGGGTATGAGTCAATTTCGCACAGGTGGATCAGGGACCTCAGAATGCTGCAAGGTGCCCTAGAATGTCGGACACCGTTCTAATCGGCTTCAGGGAGCGGCATGCTCGTAAAAGGGTAGGTTGTAGCTGACCTAATGTGCGACAAATCGCGGATGAGTCAATCAGTCATCCTTGAATGACTCAACACCGTCGTACTCACGTTCATATCATCTCTTATCAATCAATGCTCTCCACTAGGAGGTCTTTTTAGGGTTGCGAGAATAAAGATCTTGACTGAGAACTGACCAGATGCGGGAATCTCGGCGCTTAACTCCTATCAGTCGAAACGAAACCATACTTTAGTCGACAGGCTATGCAGTAGGTCGATATCGAGTGGAGTCATCCTAGCCAAACCCACGCCAAGGAAGAAAGCGCGCTCGCTGGCTCGCATCAACTTGTGAGGCAGAGTGGGTTCTGAGCACTTGCAATCTTTAGGACGCGCAGAAGTGGCTCCGCGGCCTCGCTCATCTTGCGCAGCCGACTGTCTAGTGCTGTGAACCTCAGCCTAGTGTTTTGGAAGAGAGCTAGACGAGGGGGTGTTCAGAAGAGAAGTTGACACGGAAAACAGCGGAAGGCGCTTATTCACAGCCACTCCCAATCTGATCTCGATAGCATCACGTAGCAGTAAACTACCCAACCCACACGACGTTCTGTGAACAAAGTATGATCATTTATTGCGAAAGTACACGAAATTTAAAACAGACGTGGCGGGATCCGTATTTTGCTTTTTTAGGATGTCTCTCTCTAGTACTTCGAGCGGTGACACGTCTACGCAGGTTACCAGCCTCGATCGTGACACGTCGTATCTCACATATGCGGATGGCGATGTCGTCCTACGTTCTACCGATGGCATCGACTTCCGCGTGCACAAATGCGTCCTCTCCATAGCTTCTCCCTTTTTCTCCGATATGTTCAATCGGCTGCAAACCGACAGCGGAGCGCGAACGATCGAAATTGGGGAGGATGCAGCGATTCTCGACGCAATTCTTCGTTTCACGTATCCAACGCACACCATTCGTCGTATCAAAGAGTTGGACGAGGGGATCTCTCTGATACTCGCCTCAAGGAAACTTCAATGCGGAAGAGCTACACATTTGTTGTCCAAGGACCTAGAGAAGATCATCGCTGCTCGCCCCAACCCCTTAGATGCATGGGCGCTTGCAACATGGCTCGATATACCCGACGCCATTGGGCCTGCGAAAGCAGGTTTCATGCAACGTTACGACAGGAAACGCCACGGCCTCCCTGAATCATTGAATCATGTCAATGTGATGGAGTATGCCAAGCTCCGGGAGGAAAAAGACGAAAGGGAGCCACCTAAAATGTTCTATCGATGATGGGACAAAGTTAACCTGACGAATTTTATCACAAAACATGCCACTCTCGTTCTTGGTTATTAATATTGGCCCCTCCGTCTGTGCATTGGATACGTGTACGTGTTACTAGCCCCCACCTATGAGAAGCCGTCTATGGATGAACCTCCCTGGAAAATGTTGTAGCAGACAATCTTCACGCGCAGCAAATTGCTCTACGGAGGGGGGGGGGGAAGGTTAACTTCCACGGTGCAGTTGGGGGCGCCGCCCTAGCGACAGAGAATACAACACCTATACTTCTTCCCTTTGAATATAAAACACTGCCAGCTGAAGTGATCCCGACGTCCAATTTGCCTAGCTCGGGGAGTGCGAGTGGGGTGGAGGTTTGATGTATAGAGATCTTGAGACATTATCGCGGACTGTGCAGAGACCGGGGACGATGTGTCAATGTTGTAACGTCGGACTCCGACGGTCCAAACCCGAGCATTGCCACATTTTTATTTCTTCCGTCCTCACCCGATCCACCAACTTCAAGTTAACAGCAAGCATCTTCGTTTCTTTCTCCAATGCCTTACAACTCGTCTCGAATACACCCAGCCCGCTGCTGCTCAACTTCTATGTACCAAGATGCCTAAATGAGCCGTACCCCGAAGACTTTTCTCTTCGCCATTCTAGCTAGTCCCCGATTCCGGCTACACAGGGGCCTCCTTGGATATCGTTGCATCATCAGTCTGACATATTATCTGTATCCTTCACCTTTCGACGATGCTAACGATATGACTGGACTCTTCAGCTATTGCTTTGCGAAGTAGCTGGTGATGTGACGCGTCTCTACCTCTCCCTCCGCATTGCAGCCTGGGTTTAGGTTGTAGAATGAGGAGGCACGATGGGCTCACTAGGACCAGATGCCGAAAGACCGACCGTGGACAAAGGAGACCCCCATACTCATGGATGGCCGAAACGCTGAACCTCGTATGTCAACTCTTTTTAACGGCCTCGACAAAGTCCGTTCATATACATTTTCAACATGGTGCTCTCCGTATTTACACGTTTCTCGTTTTCATTCGAACATCATTCGTCATCTGCTGATGAAAAAAATCCCTTTGCATACTCAGCTTTCAATCCTTGCCCTTTCCGTATTCTACATGCATGCTGCTTGAAGTCGAGATATCGACGTACGTGCAGCGTCGGACTTCCTTTCTTGATATTCCTGTTACCTTGCGCGTGCGCGATTCAGAACGTTGCACTCACAGAGCGAGATTTTTCTCTTTCATGTCTTTCCTCGGTTTACGTACAACAGGACTGAGGTGAAATTATCCTCCGCTACTTGATATCTTGTCTCAGTTATGAGTATCAACATTTCAAACAGAGGCTCGCTCGGGGAACCACACTTGTATCTTCAAGTAGTTGATAAAATTGAAGGGCCTGATTCCACGTCTCTACAGACGCGATGCCGAATCTTTCGCCTGGTGTCTCATCTACACGGAGAAGGAAGATGATGGTCAGATCCGCACCATCAGTCCCCACCCTTTGTTGTCATGGTTCAACAACTCGGATAGCTGCTATTTCTTCAAGATAACAGGATTGATAAGCATTTTCAGCAAAATTCCACTTCACAAAAGGCATAAAGATTTTGCTGCAGCAATCGAGAGCGGAGCGCTTAGCTTATGTTTGGCTGGCGCCCTAGCAGGATTCTGGAAAAGAAAGTAGATTCAGTGCCATCAGTTTATTGTCCTTTCCACTCGGTTTCTCATTCTGTCCACCCAATCGAGCTAGGTCGAAGTCGATGAACCCCCCGCTTCGTGGCTGGATTGTGCGTTTTATAGTATATTGAGGCTATGCTATAAGATTGGGGACGCGTGAGTGTGTGATCTCCGTGCATCAGCATGACTTGCTTATCCAATACTTCGTCCAAGACAAAGCGGGCGCCACTGGGGAGGAGGGAATGCATCGGACGCAGCGGCGAGAATCGGGACCGCCACATCTTCCTGCTGAGAGAATATGATCGATCATCAGGAAAACCTTCGGGGGGGGACCTTGCCGGTCCAGTGCTGGTGACGATTGTTAGAATTCTTGGTATAATGGCGTACGCTATGACCAACTCACGTTTGGTGATGTTGAGTCGTGTGGCGTCTTAGATTTTCGCCAATTACCTTTCTTGGTGACACCCGTGCCAAAGTCAGTGCGCATTCATAGCGCCTGACTATAAAATCTTAATTTTTGGACAACCCAACCTTTCCTCAGTTCACGTACAACGGGACTGAGGTGAGTTGGTTATATCTTGTTTGTCCTTCATACCTCATGTATTGAACACTCGTACACCAGCGACAACATCGCTAGGTGATTATTCCAATATATATTTAGTTCACGTACAACGGGACTGAGCGACAACATCGCTAGTCCATCATTTCGTCTTATAACGATGGGGATAGACACTCGTCAGAGGGGCGGGTAATCAAGCCAACCCGAACTGCAAGCTGTGCGATCACCACGCGATTCATCTCATTTATGGGAGGTAGCCAATTGCTCATTCTTGTCTTGGTGTCTTGGATGCGCCACTCAGCGACCTTGTGCAATGCGAGTGGGCGGAGGTTGGCGGCTATGGACCATCACGGGAAAGATTGTTATTTGTCTCGTCGGACGATACTCTGGGGAATCATCGGTAGGGAATATCCCGCAGATTGATCGCCTTCCAATGGAACCTTGTCCGCGCAAGCAACGTCGTTCTATTTATTAGAGACTACTTCAGCCTAACGAACCCTGTGATACCGACCCCATTGTTAAAAACATCTGCTTGCATATTCTTTAGCGTTCTGTTCATATGCGGTGACGCGGCTAAGGCTAGTTGTGCTTTGCGAGTGGTTGTCTGATTTGCTACTTGATATTCTACCATCCTGCAGGACGTCAACATAACTCCAATTCATGACCACTGTCAAACCCGGGCCTACGCTCTATTTTTTCATTCCAGCCTCACACCGATGACCACCTCGAAGCATACCCCCCCATTCCAGCTATTGACCCCTACAGATCGGTTTTGCCTCACTCCTTCGAGCACACCCCGCTGCTCAACTTCTCTTCCGTCTGTGCAGGATGTTCAAGTGCTCTCGATCTTACAAAACAATCTCTACCGTTCGAGTCGTCGATCCTGCTCATATGGGGACCCACTCGTAAATATGTGGATATTGACACACCACCAATCGGTCATGTCACCCATCTCCTTTTGTAAAGGAGATGGGTACCCCTGCCGATGGTCACTGTGAGGGGGAGGTGGTCTGATAGAAGTAGTGTGAAGGTTGCGGATATAGAGCCTTTATACAATAGAAAAACAATTGTAGCCATAGTTTCTCCCCGGACAACAATTCCTGATTCTACCGTCCATAATGTCTAGTGCTGACGTTTACACGCCTCCCGACCGACCGCGTACCGAAGAGATAATTGATCCTAGTATATGCCCACCTCGAGTCACGTCGAGGCTGGTGTAGCGCACAGTGCCGGGCGTGAACACCAAGAATCAACGAACTAACTAGAGACACAAACCACACCGCATGCTGCAACCCCTGTTTCAAATACACGAACAGGACAGGACAAGCTAGGCTAGAGCATGTTGGAGTAAACCTCGGTCTTGTGGATCTGTGTTTGGCTTTGTGAAGGATGGAAGATGATGTTCCGTGGCACGCGGTGTGATTGTGCCCAGCACCAACTGCTGCATGAGAGCGCGTATAGCCGCTAACTCATCATGTCTTCTAGGCCCTCTAGCGCATCAGCGGTACAAGAATATGATGGAAGAACAAGTTCACGTCCATAAGTCTCAGGGGATTTAGAATGAATTTAGAATGAAGTATGATAACGACTTTCAATCACAAGGGGCGCTTCAGAATGCCACCCGATCTCATTAAGATTCTGGAGCGATCGAGTCAGATACGCCGTTGGTAGGATGACAACTGGCTGGCAGCGGAGTCTAACATTTTCTTGGATCGCCAAGAGCGCTCTCCGAGTTCATTGGGTCGATCACTCAAGATTCCTAATGAGTCACTCCACAAACTTGGACTGGCCAAGTGCTCCCGGTGATCTACAGACACTGGCGCCAGCTTGCTGCTATTCATCCAACACCATTAGGCCCTGATTTGGTTCAAAAATTTAACGAGTTAGCCAAACCCCAGGTGCAGTGCGATCATGATGGGTGAATGGCAACTAGCTGGTGCCAGAGTTCGGTACCTTCTTCAATCACACTGGGAGCGCTTCGAAGTGTCGTCTTAGCTCATTGAGCGACACGGCAAGACACCCGAGAGATCGAGCCAAATCTAGTTATCCGAAATCATACACCTCGGATTTGGCTCGAACGCTCATAGTTCTGGAGGCGTCACTCCGGAAACTCGGGCGGCATTCCGAGGCTAGGCAGGATACCAGCCTCTATTGGAATAGATTCCGAAGCGCTCCCGGTGATCGAAGAAAGTGGCAAACTCTGGCGCGAGCTAGTTGCCGTTCATCCGCTAGCATACACTTCGCGCTTAGCTCAACTCAATCCACACGTCTCTCAGCAGTCTCGGACAGTATCCCAAGGCCCTCCCCATGATAGAAGAAGTTGCCTGGAGAACAGTGCGCTAGTTTTTTTTACAGAGCCACACTCCCACGGCCCAGGTTTTATCACCCATGGCCTCGCTGTCACGTGGCAGTACGGCAGGGTCTATCAATATTTTGACTTAAACCCGAAGATCACTGACACCAGACGATACCAACCAGACTACCCACACTTCATGTATAGAAAGTCCCGTATCGACGGGATTGCCACGACATCACGAGGCCGCGGGGTATTATGATAGATTTATCATCATCATTTTGACTTACATGATGTACATTACCTATAGCTACGTGCATACAGTCTATCAACTACGCTCAGTGCCAACATCTGTCCTCAGCTTGTTGCCATTCATCCGGCATCAATTTGGCTAGTTCACTGAAGGATGTCAAAGCGTCTGAAGTGCGGGACCCAAGACCTTTTGTGCGACGAATTTAGAACTGTGAGTTGGCCCAACTTGGTTCCCAGGACCGTTAAACGACAATTAACTAGAATACAAGGGTCCTTACGCGTCGCTTGGGAGTTGTGTGAAGCCCGCGCAGCAGAGCCACGTTGTATCCTGTCGAGTCGCTCGTTTCTTGATGTTCCCCACCCGAGCTATCGTCATGCGTAATGTCGTGGCCTTCTAGCTGAGCCTTCCTTCCATGCCGTCCTCCATAGCAAACGCTTCCATCCGAAGTCGAAAGCTGCTCAGTTGGCAGCCGAACGCTCTCAGTGCCCTCAGACAGCAATTACACCGTTATTCGGTTACGTTACATTAGTATGTAGTAGCTAAGGGCATATGTTCGCAACTAAGCTCTTGATCGCGAACGCCACATCCAGTGCTTTTAGCAGTGTGGTCCTCAATCGCCACTCTACAATGCTGACCACATGGCATTTAGCTTCTCCCTTGAGCTTTCTCCATTCGCCGTGTATCCTATGATACTGGAAGCCCACGCTGCTGCTGCATGTTCGTTCCACCGCCAAATTCACCGAACGATATCAACATGACACCCAATTCCGTTCTCAGCTAGGCTGTTGGCCGGACGGCCCCATACCTTTGCCCACTATCCCTCATGCAGTGCATCCAAAAGCATCATCGCTGACACTCCCAAAAATGTGACAACTGTCAGACTCTCTTACTAAGCCCCTTGTCATCCTTCTTCATGACCCTTTTTGACGGTTTCGTCGACCCACATCAGGCCAAACAACAACCCATGGGTCATCCAAAATGACATTCAACACAACTCGCTAACATCGACAACAAATCCGCTCACTCGCAATCACCTAGGCTCGGCTCACGAACACCATCGAGAAACATCACGTATAGACACCACCAGGCACTAAGCCTCAAGAAGGCCGTGCACCTTTACTCCGATTCTCTTTCTTTTTTCTTTTCCTTTTACCTATCAACAACAAATCTACTCATTCGCAATCACCTAATCTCGGCTCACGAACGCCATCGAGAAATATCACGTACAGACACCACCGGGCACTAAGCCTAGGGCCGCGCACCTTTACTCCTCCGATTCTCCTTTTTTTCCCTTTTCCCTTTTTATCTATCCCCGAAAAAGCAGGGTTTCACCACTTGCAACCTCCCACGAAAAGCCTAGGCTTCCCCACTTCCCCCACATATCGCAGCCAACCTCGAGTAAGCCGCACTACGTACAACTTACCCCCCACCCATGTACGTCACGTAACAGACATCTCACGTCATCAGTCCTCAATCTCCGTCATCCACCAACATAATATTGATCCCACCAATCCCCTTCGCATCAATCCTCTCACATGTCAACACAGATCAACGCGATGTGCGCCAACTCGCTGGCCAGTGAATCCAATCCTGCAATGTGCTCTGTACGCACTTGCCATAAACCTTGTGCTAAACGATGAAACATGTATTCAACTTGCTTTCATGGCCAGAATAAATGCGTGATACATAGTATGAAGAAATGCTGGAACTGGCTCCAAATGTACATGCAAGCAGGCAAACAATGCAAAAATGTTGTTCATCGATGACTAATTTGGCAGCTAGTAGTAGTTAAAAAAAAACAAGGTGTAAGGCAAAATCCAGGTTCGAGAATACGACAATATGAGAATATATTGAGACAAAAAAATGGCGATGGACAGAGGATGGGATGAATGACACCAATATTGGGAAAATGAGGAAAAGGAGAAAAAAAATACCACAAAACAAAACTTGACAATCACGTATAGACACCACCGGGCACTAAGCCTCAAGGAGGCCGCGCACCTTTACTCCGATTCTCTTTCTTTTTCTTCCCCCCCTTTTACCTATTCCCGAAAAAAGCACGGTCCCACCACTTACAACCTCCCACGAAAAGCCTAGGCTTTCCCACTTCCCCCACATATCCACCCACGCACAGCCAACCTCGAGTAAGCCGCACTACGTACAGCCTCCCCCCCCCTCTCCTCTTCCGCTTTCCAGGCTCCCGCCCGCCCCATCCATGTACGTCACATAACAGACATCTCACATCATAAGTTCTCAATCTCCGTCACAGTATTGATCCCGCTAGTAGCTCCAGCTTCCCATCCCCTTCGTATCGATCCTCTCACGTCCGCCACAGATGTCAACACAGATCAACGCGATATGCGCCACTCGCTGGCCAGTGAATTCAATCCTGCAATTCCCGCTACAGAGTAGCGGGTCTTGAATGCGTAAACTGTGCAAGAGCAGACTCCTCCCCAGCTAATTGGAGTCAAGTTTCGGATAAGTTACTCATTCCGACGGTGGGCACAACTATTACATAAGTCACCGTCGTAATGTTGGTTTGTTTTTTCGTCGAGACCGACCGAATGCACTGAAACCGGCCGGGTCGACATTTGCGCTCCAGCTGGGCCCGTGGCCCGTAGTTCCAGATGGTCACACACGGTGACACAATTTGGTGTGGAAGCAAGTAGAACCAGAGAAATACACACAACATTGAAGTAAAGGGAGAGGTTGGGTGGAATGTGAAAACCATTAGGCCACCAAGGAAATGTGCTGAATGTGCCGAGTGTACCGCAACATCTCTAGAGCTTTAGACAGCTCTTGAACTGCATTTGGCTCAGTCATGAGCGAAATCGGTTCAGGTTCTCGAAAGAGAAGCTCCCGTACATGGTCTATGGCGCCAGATGAATGAAGAACCCATGCACAGGTTGCATGCAGGGCGATGAGACGTGGGTCAGGAGGATGGATGACCTGATCATCTTCAGTTTTAGCCTCTTTGAAGTTGACAATTGGTCGAATTCCAAATTCATTTAACATATTGATGCCCCCACCGTGCTGTGGAACGTAAGCATTGGGAATGATGACGTTCTCATCATCCTAGATAACAAGTCAATCCAAGAAACAAGGGTAAAAAGTGACAAAGAAACGTACTAGAGCTGGCACTAACCACAGGTCGAGGCTGTCGAACTGCTTGTGCGGTGTATCCGATGCTGTGAATGCATTCAACGGACTGTTCAGACAATGATCCCCAAGCATCTGGATGGAGGAAAAACCTCCAAACCGCTCGATCAATGCCGCTGCCTTCTTTGCCCACTCGAGCTAAATTAATCAGATAAGGCACGGAAAAAAAACCGACCTTTGTTCCCGATTCTGACTGGCAATCGATGTCCTCCGATAGAGATTTACTGACAATGTGAGCGACATATGTCTCACTGGCCTTGGGTTTTGTTCCCTCCACACCCATTTCCATTTTAGCCACATTGGCTCGCTGTCCTGCCACTTTGAGTTCCCCCGGTGTATGATGCACAAAAGACTTATCCAAAAGACCAGTGAAGACACAGCGATTGTCATCACGAAGCAAGATCTGACCGAATGCATCGATGAGGGGATAAGAACAAGTCAGCAAAACATACTCACGAGTGGCCTCAGCCTGCTATCGGGGATCGAGGACCGTTGGAGTATAGGAGCCACCCTCTCCTCTGCTTGCTCGAAAGAATCTATGGGACTCTGACTCATTGACAGTGAGGGTGTGAGGCCTTTGGGATTGTAAACTAGGGAATAGCAAGTCAAAGATTGCTGGAAATGAATAAAAAAATGCTTCACAAAGAAACTCACATACACGAGTTAGCCCAAAAAGGTACAAATGGGCGAGCCCAGCCAATTTCTCTGCTTCGTCCGCCTTGTCCGTGCACTCGATGATCTCACGGGTCAATGCGTCACGCCCTTGCTCATTGGGAGCCCCAAGCAAACAATAACCGAGGAAACGTGCAACTATGCGTGGATTGAACTTGGACCCTGTGATGCACTCCTTCTGCTTCTGAAGCTCAGGCACATAGACATCCCATCCATCCAACCGCTCTAGGGAAAGGCATTGCCTATATGCTTCCCATTGTTTGGGGCTCGTCAGTTTTGGCTCTCGAGGTAGAGCTCGTCCACGGTGAGGACCGAATTCCATGGGTTGCCCAAAATAACACACAATAAATTCGGCCAACTCCGCCATAATTCCCGCTACTCTGGAGTGGGTCTTGAATCACTGCGTTCAGAGGACAATTATTCCTGGGCTGAAATACTATACTTGCTTTCATGGCTAGAATAAATGCGTAATACATAGTACGATGAAGAAAAAAGAACTCCCTTGTTGGAATTGGTTCCAAATGTACATGCAAGCAGGCAAACAATGCAAAAATGTCGTTCATCGATGACTAATTTGGTGGCCAGTAGTAGTAAAAAAAGTAAACAAACAAACAAGGTGTAAGGAAAAATCCAGGTTCGAGAATATGAGAATAAAAAAAATGGCGATGGACAGAGGATGGGATGAATGACACCGATATTGGGAAAATGAGAAAAAAAAAATACTACAAAACAAAACTTGACAAACAAAGCAATTGTGTCAATATTGTCCATGTTACGAAGGTGTCCGAGTTCACAGGTCCAGAAAGATCACACAAGAAAGCGAGAATCATTCGGCGAAGAAATAGTGTGGCGAGAGTGGGAAACAAAATGGGAAAGGGAGGGGGGGGAAGAGAGAGAAAAAGATGGCATGCTGCGATGAATAGTGGATAGATCGATGTAAACAGAGACATAACAGGGGGGGGGGGGGGCAAATTAGAGGAGTCATGACCCAGAAATTGAAAAAAGACCTCCGGAAGACGACGACGCCAACTTCGCCGCCTCGACGCGACGTGACGCGATATTCCATTTCGCAAAACACAACAACTCCTCATTCCTCTTCTCCTCCGTACCCATCCTCAAAAACATCTTCATCCTCCTCAGGACCACCCACACTGAAGATGATCCTCCTCCCACTCCTACCCACCGAATTGGCAGAAGAACTAGACATCGTACTCGCATCGCTCTTTCTCTGCATTGAAAAAAAATTTTAAATAAAACCCGAATCTGAATACGGAACGACGAAAATGAATGAAAAAAAAGAAAAAAACTCACCCTATGAGCGTACTCTCCTTCCGGTGGATCACTCCCTTCGCTCACAGGCTCATCTGCAACGCCACCACCACCCGCAACCACAGTCTTCGCCAAAGGTGTAAACCCAAACGCAAACCCAGAACGAGCATAACAATGTCCCGACGTTCTTCTAGGATTCTTACACCCATCGTACTGATGCTGTTGATACTGACTCGGATGCGAATGGGACTGGGCTCGTAAGTGCGAGGAAGTCTGGGTACGGGCGGTAGGAGTGGAAGTGGGAGTGGGAGTGGAAGTGGTGAGGTGAAGTTTGGAAGGAGATGAAGTTGAGCGGGATGCTGGACTCAAACGGGTGTTTGCTAACATAGTGGGGGAGGTCGTCACCGCTGTTGGAGAAGGATGATCTTTCGAGAGAGAGTCGAAAAGCTAGAGCGAGAAATGAGTGATATTCAAACAATAGAAAGGGGATACGAAAAAGGCCTCCAAGGAAGGAAAGGATCGTGTTAAGCAGAGCAAAGAAAGCTTACCATCTCTTCTCTAACTTTCTCGTCCCATCTACTACTCGTCCTTGCCACCACCACTGCACATCGATCTGGAGTCATATACGGCAAAAGGTTTAAATCTTGGCTGATAGAAGGTAATGCTGTTATTTTTGTACGGCCTGAGCGGGAGGAAGAAGAGGAGTAGGTTCTAGGACGAGTTGTTGTCGTTTCGGTGGTGGTGGTCTCAGTGGGGTTAGCGGTGGCGGGTGAATGAGGGGGGGAAGGTCCGGAGGCGAGTGAGATGAAAGAGGAGGAAGGGGAGAGAGGAGATGAAGGAGAAGGTTGTTGGAGGAAGACAGACGTTTGAGAAGGTTGGTGTTGGTGTCGTTGTATTGTCGGTGACGTCGATCCCGAAGTCGATTGATGATCCGGGGAGGTTGTATTCATTCTCTTCTTAGAAGAGGCAGCTGGCGATTGTGAGCGAGATGGTGATGGTGGGATAGAAACCGACATGACGATCGTCGTGGATTGAGAGGAAGAAGAGGAGGAAGAAGTCAAGGTGAATGCTTTGGAAGGAACAGGGACGGATGGGAGATGAGTGCAAGTTGGCATGTGCATAAGGAAATATTTTATTTAGACCCCCAACACGGACTTTGTGATTCTCTCAGGCTTTGATTGTGTGGCGAGGCCGTGAGTATTGTGGGCGGTATTAGTTACAGTTTATCGCGTGAGTTATCCCGTGGGGGGGTGTGGAGATGAGCGTATTTGGAGTAAGTTGTGGGTAAGCGGGTGGTTTCTTGCCAAGGTTATATGGAGATGTGATATGTGAGACAAGAAAGCAGGCAAATAGGAATAGGATCGTCAAGCTCAAGTAAAAACGAGAAGGAAAGCAAAGCGCAAGAGGGCTCGTCCAGGTACCGCTGAGCTCAGGTTATTGTTTTATTGTATGGTGGATCCTCCTCGATCGATCCTTCCCGATAGTCTCAGCACAGGTTATAACCCAAGTGCAGACCTGTTTTTCTTCCTGCGAAGAGAAAGGTGAAGGGGAAGGAAGGAGTGATGCAGGACGACGGTGAGGGTTGGGATATATATATGCCATACTTGTGAAACGGAGAGTGGAAAGTAAAGAGAAATGAAGGAGAACCAGGTAAACGAGCCAATACAAACATATTACCCGGTTTTAATTTATTCGTATTTTCAGCTGATCACATTCAATTGAATCGTTACCTTGTTTAATATCGATTCTTAAATCCCCCTTTTCAGGTGCAACTCCATCTGTGGTGCTAGTTCTCCCCTTCCGCTCACCTTCGCCGTCAGTCCGGACCACCTTGTCAACGCTCACTTTCACTTTTCCAGGCGAGATGTATGTAGAAAGGTAATAGGAAAGGTAATAGCAGTAAAACAACTCGTTCCGACACATAGATATAAATGGAAACGTTCCAGAACGTCTCAGGTTCCATTCATATTTCTGATTGGTCACCCTAATCCACGTAAGAGCACAGTGTTCAAGAGTGGAGCTAATGATCTTCTCTTCAGCTACATAGGCACATTAATACGTATAGCTTCCCTTCCCACCAGCGCAATCATCTCTCCGAGCCTAGTACCTGAACCTGCTGCACTCCGTAGTGCGGTCCAGGCCAAGGTGGATATCATAGCCCACAAGCCCATATTACCTGTTGTTGTAAGATCAAGACATTCAATCTCGAATTAACTATCACACTAACCCAGATCGGGTCCATCGCGAATTTGTCTGTAAAACTCACCACTTGATCCAGGCCTAGCCTCAACGATCTCCTCTCCATGCGAGATTACTACGAGGTCCATGTGGTTCGATCAATTCGCGTATCAAGCGCAAACTCATGCACAAGCGTTGATACGCTCCTTATTTACATATCCGGCTTGCGCCGCGACCTTGCTTTCCTCTTTCAACTTTGAAAAATGATTCTTCCATTCTATCCATCGATGCGCGATATGTGCCGCCTACCAGAATAGGAGGAGTCTGACCCGCTCTCTACAATCGCACTATACAGCAATGTTCCACATGACTTTTTGGGTATCCATGTTGACTTGCACTAGGGCCGGCCGTACTGAACGCATTTCCCGGGCTTCCTCAGGCTATATGCGGTGCGCGGCAACGGACCCGTAACGCCCTCATTTTCCCCAGATATTGTTGTTATGCGCGGTCTAGACCAATTAATCGTACAATTGGACGTTTCACGGAGCCTCTCAGTATTACAAGACATTCGCTAGACGGCTTTCCTGCTAAATACCCAACGCGGCACATGCAACAACATCATTTGTCTTACTGAGTTATATATACACATATCATATCTGTGATGTTCTCCCGTCCCGGCTCCATGACGAACGTCTATATACGTCCTCCGGCAAATCACCCGTAGCAGAGTGACTCTGGCACCTTTAGCCAGTAAAGTATATGCAAACCATACCCAGTGACCAGCAAATCAAGCGCGATCTTCATACATTCATCTTATCCGCCCACTTCCGATCTCTCTGTCGCACTGCATGGCACATGCACAACATCTTCCTCGCCGAATGTCCATCATGATTCGCCGTCCATTTCCAGTCACTTTCTCTTCCCCAATGCACCCAACGTACGGCTGAACATAAACAGCATTATCACGAGTACAAGTGTTGTACTGTATATATGAAGCAGGTTGCAAAGCTGGGTCCATCAGGCATGACCACTTACATTCGTCTATCAATTAATTGCAAAGTGACTCACCATCGATATTATACGTAAATGATCGACCAGCGTCTCTCTCTCTTCCCTGGGCCCTGGCTTCTCAATTGTACTTACCGACTTAGGTCACTTTCCTCATTAGCCACTTGCTACAGTCAACACCAGGCCGCGTGCCGCCCCTAACCATCAGGCCTCGCGCTACATAATATCAAAATTACGCCCATGTCCACGGAGAACTTGTATGTGCTTACCCTTCTACAGCTGAGGGTTCCCCGTTCAGCGAGATCAGCTGTTTGAGCTATGGGATGAGCTGAGGTTTAGCCGGTGGTTACTAATACCGGGGAATAATTTACTTAGGAGAGGCGGGCCGATTGAACCGGTTGCCGGTTGTTGCTGGTCTTGCCCATGCTCGTGCAATTCGATGCGTGCGGTTGGGGTCGGAATGCGAGTGAATACCGAGTTATAGCTCCATACACATATCTATGCGCACGTCGTATTGCCTCGGTGAATCCATGGCCGAGGCCCTGTGGAGTGATATTAATCGTACACGGGGCTTCGAAGCCATGGGATGTCGATTCGGCGCAATTATAGAGCCTAACATTTCAAGCTGAGCGTATGTGAATTCGTGTAATACAAATAACATTTTTAGGGTTGCTTGCCCAGTATACGACTCACACAATGTCATATTGACCAAAGGTTCTAGAACTTCCCTCTACAGACTGATATCTATCTCCGCTCCGGCACATATTTCTTAGCTTCGCCTTCCCTTCCAAGACGCACAAAGAAGATAAGACGGACGAATGAACTTTCCCCACTTGGAATCGTTATGGGTCTAGAACCCACGTAGAGTCGAGGTTCCCAATCTCGATCTCGCGAGTGGCTACATACTACTCCGAATGAATCGCGACCTTATATTTCTTTCAGATCTTTCATAGAACGTACGTACGATCCAACGGAGTCATGTATCTGTGGTCCATGACGTTTGATACGACGGAGATATGCAAGGATGCTCATCTCCGAAGGTATGATCAATCAATCATGGCTATGAAGGTGATGGATGATATTGTGGTTGTGGTTGGGCTGGGTTTAGTTGCTCTGGGTTTTAATGTGAGATTAACCGATATGAAGGGCACAAGGGCACACGAAGAAAACACACAGCACGATCGTCCAGCGCAGAGCACTAGCCAATATTAGAGTGTGTTATTCCAGAACTTGCGACTGCAGGTGTGGCCGGCGTTCGTTGTACTGCTACCCTAAGGGCGGCGATTAAAGGAAGGGTTTGAAGATCCATAGTGACGCTCGTTATCGCGGATCAGGGACAACGCCCGCAAGGAGTTAACACCATGATCGGGGCTAGATCGCGTGTGTCGTATCCATTAGGGAATCGTGGCTGACCGAAGGAAATTTGGTTACTACGCACTGGGACATAGTGATTGTATTGCAGAAAGAAACTTGATTTGGCGGTGGGATACAAACAAGGGCCGATTCCCTAAACATCTACCACGAGCCTAGACCCTTGACCGGGAAAACGGGGCGAAGAATATGAATGTGTTCGAACCTGATTGTTCTGAAGCAACCGAGCCAGCTAGCAATCGGGGTTTCGAGCCGGTGGATACTTGTTCTCGACCTAAAACACTAGCCCATCTATTCTCCCAGGCCCGCCTATGCAGAGGTTCTAGAACGAGGCTCGAGCCGTGGGTACTGATGATGGTGGGAGTAATGAAGACTAGAGTCTGCTGGGGCAGCCAAAAGTGTCCGTGTGGCGATGCCTGATGTGAGCGTGATTTAGAGGTCCCCTGCGAAGAATATTTTAATTCCAACACATTATTATTATTATTATTATATTAAGTAATAATCACCTTAGGCAAGTTGCATAGGTCAGGATGTTGTCTAGGTAGACTACCACAGAAACATCCAAAAGGTTGGTGAAGATCATATTGACAAATCGCTGCACAGAGGGAATTAGTGATGCGTAAAAGATCATCTTAACCATTGTATAATATGCTCATTTTTAACATGATTAAAGTTGTGTTTTACAACGTGGTCCATTGCATTTTACCAGGATCCCTTTACCACGTTAAAGGATGTAGATGACCTGTTTTCTAATGATTCTCCACCATGATAACGAGTGTAAACGGTCAATTTACAAGGGTGCATTTTGTAATTTACCAGTCGGATTTCGTCATTTACGATGTTGTTAATTTGGTGAAAAACTGTCAGGGCACACCTGCCTGACCCCGTGCTGCGCCCCGCGCCGTACTGTTCTACTCCGCGACCCCCGCTATCAGCCCCGTCCCTCCTTCCTCACTTTTCCCCTTTTCTCTCCATTTCTATTCTGCAGTCGATTTCCCTTTTCTCCATGTACCACTACATACCTAACCCCGCTTCCCTGATCGCCGCATGCGCCGCGCACACTCCTGCCTACTGAACGGCTGCCTCCGGGATCTCCCACGGAGACACCCGGGGAGGTGCGGCTGTGCGCGGAGATGACGTGGCCTCCTCCACGTGACCCTGACCGCATGTATATAATAGCGCCTGGGGTGGGAACAGAAGAAGCAGCCTTCTTCTCAACTTCCCACTTCAGGTAAGTACCATAGCTTTTCCCTTTTAATGATAACTCAACTTCCCACTTCAGCCTAAGTGGTCGGGGACGCTCACCCCGCGACGGGATCGCCGCTACGCACAGCCGCTATCCGTCCCACCGAGTCCCGCGTGCAGGGACCTCGCCGCTTTCGGAGCTGTCCCTGACAAAAACGTGGTTATTTATGACTACATTTATGGCGATATACAGCGAAAAATCTAGGCTACAGTTGCGATGAATTGAGTGAGGAAATGAAATGCCAATTTGAGTGACAAAGAAGAGCTGATTCGGTAGAGCATGAGGCAGGGTTGAAACCTTGGAAGCACGGAGTAGAGTGTGAGCAAGAGATAGAGTTGAGCGTTGAAAGAGGGCTCGCGGCTCTCGATGCCGACTAAGCTTGTGGGGCCAAACTCTCCAAAATCCTACTTTCTTGACTAAACTTGCTATGCTCTCGATCCTTAACTCCGTGGTGAGTTCTCCGGGATTTCCGCAAGGTCCGGGCTCAACAAATCCACTACCCACTCGTTGCAGGCTAGATTGTTGCCCTTATTCCTACTGTTGGAATCCACTCACTCACACCCACTCTAGCGCGTCCTAGCACCTTAGAGAAATTGGGGGAAGGGAGAACTTCTTTTCCAAAATCCGGTATGTACAGGATATAAGGAACAATTATTTTTAGAATAATTGATGGGAAATATTGGTACCATATGGCACCTGCATACCTTATTAGGCGAAATAATAAAAAAGGGTAATAGTATCAATAAAAGAATATCAATCAATATCTGAAATGATGGCAAAATATGAAAATATAAGGAAATAAGCGATTTCTCAGCGGATTTACGGAATTAAAGGCCAAAATTGGAAATGAAGCCGGAGATAACTCTCACACAGCCGATAAGCATTTTTACCACTTTATTAGACGCCGTGGGAACGAGTGAGGCTGGAATTCTGGGTTGCCGCTTGAGATTCCCACGCCCGCACATGCTCGTGACCTTCCGTGCCTAACCTGTCCAATATAGAACTCCGTCAAATCTCCACCGATTAGGACGTTCTTGATATCGTCGGAATCGTACGAATTAGCACTATTTTTAGATACCAATTCTGTACCGAGTTGTTAACGGAATAACCGCTTGCTCTAGTAGTAAAGCTCAGTCTCACTATATGCACGAGAACTATTATATTACCTAGTAGTAAAGCTATAAGGTAATATACAATGAGTTATAAGATATAAGAAAGAAAGAAAGATAACTAACCTCAGTCTCACTATATGCGCGAGAACTGAGGAAAAGGGAAACTAATTCAAAAGATTGAATATAGTTTGTGGACTTCGCGGATAAGTCCGAAGTGACCAAAATAAGTAAGAAGAAAAGGTGTTGTGACCAAGTAGTCACGCTACCGCGGGAATGTGGCTGTCCGGGCGAGTTCCTCGCTCGGGTGTGGGAATGTGGCTGTACGAAAACTCGTCCGGCCTCCCATAGCACACGGTTCCTCCAACAGTTGTCGCATGAATAAAAGTAGATTTCTGAATGTTGGAAGCGGGTATCTGAGCCGGCTCTGTGCGTGGGCGATTATCCCGCCTACAGCGTCAATCCGGTACAGTTCAATCTTGATATATGCTGATTCAGGGTAACCTAATGAAAACGAGGGCCTTGGACTGAGAATAAGATGGCAGAAGATCAAACCATAAGCGGACTTCAGCCCTTGCGTGCAGCTTCGCGAGGCACAGGACGGGGTCTTTTCTTCTGAGATTGAGATGGGCCAGGTTCATTTGCAACATCATTTCGGGTATTCTTCTTTCGAGGTGCTGCCATACTGATGGCCATGGGGGTTCCTTTTTTTGCAGTAGAGGTAGATGGCATCAAGTCCTCCATTGTATGGACTTGGTCATTGTTATCGCCTTCGGATTCAGGTTGTTCGGGTATGGTATTGTTTTTTAGCATAATGACACATTAGCAACGTAGCAGAAAGTGGGAGAGGCGGACTGGAAAGGAAACTAATGTAGGCCAAACTACGCACCATGAGGCATCAACCTTTTCCTTTTCTGCTCACGTTCATCAGAAGGATTGTTTCGGGTATTCTTTCGAGGCGCTGCCATACTAACGGCCATGGAGGTTCCTTTTTTTGCAGTAGATGTAGATGGCATCAGGTCTTCTGTGGCATGGACTTGGTCATCACTGTCATCTTCAAATTCAAGTGGCTTGTGTTTATTGTTTCCTAGTTGTAAGGATACGTTAGTAAGGTAGTAGAAAGGGGGGAGAGCTAGACTAGGAAGGAAACTGAGGGCGCACGGGGGGGCCAGACTACACCACAGGTGGATGCTATAGAAAATATAGGGTTATGGCAGTTCCAGGGCCGGGGTTGGACAAGATGACAGTAGACCGCTCAATAAAATTGTCGGCACAAACATATGTAAATACATGTTTCGAGGCTGTCCTCCAACAGATGCACGAGCCTTTCCCTTGTGAAGGTGGCCTTTGGCCGATGTGTTAACGTTTGCTGGGGATCCTAGCCCTTGATCTTCTTGGTCTTCAGCAGTGTCATCATCATAACTCTTGTTGTCATCTTCGGCATGAGCACTTGATGGATTCATTATATCCTCCTCCTTCACTTCAGCAGAACCCGAATCTGATGATGAATTTATTTTCTCTGTAGTTGACAGTGAGTGTGTACCCCAGACTGAGAATTAAAAGTACGTACTTAGCAACCTGCTGTAATTGCCTCGTGCATTGACTATAACGTTCTGGACCAGGACCTCGGCAATCCAGCCCCCCTCATACTCCTCTTTGAGGTTGGGATACTTGTTGAAGATCTAGGGAGGATCCAGATAACAGTGTTACATGCAGAAGTAAGTGTGACATGCCTTTTTGAGTATCTCATGCTGCGCCAACACAGAAACTCCTCGCCATGTAATTTGCCCAACATTCAGTATTATGGAATGCACCGCAGCCCTGATATTCCTCTTTCCATCCACATATCAGGCATTGTCGAATGAAATTTGATCTCAACCACTCACCATGAGTACATTATACTGGACATCATTCAATCCCAATGTTTCTCGAGGCGCATACTTTTTACTGTTTTTGGTGCCACGTGGATCGGGAATCTTGATCTTCTAGGCCTAGGACGCGGGCATCAAGGCTTGGGCAGTGGGTAGACTGACCTTGTTTGTTACAGGGGGCATGATGACTTTCTAGAGGAGAAAGACGCGTCCAGGTAGGAAGCATTTGCAAGATTGCTGTCCATGACTGGGTACGAGTACTTACCTCAGAAGGATATTTCTGGGGGAGTGTGGCTAGTTGCAGAAGGGAGGGGAAGTTGAATCGGGAGGAAATGAGCAGGTTTAGGTGAGTTGCAGAATGTGTGGCAGAGAGAATAAACGTACGAAGTGTTGCGGAAATTGCCGAGAACAACTTAGCCCGATCTCAGCACCCACTGTTGTAGAAGCACTTCACAATCCCCACACTCCACTCATCATCTCCACCATGACATTCATGGAGGACACATCCGAGAGGGTTTGTCCTTGCTGTGGCACTGTTGGTCTCTCAGAGCGCACCATCAGGCGCCATCTTCAGTCTGCTGACCTCAGATCGATGCACTCAGAGTTTCACCAGAGAGGGAGATCGATACACCTGGATCTGATGCCTATGAAAGTCCAGACAACGATTCAATTGATTTTTCCTGTGATTCCAAACATTTCAGTTCCCCAGACAGCATCAATCCTCACTCCCTTGCACACAACGAGACAGCTGGAGGCCCTGACCCGGTTGACTCGCTTAGAAAGCTGTTTTCTGATCTTTCCCTTGTTATCGAATCCCACCCTGTGCCAGAGATGCTCGAAGACTGCGAGTCTGTTGGCGATGAACTGGATGAACCACTTCCAGTGGACGAAGTGGACATAAATGACTCTGATGAAGATTCTGTTGTGATGGACGAGTCTGATAGTATGGAACTTGACGAGGAGCTCCAGGATATGTATAATTTTAGTAAGTGAAATCTTCCCGGCCACTCTGACATTCATACAGACACCGACTCCTTGACGGAAGATGACATAGACTCAATCAAGATGTTCAGCCTCATCAGTGAGGGGAACATCTCTCGAAAACTTCATGCGACACTGGCCCGGCATTGGGGCTACTGCATTTATCTCGAATCATTGTATAAATTAAATCGAAGGATCACGATGCTTTCTGGTGTGCAATCTGTCTCGTATGATTGCTGCATCAACAGTTGTTGTGCTTTCATTGGGGACGATCTTTCCAATGCCGATGTATGTCCCTTCTGTCAAGAACCACGATTTGATGCCCACAAATGCACTCGAAACATCTTCGATTACATCCCACTCACACCTCGCTTCCAGTCCATGTTCTCAAACCCCTCCCTTGTCAAAAAGATGTCATATCGTTCCACCTTCCGATTTGATGAAAGCATCTTTGAGGATGTTTTCAGTGGCTCGCACTACCAGACTCTCACTTCTGAGAACGTTATCATCGATGGCATCAAATATGCCCACACCTTCTTTAGCAACCCAGAGGACGTCGCTCTTGGAATCCTTACAGATGGATTTCAGGTTTTTCATTGAGTGCGAAATGGATCTGCAACGTGTTGGCCGATCATTGCGATCAATTTCAACCTTCCACCCTCCGAACGAACACATATCTGCAACATCATTCCAATCGCCATTATCCCAGGTCCAAAAGCACCCCATCATATGTCCTCATTCTTATGGCCACTCATCAAGGAATGCAAGGATCTTGCTGCTGGAATCTGCGTGTATGACACACTCCACAACAAGTGCTTCAACTTGCATGTCTATCCCATCTCAGCTCACGCAGATATGCCAGCCGCAAAACATCTCACCGAGCTCAAGGGGTCAAATGCATATTGCCCCTGCCAAGCATGTGAGATTACTGGCGTCCGAGGCAATAATTCTTCTGTTTATTATGTACCGCTCACCCAGCCTCACGTCCATGGGACCAACACCACTGAATGGGACCCCGAATCACTCCCGATGCGCACTCAAGAAAGATACGATTCCATGCTCACTGACATTGCATCTCAAAAAACAAAAACCGCTCGTGACGATCTCCACCAATAGTATGGCATTTCACACATCAGTGCCATTTGTGAGATTCCATCCATCAAACTCTTCACCTCCTTCCCACACGAGTGGATGCACTTGGTTCTTGAGAACCATGCAAAGAACCTGGTTCTTCTTTGGAAGGGAAAATACAAAGGTCTGGTTGACTGTTACGGATACGGAGTCTCCATCGACCATTCTGTCGCATAGTCAAAGACTTCTCCTCTCTATCGCTCCCCCCTTCTTTCTCCCTTTCGTCCTCTATCCCGATACCCTACCCTCCTTACTCGTTCTACCCCTTTCCCCCCCCCCATTGGGGTTTTGGTGCTGGCTGAGGTTACTTGTGTTTTGCGGGATTTCCCACGACCTTACCATTTGTAGATAGTCACGCGTCTTGTATGGAAACCGCCGAAGGTGGTTCCCGCTAACTAACAACTACTCTCTACAACTGTCTTGTGTGTCGCCTTCTGTACAACCCATCCTGTGACTCAACTGAACCGTGTGACTGTACAACTCACAACATGTCTTATAAGTCTGGTTATGTTGAGTCCTCTAACGGTCCTCGCCGAGAACTCGAGGTCACGAGTCGAAGACTCTCGACCTGTGTATCATCCTATGGAATCTGTACCCTATGGGACCTCATCTCTCCGCTCTCCCCCCAGTGCTCGACAGACAACGTCACATCACGATCTTGGTGATCGTGAATACTCTGAGGTCCACTTTCCTGTGATGCCGGCATGTTCGCTATGCAAACGCCAAGTAGCTGCCCATCCACCATCTGTTCCCTCCTTCGTCAGTCATCATATTCCCCCGCCAACGGTACATTCCCTTTGGGAACACCAAGTCACCGAAGGCCCCGTTAGTCAATCCTTATTGCACACTCATGATATCAACCCGCTACCAGTACATTCGCACTGCGAACGCCAAGTACCCGATGGCAGTTATACAAAGTTCTCACCCACCTCACGAGTCGCGACCTCGCACACAGTACACTCCATTGAGGAGCGCCAAGTACCCGTGGCTGACCCGTCTGTTATGACGTCTCTGACTACCTACCATCAATTCCTTAATAGCTCACTACATCACCGATCGCAATCGGTGGGAGTTCGATCGTCCACACCCTTGCAAGACTGGGACGACTCATCAATTACATATCCCGTTATGGTACAGACTAGACACGACGTTCGTCATCCCGCTATAAGAACGGATCGAGGATTGGGGATTTCCCCCCATTCCCGTAACATTGGTGCCCCAACCCCGGTGCGAGAAACTCGCACCATGCCACCAAAGACGGTGTCCCTGTTGGGAGACGAACCAGTCACCCCGGTCCAAGTGACACACGAATTGTATCCTCCTTCCTGCCCCACGAGGATCAGTCAGTCGGATCATAGATCCAACTCAAGAGATACCTTGCCAGTAGGCGAAGATGTGCATTCCTCGCCCAGTGCATTCCTAAGACAACAAGCTCTCAGGCAAGTCATCGAAGCTCTTGGAGAGTTTGAAGGTGGAATTTTTGAGGATTTGAATAACTACATGAAACGTATACGAAATTGGCATCGTCTCGCTCCCGCTGATCTCGAGAAAGAGTCTGTTGGAGCCGGTCTCGAAGGAGAGCCTTTGAGATATCGACTAGGGACCGTCTGGTGGGTCGAGCTAACCGACCTGCTCATGAAAATTACCGAGTTCACCCAGCTAGCCACCAAGGCCAACTTAGCTGCAGGTGATTTCGTAGTGGATCCCCGAGGCGACCTCGCCCTGATATTCACCATAAGAGGATGGTCGTCGCCCAAGGAGTTCAGCATTGCATGGAACTTCCTAGACCAGCGTTTCAATTCCTTCGAAAAACATTTCGATGCCATCAAGAAAGCTGCTCGTCCTTCATGGGAATTTGACGAGTTGTGCATGAGTGGACTCAGGTTGGCGAATGTCTTGCCCGCCAAGTTTACAGATCCTGGGCAAGTCAAGGAGGCATGGTCGACCAAAATGCGACCCACTCATCAACCTGAAGCCCTCCCGTCGGGATGGACTACATTTGAGGATCTCATATCTCCCGCTGAAGAGACCACTTTTGTTTGTAAATGCACCCTACCGACCAGGGCCTTCCCGGTGCCTAGACCAAGCATTAATGTCGCTGCAGGGATGCTACTCAGAGACGAACCCTCGATGCCGTTCGTCACAGTTCGTCGAGAGACCAACACTTTCGAGAACCCCAAGGAGAACGTGGGTTACACGGAATTTGTGAAAGGTCTGAAGGTCGGAAGGAAGACAGAGCTGGGGCCTGTCGAGGAGAGACTTGATCCCGACAACCATGGACCCGAACCCCCTCGTGTTCCTCACCATCTGGCAAATGAAGGACCCATTGGATCCAGAGATCCAGGTCATGATCCGAGACAACCGCCTCTCGACCCCTGGCAGCCACCACCACGAGGTGCGGGTCCACCACCCCCATCAGGACCACCACCTCCACCTGGACCACCTCCTCCGCCCGGTGGGGCTCCATACCCGGGGCACATTCTACCCATCAGATACGCTGGGGCACCGCCCCCTCCTCCGCCTCCCGGACCTGGAGCGTTGGCAGCGCCTCAGCAGAATCCTGGATACAGACCTCCTCCTCTTGACCGCACGCAACCTTATGTGGATCGCAAATATACTACGTCAGACTTCCCGGAGTTCGATGGTTCGATCGACAGCTATATAACGTGGTGCAGCATATGTTGGAACCTGGCCAGGCACTCGCCTGCTTTCGCCCAACAAATGACCCACGTACTTCCTGATCGCTTCAAGGGTGCTCTGGCAGACTGGTGGTCGACTGTGCTGGTCGCCGACAAGTTGTATTTTACCACCAATTGGGAAGATCTACATGGATATGTGCTACATTTCTTCTTAACACCCGCCTTCCTCGACAAGATTCGAGATCAATTCCACACTTGTAGGTACCGTAAGGGTGAAAGGTACTCTAAAGAGTCCCCACATGACTTCGCGACACGCAAACTACGACTCTTATGCATCCTATATCCACTCGCCGATGTTCCCGGACCAGAGGTCTTGAGGGGCAAGGCCCAAAGACTTCTAGAAGACATCCTGAAAGGATGGTGGGTGTTAGATACTGATCCGGGGTCGGGCACCGAAGGTCGCCGATGCGGACCGCTAAGGGCCGCGATGGCCGCGATGCCTCAGACAAGGCCTGAGGGTAGGGCATTTGGCCTCAGCAACTCTAAAGGGAGTGCTGTGCCCCCTAGTTGTCTCTTGGCCCTCATTTCGAACTTACTGGGGCTGCCTTGTTGGGGTCAGGGCTTGGGGTCGTGGTCAAGTCGATATTAGAGCTAAGGTACTATAATGTAGTATACAGGATATATATATGAAGGTGAAATGAATAGAAGCGGACCCGGGCCGAAGGCCGAAGGGTCCGGAAGCAAATAGGAACAAAGAGCGGGGTTGGCCGCACCGCGGCCGGCAATGACCGAGGGTCAAAACAAACAATAACAGATAAATAAACGAAGGGGTGTAGGGCCGCGATAGCGGCGATGGTATCATAGCGGAGTAGGCGATGTCGCGGAGTCACGCTAGGTCGGTACCAGAGGCGGACTCGGGGCAGGGAGGTCGGTGTGGCTGTGGGGGAGTCGGCCAGGTGCAGGGGAGCCTAGGGGCAAGCGGGGAAGTGAGCAGGGGGTCCTCAGGGAGGATAGGGCTGAGGTCGGGGCTCGCGCTCACGCTCGCATAGCGGTAACGGGCTCGGGCGGCATCGGGACGGGCAGCTAACAGGCCGGAATGCACAGCCGTGACAGTGGGCCCATCTCAATATCGATCAGGTCGACACAGCCAAAGAACTCTTACAGCTGACTAAACTTAAGCATGATGAATTAGTAGCTAGCGATGAGTTCAGTATCGATGCTTTAGCAAACCGAGTCGCCCGCTGAAGGAGCGGAGCTGGATCACCTTATGTAACCAGTTTCCTATGTCCAATAACAATATTAGAGTTTGTGCTGATTTGCGTACTGACCATGTTTTGGTTGCCAAATATATATTTGTTCACTGTCTAAACAACAATAAACACCCCCCAACGATCTCACCTGACATATAGATCGTCTATGGATAAAATTCTATATTGACTTTACTATGATTTCTAGTCAATATTACACCTAGATATACCACTTTTCGGTAGGACGTGATTTTCCTGATAATTTACTGAAGGAAAACTACTAATAAAATAATTCCACAATAAATGTTACTCAATACAGGAGTGACCAAACTGCTCTTTCTATCGCTTAGAGTGCGTGCTAGTTATCTAGCAGGTTCAGGATCGCTCACTTTTCTCCTGTGGTGTGATAACCAAGTATTGCTGAGAGATTATTCAATTAAGAAGTCCCTCCACCAAATTCTCACTAATTCTCGCTATGACACTTTTGTTCAGCTGTGTCTAACTGACCCTAACTCACGCTTAGAGTGACGTGTTAGTTTTATATTAGCTAACAACTAATATTTGTATCTTTTGGAGC